ATAAAAACCGGAATGCCAGCGCAATTAAGATTTATCCCATTCTCAGATCCACGGGTTCTATTCCGACGCTGTACATCGTGCTCCTTACTTATATCTATATTTGCTCGGTTGCTCGCTGTTGCGTTGCCACCGACCCATCTCATCTTCCTCTGATCCATCCATACCCATACTCATCCCCATATCCACCTGCATTGGCATCCCACTCGCTCGGCTAGCGATCATGGCATACTCCAGACAGGATTCCACGGGGTACGCCCTGGACAGTGACTACATGACCAGTCCGCTGCATCGTCCGATGGATGCCTTTCCGGGCAAGGGCCCCGACCCCTTGTCGGGCAATTGGAACTATGACAGTGCCATTGATCTGTTCTCGCTGAACACGACGACCATGCTGCCCGAGCCGCTGCAGCTGGACATTCCCAACGAGTTTGTGAACATCGATCCGAAGGAGTTTCCTGCCGAGTTCTTTGCGCCGCCGCCCGAGTTCAGCGGCTTTACCATCTCCAACCACGGCGAAGATGTCGCTTCGTGCGGATCCATCTCATCTGTACGTTACCATCGAGACTATCTCACACTCTCTGTCAACACTGTCTAACGATCGATGCAGGACCTAGAAAGCGACGACCAGTCCTGGTCTCCCTCCTATATCCCTCCGACAGAGCTGTCCAACGCACTGCCCGAGCCCGCTCGCCGCAACACCGACCCCCACGTCGAGCAGAAGCCACAAGAGCGGGCGCAGCGATGGTCGTCTAGTCCGGACCTCGCACCCCAGGAATACACCAGCGCGGTCTCGCCGCCGCCCGCCCCGACCACCCTCCCTGCCAGCACGACACGCAAAATGGCCCGTAGCCTGTCCGGCGACTCCAGCGCCAGCACGGGCGCGACCACCGCCTCTGGCCGCAACGCCGCCAAGCGGGCGGCGCACAACATCATCGAGAAGCGGTACCGCACCAACATGAACGCCAAGTTTGTGGCGCTGGAAAAGGCCATGTGCGGCGGAGTCCAGAAGCCGAGCAAGGGCGGTTCGGCGTCACTCAAGAAATCGGAGATCCTGACCAATGCCATCAACTACATGCAGGAGCTGCAGGAGGAGAACAAGGCCCTGCGGAAGGAGATGGAGGTGATGAAACAGAATATGATGTGGCGGAGAACGTAATCTCTTACTCTCTTTGGACTCGGCTACACTTCGTCTACATTCTCACTCGCACTCTTCTACACTCTTACTACTTTATGACGTTATGCATGTACACTAGTTGATACACGGACTCTCCCACTGGTGATGGTTGGCGGATACGGGGCTTTGGCGAACGGTGCATCGGCTGGATACCCAAAAGTTAATACTTACAATGATAATTCTCCTGTCTCTTTCCGTTTCTGAGATGCTACGCTTCCAGTAAATCATGAAAGTCAATCAATGTCTAATAGAAACCGACTTCCGGCCGACGTCTCCGCCACCGTCAGAGCATTGAATCCTCTTCACGTGTGCGACAAACCCCGTCCCGCGGGCAGCAGAGTCTAGAGCAGTCTAGACCGGCATGACGTTCTGGTGCTGGAATGCGGGTTTTAAATGCTGCAGACGCAGAAGCCGTGCAGACATGGTTCGGGGGGTACGTAGGTTTGTGCTGTCCGTTCCGCCTGTCTACCAGAGGACGTGATATCAGTGGCGTTTCGTTTGGATGGATTGCGGGGAGTTTCTAGAATTGGACGCTGATCAGTCTGACAGTTATATATTTTGCTTTGCATGGGGATTCTTCGGTCGGGGATGGATGGGTCTGTTATATTGGTCGGTTGTCTAATGGACACTGCTTCCATTCTAGTCACCATGTTGAGTAGTATTAATTGGCAAGGTCGGTCTGAGCCGTATACAGCCTACAGGGCCTAGGTTATATATATGGGTGGCGCACAGTATTATCCCACACCTCGTTGAATAGAAAGACATCTTGTCATACTGTCTGACTCCGGGATTGTTTTCCAAGTACCTGATCAGGTATTGTCCATGGAAGGCATTGACGATGCCCCTATCCAGCCAGAATGATGCCATCTTCCGAGCATCACAAACCACCCTGTATCATGTAGCAAGGGTCGCACAGACTAATAACCCCCATTCGCCCCTTATTCAAAAGTATACATATGCTGGACAATACCTTGCTTGATACTGCCTTCCTTACATCCCCCAATCATCCCCTTCCCATTACTTCTTATTTCCCACAATCAAGCTGATTCTCTTCTGTGGGACTGATTATCGCTTACACTAATCGACCTTGGCAACCGAAGCCTCGGTTAAAGACAAGCTTGTATGAATCAAGCATAGACGAGGGGAACTCTTATCAACCATCGGATCTCCGGCAGCTCCTTCATTAAACTGCTAATTACTGATGCGACGGCCGTGCCCCCCGGCGCAATTCAGGTTACATCGCGCAACACCAAATGGCCGAAGCCAGCCGCGCTGCTGGCTGCTAGAGATGCAGTATCCCAGCAGAAGAAACCCCAGCAGGGGACAGCAAGACCCCAATTGAGTGCGGCAAGGCCACTTGTTTGCTACGGAGTACTCCGTACGCACTGACTATTGAATCGTGGCTGGAATGCGATGATGATCTGCTTGGCATCCCTCTCCCACAACAAGCAAAACAAATAAACCACCTGCACGATTAACACCGCTACACTCGCGCTTTTTCTCGCTTTTTTCCCTGATAAGCAGGCACCACTTTGGAAGAACGTCGGCTGGTGCCGTTAGTCTGTGCTGGTATCACCTCCGGCTCCTGATAGGAGTGCTCTGCTGCTGCCTGTGGACCTGCTCCTGACGATCGGCCTCCGTACGCCTTTCTGATGGGTCAGATAGCGACAAGCCCCCTGGGCCGATGTAACTGTCCACGGCCTTCTCCAGATCAGATCCAATAATGGCTCTGTGCTCCAGCAGGAACCCGCCGGCTGCCCGGTGGATTGGCGCATATCAGTGTTGGATTGACACAGCTCCGGTATGTTGGCCTCCTTACGGCCATCACGCGAGACCGTGGGCAGTGGGGTCTTAAATATGTCCCTTCACCCCCCTCCTCCCTTCGTGGGCGACCTGTGTTTTGTCTTGTTGTATCCCCTGCCTTGGTCCGCATCTTCTGGGCCATCACCATGTTGCCCTCTCTTGTAAACAACGGGGCGCTGTCCCTGGCTGTGCTTTCGCTGCTCACCTCGTCCGTCGCCGGCGAGGTGTTTGAGAAGCTGTCGGCCGTGCCGAAAGGTGAGCAACACAGGGATTGCTTCAGGCTTATACTGACCGACTAGGATGGCACTTCTCCCACGCTGCCCAGGCCGACGCCCCCATCAACCTGAAGATCGCCCTGAAGCAGCATGATGTCGAGGGCTTCGAGCAGGCCCTGCTGGACATGTCCACCCCGGGCCACGAGAACTACGGCAAGCACTTCCACGAGCACGACGAGATGAAACGCATGCTGCTCCCCAGCGACTCCGCCGTCGACGCCGTCCAGACCTGGCTGACCTCCGCCGGCATCACCGACTACGACCTCGACGCCGACTGGATCAACCTGCGCACCACCGTCGAGCACGCCAACGCCCTGCTGGACACGCAGTTCGGCTGGTACGAGAACGAAGTGCGCCACATCACGCGCCTGCGCACCCTGCAATACTCCATCCCCGAGACCGTCGCCGCGCACATCAACATGGTGCAGCCGACCACGCGCTTTGGCCAGATCCGGCCCGACCGCGCGACCTTCCACGCGCACCACACCTCCGACGCGCGCATCCTGTCCGCCCTGGCCGCCGCCAGCAACAGCACCAGCTGCGACTCAGTCATCACCCCCAAGTGCCTCAAGGACCTCTACAAGGTCGGCGACTACGAGGCCGACCCGGACTCGGGCAGCCAGGTCGCCTTCGCCAGCTACCTCGAGGAATACGCCCGCTACGCCGACATGGTCAAGTTCCAGAACTCGCTCGCCCCCTACGCCAAGGGCCAGAACTTCTCGGTCGTCCTGTACAACGGCGGCGTCAACGACCAGTCGTCCAGCGCCGACTCCGGCGAGGCCAACCTCGACCTGCAGACCATCATGGGCCTCAGCGCGCCGCTCCCCATCACCGAGTACATCACCGGCGGCCGCGGCAAGCTCATCCCCGATCTCAGCCAGCCCAACCCCAACGACAACAGCAACGAGCCCTACCTCGAGTTCCTCCAGAACATCCTCAAGCTGGACCAGGACGAGCTGCCGCAGGTGATCTCGACCTCCTACGGCGAGGACGAGCAGGTACTTCCCCCTGCTTCTGGCTCTCTACCCGTCACATACTGACTGACGATAGACAATCCCCCGTGGCTACGCCGAATCCGTCTGCAACATGCTGGCCCAGCTCGGCAGCCGCGGCGTGTCGGTGGTCTTCTCGTCAGGCGATTCGGGCGTCGGCGCCGCCTGCCAGACCAACGACGGCCGCAACCAAACCCACTTCAACCCGCAGTTCCCGGCCAGCTGCCCGTGGGTGACGTCGGTCGGGGCCACGACCAAGACCAACCCGGAGCAGGCGGTGTACTTCTCGTCGGGCGGGTTCTCGGACTTCTGGAAGCGCCCGAAGTACCAGGACGAGGCGGTGGCCGCGTACCTGGACACGCTGGGCGACAAGTTCGCGGGGCTGTTCAACAAGGGCGGGCGCGCGTTCCCGGACGTCGCGGCGCAGGGCATGAACTACGCCATCTACGACAAGGGCACGCTGGGCCGGCTGGACGGCACCTCGTGCTCGGCGCCGGCCTTCTCGGCCATCATCTCGCTGCTGAACGATGCGCGCCTGCGCGAGGGTAAGCCGACCATGGGCTTCTTGAACCCGTGGCTGTATGGTGAGGGCCGCGAGGCGCTGAATGATGTTGTCGTGGGTGGGAGCAAGGGCTGTGATGGGCGCGACCGGTTTGGCGGCAAGCCCAATGGGAGCCCTGTCGTGCCTTTTGCTAGCTGGAATGCTACGCAGGGCTGGGACCCGGTTACTGGGCTGGGGACGCCGAACTTTGCGAAGATGTTGGAGCTGGCGCCATAGGAGCGTATATAGTGCTAGTTGCATAGATGTCGGATCCAGTAATGGACAGACTTGACAACGGTGATCGGTTGAAATGAGAGTAGGCCTTCTGTACGCTCCACTAGATACTGACAAAGGAATTGTCTACGGCAAGCATATAAGAAACAAGTGGTGACGTCAAAACAGCAGCAATTTCGCCTTCTAAACGGCCGAAGAAGATATGTTGTCAATTCGGACCCTGACAATTAGAATGCTATGATCCAGGCAACTTTGACAAGCTAGCCAAGGAGAATGAAATCAGGACTTTATGACCTTCCAGAATAGGCGAGTGACCCGGGTTTCTGGTTCGGATAGGAATAGGAACCCTGGAGTCGGATACCGTATCCGCTCAGCTCCAGTATGGACATGAGAGGATAAAATATGAGGTTGGAGGGTTTTCCTGGAATGTCATAGATTCTCTGGATCTCCATCGGCCGGACGTTGCTAGAATAAGTGTAAATATGGCTTGGGGACTGGGCTATAATTGTATTGTTCGATCTCGAGCTCTAACCCACCAGGTTCTTAGGTTGATATCGACATGCACTTCCTTCTTGCTCTCGTCCTTTCGGCGCCCTGGCGGCGCCCGAGCCTCTTGCTGAGGGGGATCCTTCTGGTCAGACATGGCCGTTATTCGCAGGAAGCATGCTAACACGCAGAAGCCATCACGCAGTGGGTGCCCGGTTCGACTGGACTCGTCGAGGTCAGCACGACCATCACCACCTGTCCAAAGGATGAACTGAGCTGTGGTTGCAAGTATGTCCTTTTCCACCGAGTCTGCATCGCATGGCACTGCAATTGCGCCTCTTTCCAGCACTGTTACACCGTCTCCAACTTCTGGAACTGGAGTGATGCCCACGGCCTCTTCGAGTACTCCTTCGGGCAGTTTGGAGCATTTCAACCGGCCCTCGGAGTTCTGGCTCTAGTACCCCGTCACCAACATCCGGCTATGTGTCTACTACTCCTACTAGCTCTGGACCTCTGACTTCTACATCTATAACTTCGTTTTCGGGAGCTCCGTCATCATCGGTCATTCCCAGCCGATCCACGGCCCTGTCCCCCACCTCAACTTCTACACCCTCGTCTACTTCAGATCCCCAACTGCTACACCAACTACACCCAATCAGACTCCTAGCTCGAGTCTAAGCTCAAACGGAAACACTTCTGAATCTCCAACGACACCTCTGCCAACCCTGACCAGCAGCAGCACAACCTCGTTCACCGTCTCAACATCTACTTCTCTCCCGCCATGCGCAAGCTGCAACCCGCTGGCTGGCCAGAACCAGCGTGATATCACCACCTCGTGCGTCTTCCTTGGGGGCGACTACCACTTGCGCATGTCGGCCGGGCTACAAATCCGGAAACCCAGATACAGAGTAATTGTCGGTGACGGCGGACGGACCATGGTCGTGCGTGGTCTTTAGACCTAAAAGCGTAGCCTTTCCGCGACTTTTTATATTAGTTAGTTATTGATTCGTAGTAAGCAGCTATTTCTGGTTAAAAGTAAGTTTTACTAATATCTACTTTAGCATCCGCTAATCTGGAGATATATGATAAAATAGGAGATTTATTTCTAGTTTTAGACCACAATGTCAATCTATAAAAGTCTAAGTATCAATTTTTCCACGCAAGTAACGAAACTAATGGTTTCTGTCTCCCAAGTGCCGCGACGGGAAGCTTGCTGTAATCCAGATTACTTGATTATAGGTAGTTACTATGTGTCTGTGTTTTGTTAAATACTGGGCCGTGTCACGTCTCTTTAGGGCATCTGTACTATGGCTTGTGTCTTAGAGCTATCATTACCGTGACAGATCCTTGCTGTTTCTGTTTAGACGATGCATGGATGCATGCAGTCCAGTGTCCACTGCCTCTGCTGCCAAGAATGTGTCGATCAGCCTGAGGATCAATTGATGTGCATTACGCGGAGATATCTTCCACGGTTCCACCCCATTCAAGATGACGATGGCGGTAGGACTCTTCTCTGGTTTAATGGAGATGCAAAAAATGTCGATATGATCTCATTGGAAGGGCATGTCGAGCTGCACATTCGATTTCCTATAACGGAACTCGATCAATATTCCAGGTCCTGCTATCCGGATCCCCGCATCCGGATATGGATGTCAACGACGCCCGACGGCTGGATGTTCATTCCTCATTGGCAGGGGATTTGTGCCGGTAATTGCTCGTCTCGCCCTGTCGCTGCTGACAGTCTATATCGGAAGCCGATGCTTAGTTGTAGTAGTGATATTCACAAGGGTCTGGGACCGGTTTTGTTGACTGCCTATGAAGGTGGTGATTTGCGCCCGAGTCAAGGAGCAGTTTCCTACCATCATGACGTCAAGCTACAATCCGGCTCGGTGCCATGATCACCACCCGGCCCTCTATCGTATAACTTCGGCCTCTGGATCTTTCGTCCAATTCGATTGGCATCAGTTACGGTGGCCTACAAGTCGAATTAAGATCTTCTGTCGGCTTGCGAATCACTCGTGGTACGTACAAGGGGAGTTCAGCCGGTCTGGGGGTTCCGGGGACGGGAAGATGTAATGCTGACCTACATGTGAGCCCGTCAGTACACGGACCATCTTTCCGTCGCAGGCCCAGATACCATGTAGTGATCCACTGGCTTGCCACTCTCCCCGCTATGTCAATTCGTGACATCACTACACCTTACTCATGTAGTTCCCCCGCGCTCATGCGACGAGATCCAAAGTTTCCTCGTCAGATATAAAACGCCGATAGCCACCTACTGCAGTCCTTTACTTAGACGGCCATCACGTGTGCATGTACTTGTCTTGCTTTAGTAAGCCTTATCATAGCCTAGTAACACATCAACTCAGTTTCCAAAACCGACATCGCCTGAGGAGGATTCTTTATCTTAATACATCCACTTGTATCTGCATGCCTCAGAATGTCTGATCTGCTGTGTACCTACACGGGCGAGGAACTTTTCGCCTACATAGATCCTAGAGATACTCTTTGGGCCGATCCAGCTATATCAAATGGTATTCACGACGAACTGCTCTGCGGTTCGCATCAGTGGGCCAAAGCGCCCTCAGACAGGCTCCCGCAGTCTTGCGGTCTCCTAGACGATCAACTCTCATCCCTGAACAAGCCATTGCCCGCTAATATCGAATCGATACTGTTCTCCCACGATGGACCTCCTTCCACGCAAGATAATGCGCTATCGACTCCTACAGCTGAGCGCTATATCTCTCCCGCATCCCTATATCTCAGTCCCACGTCCGATAACCACGAAGGAGCGGCCGAATCTAGATCTCCAAGCTTAGAGCGCAAGGAAACGGCATCGTCTCCGCTTGGCCGCAAACCAGGGCGACGTGCATCCAAGGTCCAAGACGGGCAGCGCGAAAGACATCTGGAGAAAAATCGCATTGCCGCCAACAAGCATCGCAAGAAAAAGAAGGAGTTTATCCAGGGCTTGGAATCCCGATATGACGACCAGCTGAGCCGGAAGGATCAATTAAAGGCTGAGGTGTCCTCGCTCCGCACGCAGGCGTTAGACCTGCAGGAACACCTGTTCACGCATGCGCAATGTAACAACCAGCCGATACAAAACTACCTGAACAAGAAGATCGGTTGCTTGTATGCATGTTAGCCGGTGAGCGGAGGGAGCGTGTTGCCTCCGCTTCTTTGAGCTCGAGCAACCCTCGTGTGTGCGGTACGATCAGCAACCTATGATTGTAGCGGTCTTCTGTGATAACTTGGGTGTGAGTCTCCGCCTTCGGGGCTTCCGGCGCAATCTCCTCCCAACACTTCCTCTTATCGTGTACAATAGCAGTATCAAAAAGTATCTAAGAATGAATACGAATTAACGAGGGGATTATCTTATTTTACAGACAGCTACGATAAGGACAGTCTGTCTTCGCATTCTGTTCATAACCAGACTTGCCCCTCATCCTTTGTCGCAACTGCAGGCTCATTTTGGGACCCGCTCAGCTGTAACCTGCTCCGGTACGTATCGCTAATCGCCTGTTCCCTATTAATAATTTTACAGTGGATCTTATGAGTCTCTTCATATATATCATTAGATGTTAGCGACCTCAATGACGTGCCGCCAAGGAGGCTCTGTTGTTCCCAGCGCCCAACTGGCATTCTATACAGAGATATGATGATAGCCATGTTGGTTAAGCTATGCTTTCCCTGAAGCGTAATATCAATTCCAACAAAATTCTCTCCATTCTAAGAAACATAGGCTTCAATTTTAGGTAACCCTTGCTCGCTTAAGTCGAAAGCATATTCCTGATAGTTGTTTCAAACTGCTCAGGTTCGCGGCCAAGCATCTGAGCCAGATTTGGGGTAACTGCTGCACATTCGCCATCGCGGATCGCATCAAAAGCAGTCGCCCAGAGAGGCGCCCAGTCGCCACCACCATATGCGAGGCTAGCTTGGACCTGTGGCTGTTTGGCGTACTCGTCCACATCTACCTGGCGAATCTTGATAGATTTGTTGAGCACACGGCCGAACACATCCACTGTCTCGTTGAGAGACAAAGCACGAGGGCCCGAGAGAACGACGATTTTGTTTAAGTAAGGGAAAGCAGCAGGATCTTTGGCGTGTTGTGCAATCAGGTTTGCGGTTGCTTCCCCTAACTCGTCTTGCTTAGCCCAAGCAATGCCAGGACCCGAGCCATCGTGGGGGATACATATTTCGTCCGAAGGAGCTTTGAGATCAAAGAAGGCGGTATAGACCGGGAAGGACTCAGAATACACCCCTTGCCGAACGACGGTGTAGGTGAACTGCGGGTCCTGGTCGTGTAGCTGGGCTAAATACTTCTCCGTGGCAAGATGGGCAAGCATCACTTGGGCCTTAGACTCGGGATTTCCATCCCCAGCAAACGCAAGAGACGAGTAGAATATATGCTTCACGCCACTCTTTCGCGCCGCATCGATCGCGGCTTTGTGGACCTATATAACCAGGTTAGCGTCTAGACGGCAGTAGGTAGTATCATGGGTCAAAAAAAGGCCAACCTTGAATCGATACTCATTTTGAATACTAGCATAGGAAATCAAGTTCAGAGACGAAATTCCATCAAACGAGTGGTCAAGTGTCTGGGCGTTGTCGTAGTCGGCCTGGCGGATAATCGCTCCAGCAGCTTTCTCTTTGCTGAGTTTCTCGGGGCTGCGAGCGATGAGCACCACTTCATTGGATGGGACTTGCTCAAGAAGGTGTCCAAGGGTGCTGCCTCCAAGGCCTCCAGAGGCGGGGAATATGCCGAGTCTGTTTGCCATATCGGAACGACTGTTGGTACTATATATAAGAAGCGGAATGGACCTTATTAGATCGTTCTTATACCCAGGGGTTTGTAATATAGCCAGGGATTGGTAATCAGGCTTCTAAAAGTTTCCGGCTCGGGTGGATTAGAAGTTGACTTCTTGGTGATTCACTTGAATGGTATCCATCTCTTTCCGGTGGAACTCATTAGCTGATTGGGCGGATACTTCATACTAAGTTCCTACATGAATAATCATCTAAAATTCCTCCAGAGGCGGGTGTGATTCAGTCTGGACATTTGCCGGAGAGTGGATCGAACAAGGCTCAAAGTCGTAGTCTGATGTAATGTAACAACAAGCTTTTCAGAGAGATTTGGATGACAAAGCAGAGAGGATAAGATAGTTATCTAATTAATGGTTTTGGTCAGCTGTTTGTGCATACTTAATGAATCCAGTGAACATACAATACATCAAAGCTGGCCCGAACTGGTCAAAGTGCTCTTCTGACATTATGAAGTGCAAACCCGTCAAACAGAACATTCGTCACATGATTTGTAATCATCTCTAGAGCCCTACCGGCCCTCGTTAAGAAGTATGTAGAACACTGTGCTATACAGAAGTTGATAGATTTATAAAAACGGTACATTGCGTCTTCTCATTCCAAAGTGTTAGTACCCCTTGTGTTCTTCTTCCTTGGTTTCTCAGTTCCATTGCCGAATGTGTAAATCAACTCACAGCTATAAGTCGCAAGGTTCCGTCCTTCAGTAATAATTTCCAACCAATTTCGTAATATAGCGGCTCTGAACAGAAAGCCAAGCGCCTGCAACGGCAGAGAATGCGCCGATCAGGAAGACTGATATTGCTGCAACGAGCCGTACAAGCTCAGCGTTCCACAGGATGTTGTCCGGACGGAGATCCTGATAAACAACGCCGAAAGAGCGGATCTCCTTCACCGACCATTATATACATCATAAATATACACCTGCCTAAAGTGCCATCCAAGCCCCAAGCACAGCCATAGCTCCAAGATTCACCTCGCTTGGAACAAAAGCCGTAACCATCGGCGCCAGTCCCGCCGACGTACTCGTCGCGACAGCACTCGAAGCAGTGGCGCTCGACGCAGTCGTGGTATCAACACTATCGCTTGTCGGCGTAGAGGCATCAGTAGTGTCCGAAGAAGTCGAGGCAGTGGTCCTTCCAGTCCGCGACGCCGTAGGCAGACTAAACGACTGCTCCGTCGACGAGTCAGTTGTCCTGGTAGACTCGGTCGGCGTCGCGGGCGCGGTCGGCAGACTGAACGACTGCTCCGTGGTCGTCGCGGCGGTCGTCTCTGCACCGAACGTGACCGTGCTATACGGCGTGTGGATCGTCACGCGTGTCGCCGTGCCTGTGCATCCGCCACTACAACACACAATTAGTCTCTGCATAGCATGACCAAGGGCAGACTGGCTCGTACATAGCGTACATCGGACAGCAGCCGATGAACACGTTCCCACTAAAGCTGCACCGTTCGGTGATGCCGCATCCAACTAGCACAATTAGCAGGGCCTTGACACGAACGGCTGAAGTGGTATATACCTCCTCCCTGGTCATGCCCGCAGCAGTTCGACGCACACCCATCCCCACAGCACGCCCCGATAAAGCACTGTGCCCCGTCCGAACAGGTATCCCGCTTTCCCAGCGCGGCAGCCTCGAGCGGCGATCGGTTCGCGCTGACAAGTCTGGGCGGGCGCATGGCTTCCTGCGCTGTGGCATGCTGGTACAGCGCAGCGCTGGCGAGGAGAGCGAGGGCGTTGAGGAGCATGCTGGTATAACTAATGACTGTGCACCGGATGCAAGAGCTAGGGGTTCAGGAAAAAACAAAACATGCGCTCGCGCTGTGCCCGAGACAGCACTGTTTATATTTAAACGACGACAGTGGGGCTCGTATTAGTTCTGGAGCTCGTCGGGGTCCGTTGGTCGTCCGCGGCTGCTCCGGTGGTGGACTATGCTCGATTGGGGCAAAGGGGCGGCGGAGTCTCGTATTGAGTCTTGGTATTGGAGCCCGTTCACCTTGGGCGAGTGGGAATAGGTACTTTTTAAGAAAAGTCTTACAAGTTCTATTATGTCTGTAAAGAGAGCTTCTAGAACTGTGACGCCTTCTATAGGCTTAGCTAGCCGAAGGCTGTAGATCAGCTATGTTAGATGACTGTAGCTCTTTAGTGATCTGATAGTACGTCTGGTAGTGTATGCAGAGAATAAAAGCAGATCAGTAGACAACGACTAGGCTATCTTCGTTTAGACAATAATTTGGTCGTCGTATATGATTACCAAGATTCGCATCTTCCTATCAACTACCAAAAGCCCTCGACAACTATCGGCGAACAGTGTACGCTATAAATTTCTTATAGGCCTGAAATCTAATAGAGACGTAGAGTAACCGCTCGCCGACGTCCCATAAGGAAATAGAGCCGAGGCTCTCAACAGCGAAAAAGATCGGAAACCGACTAGAAGAAGCGGCCAGGGAATCAAGACCGCCAACTACGAAACCCGATCCTCGGTATAACCCTCTATGTTGGCCGTTGACCGGGCAAGACAATATGCAGGACTTGTCTTCTCCGGCGCACAGTTACGCCCTGTACTTTCTATCACTAATCTCCACCTGGATCTTGGTTTGGAGAAACACCATTGACACCCATTGAAGAAGACACCGGAGAATGACCCTGCAAGACCGTCGACCATGCAAAGGTAAATACTTCGGATTGGACTCCAAGAACGATCTTGGCGGGATCTACCTTACAGGCTGTCAAATTGCACAGATGACCTGGCGGAAGACCCGAAACATGGCTCGAGAAGGAGGCAAGCGGCCTGATTCGCTATGGAGGTTGCTCTAGACATAGTATGGACCATCGATTCCAGTCTGTCGGGTCGGGTGAGCACTCAAACAAACAAGAACAGAAAGCCATGGTCTAAATAGAAGAGTGCTGAGAATCCAGCACCATGGAACGCCATCTGCAGATTGGCGGCTGATTACCTCACAGTGCTCGATACCATAGTTCACTCACTCGATCAGATTGCGGAGATGATACCCGTCGGTACTCGTTGTGGGGGCAAACCAAACACAGTCAAACCCTCTCTTGTGGTTACCATACTGAGCATGCAGAAGAGGCAAACCACTCTAGGCTAGACAAGCCGCTATCGATTTCCACCAATATCAATTCCTGGTACTCAACCCACATATCATCCCTAGGGGCGTGACAGAGCGTCATGATCAGCCTTGGCATGGCAGTGGACTGTGTCTAGATCATATTGAGCCTGGAATCGTACATAGTATATGTGCTGGCCATCCACGTACAGCTGATTATTTAAGGAAGCATCCGTCTACTTGCATCTGTAGAGTCACTCAACTGTTGCATCTATAGCAGAAGACGCTTCTCAAGTACATCACACCAAAATGCTTACGAAGAACATTGTGGCTGCCTTCATGATCGCGGGTCTAGCTTCTGCTGGCCCAGTTAATGATATGCAAGAAAGAGCTACTACTCCACTGACGTGTTCCAAGCCTAATCAAGCATGGTGCTGCGTTTCGTCTCTTCCCTTTGGCATCTTTTCAGTCGAGGGAGGGGGAACGGATTGTGTGAAAGGTACGTATGACTGGGGAATTCGCTGTTCGAAACCGGATGCGAACATGACTAACGTCTATACCAGCCACAGTAGTCACCGGCGGCTTCTCTTGTCCTTCTGCGCGTCCAAAGTTCGTCTGCTGTAAGAATAACCAGCTTGCGGTAAGCTATACCCCCTTTTTGCCTCCATCCCGCATGGGAAGGCAATGCTAACGGGGAGTAGAATGCTGGCAAAGTCCTCTGCACCAAGTAGCGCAAAGATGGATGATTTACACAGTCCGGTGGATTGGTAAAAGTAATCTATTCCGAGTTTTTGTACTCGTACCAGTTCGAGCATGTACCTAATCTTATGCCACATTGTGCACCCAAACAAAACTAAGATAGTAGTCATGCTAATTGCATTTTTTGTGGGTTTGTGCCGGACCCTGTTTTAGAGCAAGTTGTTTACCCCTGGACTTGAGGCCAGCGCTAGTGTCTTATAGAAACAGAACTATATTTACGGATCTCGGAAATGTATTTTCTTGGTCTGAGATGATAGCTCTCTAGGAACGACAGGCCACCACAATTGGGTATGAATGATTAGATCTATAGATGATGTCTCATAGACGACAGTGAATAGGAAATAAACAGAATCAGGTCCTGAACCGTGGTAGTGGTGCGCAGCCCATAAGGTTCACAGAAGTGCCATACAATGATGTTGACCCTTGTATGACATGATATAAATCCACAGGACCGCGGATACTCTTGCAGCGTGAGCTATTGTGGACCAGCGGATATTTCCTCCATTGTGCAGACCGAAAACAGATTACCAGGACCCTAACTACTTTCCGACCTTGAAGGGTAGCCTCTTCATTCTGTTTTGGGCGCTGCCGACTGGTCATTTTCCTCTTCGGACCTAGGGATAGTCGAACCCGGTTCCCAAAAGTAGAATTCCTGGTCCGAGTACTTAGGGGAGGTAGGTGCAGTCGACTGAGATGTGCGTGAAACAATACAGCGTCCCCATCCACTTATGATGCGGAACGAGGCAACAGCTCCTCCAAAACGCTCGAATTTAAAAGTCTGGTCCGCGTGCCTATAACCGTCACTGGCAGTGTGGCCAAGTAACAGATTGCCAAAGCACTTTGTGAGTAATCTTGCTTTTGATAAAATAAGGAAGTCATCTTCCAGCAATCGTGTACGTCTACACTGTCGGTACTGTAGCTGATATGCGCCAGACATTAAGAGTTTCATATATGTCAATGATGAACCCTCAAAGATCGGTACTACAAAAGTTTCTAGGTGCAAGTTACACAAGAAGTTTTGTCCTTCCTGAGACTATATTGCGAAAGCGCCATCTCATATGCATGGTAAGCGCCATGTAGTGATTGGATACAAACAGGCATTCCAAAAAAAATAATCGTTGCTCGCGGAACCACTGCAAAAAACAACAAGATGACTGACTGTGTCTTTGGGGTAGATATATCATTTGCAACTACTAGACAGACTACTGAACTTCATGCATAACGTTACATAGAACGTGATATGTGTTGAAGCTCTGTCAGAACAATGATTCTTGTGTAACAACCCCACTACCTAGGTACCTAGTAGGATTGCTGCATACAACAGGTTACAAGGAAATCGTTGCATCATAGAGCTGTCCATATCTAGAAATATGGTTACGCAAGATGTGATTGGCTTAATCTCGCCTCTTGTTTCTCTCAGTGATGCTAATACTGCGCGAAAAGATGCCGTCGCATTTTTTCCGGTGTCCTATAACAAGGATCACCGTCATCTGTCATAGGTACAGCACGGTATGCTGTAATTGCCGCGGCTGTATTTGCATTTGCTTTAAGATATAGACTTGTTTAAGCTATACGGTTAACCCACCACGTGAAGAGAATTTAATCTGAGCGAATACGCGGGCGGCGCAGGTAAAAGTATAGGCAATAGTAAAGCGTATGATTATATGAGAAAAACGTCTGATTCTTTCTAGGTAGGTTGAGGCAATCTAGATTAGAACGAAGGATATACTACTAAATATAGCAGACTGACTTAGATGGAGGGAGAAAGATAATGTTTTATTTAGGTTCCGCAGGTGTGGGAACTATCTACAAGTATGGTAAGACTAACTATTATAGGCGGGTACTTTATGTGTACGCCACATCTTTCTAATAGTTATTTCTCAGCGACTTGTTGTTTTCGGTAGCTGTTGTATTTTGACCTTCGTTTAGCTACTATTGAACAATGGCAGTAGGCTTCAGACCAGGGCCCTAGAAAGAGAGTCAAGCAAGTACAGAGTATAGCAGAGACTTGACTTTAGAGAATGTCGTCACATCGGCCTAGTAGTCCATAAGATCCAGGCAGTTGTCGCATAGTTGGATGATTTTCGGGAGCAAACTGTATCTTAAGAACTCTGTTGGTGGAGTGAATGTCCAAAGTCGGATTGCCCGCTGATCTGTACTCGTTTTCCTGACTTAGCTATATCCTTCCGATCCACCTGCGGTAGTCATGGTAGTATGGTGGTAGTATCGGAGCACTTACACCCCACACTCTCTGCCGTCACCTCATTGAGTCGTGTAATTCGTGTCACATATATTCTAAAGAAAGCCGGCTTCGGAAGCAGTCAGCGAAGTAATTGGGATGATGGTGATGTCACAGACATTCGAATACTAGCTTGCCGACGTACTTATTGGGATCTATTTTGCGTCTGTGGCTTCAAGAATTTTGATATGCATCAGTTGAATTCGGCACTATACGAATATTCCCACATTTACCTTCTCGTCACATTACAGGATGAAGCCGTACGAGATTATCATTTTCTATCTCTTAGCAGCTATGAAATATGTCATTGCAGAGCCCGGGGTCAAAACTGTTACCGGTGCAACAACTAGTTTTACATGTTCTAGTATGTGCCCCAGTATTCCGGCTGTTCTGTACCAGACAATATACTCATGTATCGACGCAAAACAGTAACACAGAGAGTGGCCACATTCGACTCAACATCCCGTATCAGCGGGGCTGTATCTCTCGGGTTGTCTGCAGCACCAACAGGGGTGTCTTGGGTCAATGGCGGTAAGCACCATCTAGTAGCGGATAGTAGGTGCTGCTGACTTAATTGCTGTGCTGGAGGGACAACAAGGACGTATCCTTCAGCTTTCCGCAACTCAGATACTATCGTGTCTACATCGAAGGGCAAGCCTGTGACCACTGTGGTTCCAGTTATATCGATACCGAGAAGTTGCTCGGCAAAGTCCCTTTGGGAATATCCCATCATGGAAGGCGCGGCTTGGTGGTATACCGGCAACACCAACCCCAGTGCTTTCCGCGTAATTTATGCAGCCAACCCAACCATCACCAGCACCACGACCACCAGACCCGATTCAAAAGTAGTTACACAAACGATTACGAGCTGGCCTACGGCAGAGTAAGTGGATCCCTTCAGATCTCTATTAGATGCTTGGTGGAACGGCTAATGCAATCGTGCCGTTCAGCTTCTGCGGGATGGTTTCCCATCCTAATCAAAGAGTGGGAAACAGAAACTTCTATGCTTGCGCGGCTCGCAGATGAACCATTGCAGTGGGGAGACAGGAGGAGAATGTCCATTTCCTAATTCAGCTTAGCTTGTTTGTTTGGTAGGGCTCCAGATTGTCTATATCTCATTGAGAGATTTGCCCAATAGTTAGAAAAGCAACGCTTTCTCCCCTCTCTACTTATGGTGCCTTCTATCCCGTAGCCACTACAGCAAAGGGTATGGCAGTATAGTAGAGTAGATGCCTACCCCATGAACCTGGGACAAAAGAAGAGAGGGGAGGGGACGTATAAACAGGAGACAGTGGAATGGAGGATCAGTTTAATGTGTGCCTATGAAAGGAAATCTATTAACAATGACCACTCTATATAGTCCAATCTATCAATCGACGGTCTATGTCTCAACTGTCCCGCAAGAACCCTTTATATATAGTCTTACCCATCGAATGCACCATGTAATCTGCGTTCATGCTCAGATTTTCGCCTTGGTCTTCGTCGCCTCCGCCCTATACTTCTCCATCACCTCAACCCACTCAGCCGTGAACCCCGACTTCTCCCGCAGAGGCAGACCCTCCCAGCCCGCAGCAACCCTCTCCTCATCCTGCCTCCAGCGCAACACCTCCTCCCGCATCCAACCCGCCAGCGTCTCCGCCGTGGCAGCCACCTTCTCCAGCGGCAGCGTATGCCCTGTGCCCTCAACAACAACATGGCGCACGCGCCCCCTCGCCATCCCACCACTCCCACTAAACCCGGTCCCCGTCCGCCTCGCCACCTTCCCGATGGTCCCACTCCGGTGCAACGTACTCTCCGCACCACTAACATACAGCACGGACGGACGCACATGCGGGGCCAGCAGAAACCCCAGCATCGACTCGGCCCGATACGACAGCTGCCCCGGCACGAGCGGGCCCAGCATATCCGGCACGACGAGCGGGTCGTGCGCAGGCGGTGTTTCGTCGGGATTGGCGGGCTCGTAGGGTTGCTGTCGTCCGAGCTCCGGGTGGCGCTGCGTGTTCAGCCGCGTGTACAGCATGATCTCCTGGTACTTGGTGGTGGTGAGGGTGACGGGGCGGTCACCGGCGGCGGCGGCGTCGGGATAGACGGCAGTCGGCAGGTCGCGGTAGCCGACGTCGCACCAGCGCGCGAGGACGCGCGGGTCCCAGCGGCGGAAGACGTGGCGGGCTTTGGCGACGGCGTGGGCGCGGCTGGGCCAGATGTCGCGTTTGGCGTAGGTGAGGCCGAGGAGGCGCGGGCCTTCGCCGCTGCTGGGTCTGTCGATCATGTGCGGTTCGATAAGGAGGAGCGAGGTGAAGAGACGGGGGTGGAAGAGGGAGGCAAAGACACTAGGGGGGTGTTAGAGGGGTTGGTGGAGGGGTGGGGAGGGCGTACAGCTGCTCGCAGCCGAGACTGTGGCCGATGCCCATGATGGGACGCGGCATCTCGTCGCGGAAGTGGTTGACCAGGTGGATTAGGTCGCGGCTGTGGTCGTGCGATGATGCTGGGGGGAGGGGGTTAGTGAGATGTATGTATGGAGGTGAGAAGGCACTCACGATCGTTCCCTAGGTTCTTCTCGTTGAGGACGCCGCTGGCGCCCTGGTTGGAGGCATCGGCTATCCAGATGGCGCGGATGCGCACGCCGGAGTTTTTCGTCTCGTTCAGGAGGTCTTCCCATAGAGGTTCGTAGAGTTCCTGGTCGGTTGTTAGTAACCTCGTCCGCTTGGAACGTGGAATATTGCGTTGACGGACCTTGGGAAACCCCGTACCGTGCGTAGCGATGATGGTTACATCGCCCAGCTGAGGTTCATAGTCTGTCGGAATATACTGCTTCACACAGAGCTTCAAGGGGGCATCCGGGGTTGCCGTTGCGCGGTGGTATTCGCGGATGTACTGCGTATCAATGACATGGTCTTTGACGTGAAAGGAGGAAGTCATATTGTATGATGGAGGAGATGGCAGTGGAAGACTTCACAACTCCGTTAGGAGCGGTGAGATATCTGCTCGATTAGAGGCATGCAAGGGGTCCGCGTGGCTGGATCTGCTCTTCTTGCTGAATCTTCTGGGCGTCGATCCACTTGGATCTGATCGGACGCTGATCGGGACATCAGCTATGCAGATCATGCAGATGATGGATTTACGACCACTGCACGCATTGAGAACAGCTCTGGCCGTGTGTGATGTGTCAGAACATCTTATCCTAGCACAGATAGCAAGACAGGCAACCTCAGCTGCCATACAAGTATGAAAGTCCACCATCCCTGAGTCCTTGGCAGTCGTAGGAATGCATGTCAGTTTCTGCCTCCATGCATCTGGAGAGATCGTCGCATGCCGAGTTGGGCCTCTCAACCTCACACTTCATTACCAGAGTGGGTGTTCTCATCCTGAGATATGTGGGCCTGCAGGATTCGTATGGAGCCTGCTAGGAATTCCACCACCTATGATGAACCTTTGCAAAGAAATCCGAGATCTGGATCCGCAGACTACCGAAGAGGCTATTTAAAACCCGGCCCTATTCCGATCTAGTGTCGTGGAGTGGAGGCTCCTAGCCGAGATGCTCCATACAAATTAGTCACGGAGCCACGGCGTCGGCACTTACTATTTGATCAGGTTATGGAAAGAACGCTGAATTGCTGACTGAGTGTGGTCTGGGCCACTTCCAGAAGACTAGTGGATGAGCTGAGATTGACATGCCGCTTCATATTAAAAGAGATCAAGAACTGTGGTTTTGAGGTCAAGACCGTGGCGCCACTGAAAAAAATCCATCTACGAGATTGCATCGTGTTTAAGAGAGCTTCATGTATGCCTTATATGATGTAGGTCCTCTAATCTTCTGTTCAGTATATACAACGGATCATTTCTTTTTCGAGTCGGTGGTAGGGTCCTCGATGGGCTGCTCATTCTCCAACCGCTGGGCAAGAATCATCTGCGCAAGGGCATCGTCGGTCTGAAGATACGTCCGACTGCCCTGAATAAACCAGAATGCAATCGACACCACAAGCATCACTCCAAACACCGCGATCGCATAGTTCATATCGCTCGGCGCCGGGTTTGGCGACCCAGGGAAGAGGAAGAAGATCGTCGTAATGATGCAGTAGACAATGCTGACCCAGTTGACGAACGTACCCCATCGTCCGAGACGGAACTCCCCGGGGGGAAGCTTGTCGCGACCGACCCAGAGCAGCACCGCGATCGGCATGCCGTACGAAATCGTCAATGCGATTGTGCTCACGCTGAGAATGGCCTCGAGGACAGTGTTCGCGAATAGATATAATATTCCAACCAAGGCGATGAGGACCCCTTGTCCCCACAAGGAACGCACCGGCGCTTTCCACACTGGGTCGACGTGCGCCAGATACCGGCTCCAGGGCAAACCACCGTCCCGGGCGAAACCCCAGGTCAGACGGGAGGCAGTGGTGAGGATACTGATTCCTTGGCCGAGCCCATTGAAAATGAATAGAGCGATAAGAACTGCGCCACCCTTCAGGCCGACGGTTTCAAGCATAAGCTCCATGAATGGCAGTCCTGTGGGACCATCGATGACTCGGTCGACGTCCTGGATGCAGAAGAGACAGACGATCATGAAGATAAATCCGGTGACAGCCCCAAGGAGCACCGCCAGCCAAATCACCCTGGGCGCATTTCGGCGGGGAGCCGGGATCTCTTCGACCATATGGATGACAGCATCGAACGCCGTCAATCCGTACGCCGCCTGGACCAGGCCAACAAACCAGACGACCCCGTCACTCCAGCCCGTCTGGTTGATCCACTTGCCAAAGACGAAGGAGGCCGGCTGATACGACAGACCAGGCTTGATACCGACGGAGATGAGGAGCGCGAGCGACAAAATGACGAAGAGAGCAGTGAACCACACGCCGACAAAGTTGGCCAACCAGGGGAGGATCTTCTCCTTCCGACAACCCACGACGTTGATGACGGTGAGTACAAACACGCATCCGATGAAGACGACAAATTCCAACCAGCCAGTTCCAGCTCCAGTCCATTCGGTGTCGAACATGACCTTCATTCCTAGCAGGAACTCCGTCATGAAGGCAACCTGCGAGGCGGTCAAAGTCCACCAGCCGAAAGTGTTGATCCACGCGGTCATGTAGGATGCAAATCGGCCCAACGGGGTGTTCCAGAGCCGATGCACCCAATACGCCTGTCCCAGGGCAGTTGGCATGCTGCTGGCCAACTCGCCCAGGGAGACAGCGACGCAGAGGTTGCAGAGAGTGACCAACACCAGACCCCAGAGGATGGTGATAGCACCTCCATTGGTCAGACCGCTACTAAGGTCCTGAGCGAATGTAGAATATGTCCCTATAGAGGTCAGCAAACACTATCAAGCCATCATCAGTCGGCCCGCTTACCCAGTACACAAAACGCCAGAGCGAGCATGCTCCACATATCGAACTTCCGGGTCAGGGCCTGGTCATGGCCCATAGCCGCGAGATCGTGGGCATCTTGAACGCTTTGGTCGACCGACTGCACCGGTTTGAGGAATTGGGGGTTTTGTTCCACGTCCATACGGGGAGAGTTCGGGAGAATGTATTAGAGGGGCGAGAGTCAACCGAGAGGAAGGTGCACGAATTTTGGAGTAAATAGAAGCACCCAATGTTCCATTTTCCGGGCTTGCTCGAGAAAAGGGGATTTTAAGAAGCTGGAGCTGGGGTCATATATCAAAGCTCAGCGGTAGGGGGTTGGCAGGCGGATGGTTTCGGTTTTCCCCTCACACGGGAGGAACCATTAGTCAGGGCAAATGCAGCAAGTTAGTTATCGGGCGTTAATCAGGACCATTGGTCATGCCTGAAGATCTTCGTGGATAACTGGATAACGGGGTGTTGTAGCTCGTGGCGTCGAAAATTTGATTTTTTCGGTTGCGGGGGAGCGATGGATTGTGGTGGACTCGGCAGGACTTCCTAAGTGGGGATGGCAGAGGCCCTTGGGGGTGGAGAGCGGTTCATCTGAGCAGCAGCAGTAGTCCAGACAGTGAGTGAGCAACGGTCGTGATGCTGGAGAGAAGCCTTGAATGATCCATGGAATGGCTGCCTGTTTGTGTAACCATACGTATGTATGTATGGAGTTGGGGTGTCCCCCTGAGACTCCGGTGTTGCTCTCAGGGTATAGTAGATATCAACGAGGTGATGGACTAGATAGAAGCATCTACCTCAATTGAACAACAGATACAGATCACTACTACCATCTACGACTCCATCATCGACCCCAACAGCTGTCGTTGCAATTGACATCAACATCATCGTCGTCGCCACCTCCCGAATAGGCAGGTCTATGCGGAAGCCCTGATAAGTCTCGTGTCGATCGATCCATGACTACCGCCGTTTGATAATATCGGACCTCGCGATATGGATTCATAGATATTGCTATTGATAGAAGGATCGATCCTTTCGGGAGTACCATCCACTGATGCTCTATCCGTCGGTGTAGATACACTTTGACTCTATGGGTGGCTGTGAATCGCTTCAAATGCCGCACCAAGATCGGAGCTTCATGTCCCTTTCGTCTTACGCAACTGCTTAGAGTCGGAATTGTTCCGGGAAAAAAATAGCCGACGTCAAAATGCGGGGAAGTGGCAGTTCTGAGTCCTCATGGCCGGTCCTGTTCGCTGTCTCCATCCTCTCTAGGCTTTGTCGGACAGATAGATTCTTTACAAGGTGCCACAAACCCTGGACAACCTGGGGTAAACCTTATATCTAGCGTTGGAACTGTGCCACATTCTATGAGCGGACTTTCGTCCGCTCATTCATAGACCTAGGGTGGGCCTCGGCTTGCTGCCTGATACACTTCATCATACGCTGATATTGTTCACAGGCTCCCCATCCAATACAACCCAACCCTTCTAGAATCAGTGATCATGCATGATCCTGGCGCACGTGGCCTAATAAGGAATGTCCAGGAGATCTTTACATAGAACAGATACACTTTCCGTTGTCCCCGGACGCTATCTTCGGGCAATAGAGCTTGGTATGACCCATGGTCCATCCATCGTCAATGTCCCGGATCCTTATCTAGTCGCGTGGATCATAGGTAGCATCCATTGTGTCCCCTCAAGACATCATCACTGTCTTATATCTAGAATATTTTCGATATCTCTAGGCCCGCAAGACTTGCTCCTTGGCCTCCTCCCATACTCTGCGTACTTATTTGAAGGCCAATGGCCAGAACAACTGCGCTGATTGAGGCATATTGTTGAGAAGCTTATTAGATTCATATATATCCCGCATCCACAGCCCTTGACCGGTAGTGCACGTTGGTAAGCATTCATATGAGGGATTTTACACAAACAACGGGTTCTTAATAAGATGACAGTAAAAATCCTTCCATTCAGATATTGAGTATTGCGTCATGCATAACCCCTATGCCTGCTTAGTTCGTGGAATTCCTACGCGAAACACGTTCATGGACATGGAGGAATAATCCCGGTCATATCTTTGCAGCTACACCCCATATCTCAGAGTGGCTTCTTCTATGTCCAAGCTATCGTCGCGAGCGAGTAGATGGCCCGTGAATTGCAACCACGTAATACGGAGAACTGCCTAGTCGGATGTAGCCATGGATCTCGGTGACCTCCGACGACACTTCTTGCTGTCATACCGCTCCATCAGTGATCATTGAACGCAGTCCCCTCCAATTCAACTAACTTGCCCGGCCTAGAAGCAAAACATGTTGTCTAATGATGACCAGTAGTCCTTTCTCTCGAATTCATTTCCGTAGAACAAGCCTCGTTGCTGGTATGCCTCCCGTTATCATAGGAGGTAACTAGGACGTTCAGGCACAATAACAAAATGAGTAGCTTAACATGTGCGTTCAAAATCATAGGCCTAAAAGAAGTCTATCTGTATAAACAGGCGACTGGGTGGCTACCTGTTTATTCCAATAGCTTTGCGAGTTCTAAAGAACTCGTTCATCTTTCAATTTTGCTACTGTCTAATTCCATGTTCAGAATGATGCGAAAAGGCACCTTTGAGATTTATACTGTTACACGTGCCCTACCAGAACAACTGTATTCATAAGCCCACTTTGTTTCTTGTTTACACCTTTGTGTTAACAGGCGGGTTTCAAGTCAGATCATGGCATTTGTTGAGGATGCTACAATGTTCTCCTCATATAGTTCCAAAAGTCTTAGTACAAACCCCTTTCTCCCGCCAAACTAGCCAACTTTACACTATTGCATGCTGGATAAACCAATCTATTAATCTAAATCGCTCTTAGAGCTTAGCTGCTGCATAATTATTATTAATTAGAATCTAGATATTACTAGCCTTATTCTTTAGTATTCTATATAGACTGTTATAACTAATTAACTATGAGCTTCAGCTGGATATCTATTCGCACCCTTGAAAGGGGCTCGAATCTTCTAGAGATAAGCAGGCCAGGATATAAGGCCGAGCTCTCCCGGCCGGACCCTCGTTTGAATAGGAAATAGGAATCAATAAATAAGTAGACAATACTGCAAGATGGTAAATAGGTCCAATTGAGAAGACCCGAGAAAATCAAGTATATTATATATGTTAAAATATATAACATAACTTATAACTTGACTAAGAAGTATGACCTTAAAACCGAAAGAGTACATAATTTCATAGAGACTCTAGTCCTTTCTTAAATACTGCTTATATGAAAAAAAGACCTACAGTTCTACGAGACACATTTACATACTCGAATAATCAATGGTTTCATACCCACCTCTTCCCAGTACCATGATCAGAAATGATACGCGTAATATGGTTTTCAGCAAACAAGAAACTAGATTATATCATTGATCCTGTCGTGACATAAGGGAAAGGCAAAGCTATGGAGACGGTGGATTTGCAACTTTCCCGTGACGATGGTGACGATGATGTTGCCCCCTTGTTCAGACCAGGGTCGGGATGATGGTAGGTATCTGGGGGTCAGCATGCGTTCATTGAAAGAAACCGACCAACGTGCAGTCACCGTTCTAGTATTACTCTAATTGATGTTCAAGCATGTTATGGCCGTTTACTACCGATGACTGAGTACATCTAGCTAACGTTTGGTGTAGAGTAACCGACACTGCTTCCACGACGGATATCACACATCTCACCATCTGAATCCTCCGCGGCACTGGCGGGAGCATCCTTTAACGTTTCTAAAAGCTAGGAACAAATATCTGTCGCAGGATGCCTTTGTATTCCGGGGCATCGACTTCTTCCTCATCACTTACTACTTATTACGGAAAGACTACGACCACCTGATAGACTGCCTGGTACTTATGGGGAACCAAACAAAACTCAGCAAATTGGAGCTTGAATCCATGCTCAAAGAGAGGACGAGAAAGTGTACTGCATAAGAGATTGGATCCCATTTCACCGAAACGCTTCTCGATGACATTTTGTATGCATCTGCCTCCAGCCGGGCCAGATTACCCACGATCTCGAAAACCACCATCAGACAGATCTTCCCAGATAATAACTGGCGTCGCTTTATCGGCGGCCCTAATCATCAGAGTGATAGTACATGCGAACTCGCAGCTCTGCAATTTAGCTACAAGTAGTGCTCCTGTCGTTAAGGGTTGTCGATCCTTCAGACCTACCCGGCGTGGTCTAATCGATGAATAACAACCTCCAGTTTCTTAACACGCGGGTACAATTCCATGACTTTAGTTTGCAGTCTCTAGAATCAAGACCGGCCGCCAGGACGGCAAGGGGTATTAGCATTGCAATCTTGAATGTATAAAGTGCACGTACCATTATCTCGAGCTCTTTTGATACCCTGAACTTGGCTGCGGTATAACGGTAAGTATATACACCGCCGATTGCTGATCCAGCGAGGAACCCATATACCCTAGAATCTCGTACATAATGTACGTAAATATTAGTGAAGAGCGAGCGAATCGCGAAAGGCCTCTAGCTCCACGACGGAAGCGTATCAGGATATGGTATGCTATCGTGCGTACCTCCATCGAGAAATGGATATACGGAGGGCTTTGTGCATGATTTCTTAAATAGCTCTCGGAGATCTTCAAATTTCTTTGTTGAAAGTGCAGAATATCGGCGTGCTTGTCATCTTCGGTGGTTTAGAGTTGCAGTCCACTTAGTTAATACTAGCTGTATACCTAGTAGCGTATAAATACGTTTTCTGGTTGATGATGACGTAAATTACGGAGAGTACTAAGTTACCTACCTAGGTAGGTAACTAGTTAACTATGACGTAACCCCCAAATCGTGTGATGGACAATGTAACATACAGTACCGTATTTAATATGAAATGTACAGGTACTTGGAGTTTCCAGTAAATGACTTCATAGGTGTGTTTGAACGAGCGCTGCTCCGCTAACACAGGTGAAATACATTATTCGCTCACCCTATCCCTTCCTTAAAGCCATACTTCATCATGTAGGCCTTTTTTTTTTTTTTTTTTTTCTTCATCTCAGTGAACTACAAAAGTACGAAGAGACTGGATACTCTTCGGGTCCCTCTGATACGAGTTTTGAAAATTGTGCTTCGACGTAATGCTAGGTATAGTACGGGACTATACTCATAATTTCAATACTGTGTCACGTTGTTCTGCTGCAGGAAAGGGTTAAACATGTCTGCAACGTAGAGCCTGTACTCAGCGCATACACCTCGATCCCCTACAGCAGAAACCGCGCAATGCCTTCAGATCGCGAGGTAGGATCTCAAGCTAGGGTATGAAACCGATTCATACATTACTAACTTACTTATACAGTCACTCACGGAGGACGAGAGACACATCCTCCGGACCTACGGCAGGCTCCCACGACAAGGTGTACAGCAATCAAAGGTGTGTTCTACCTAACATATCTAGAGAAACCTTGAGTAACTGAACAAAGGGACGGCAATACTTTGATTCCGGGGATTATGCACTTTCTGCCGCCAGTAAAGCAGACGATAGTGGTCTTACACAAACCGGCACGGCCCATCCTCTACGTGAAAGCATTTCGCGCCCCTATGCCCCAGTTCCTACTGCTAGTAATATCAGCAAGGATGCATATAAAGACATTAATGTTCAAAAGAGCCCGAGTCCAGAAATAGTGGAAAGTCCTCTTCACCAGAGAACGAACGCTGGAAATAACAAGACTGAAGGCAATGAAGATGAACAACAGGCCACAGCCAAGGCACTGAACATGACCGACAACACAAGGTAAGTTGGCCGATGTACGCAGTGTCAGTCTCATAAAATCAATTGGGCGCGGCGTATTCTGAAGTGTTTGTGTATCTTGATGAATAGCTTCCAGATTTTAAATAACTGCTTCGTGAAGATATCCATCCGTAATAGGCATTGTTAAACACTGGTTTACAGTAATTATGCCTAGACGGCACTCATGACCTCTGAGGAGCAAACAATTCTATAGAGTGCACAGCCTCGAATGGGTTATGTTCTTAGGCGACTTTAGTTGCTGAAGTTACAAGTTTTCCTGGCGCGATTTACTACGCGCTTGTGGCAATCACAGTCAGAGTATCCCACAGCCCAACACGTCCTCTTATTATTTCTCGTATGAGACCCTATGCGTTAGTTTTAGCAGAATACTTCTTATACAGAGATTGACCTTTCAAGCATAATTTGGTGCAGTCCAAGTCCTACTATAGACCGTTAGGACTGGAATCACACGTCCCAACATACAGAAAGTGGGTTGCTAACTACACAGTCATGACGGAAGAAAAGGCGTCACACGAATGTAAGGCTGGAAAGACGCCCACGGTGTATTGCAAGTCAGCTGCTCCCGTGTAGTATATTTACCTTGACTTTCCTACTCTTAAAAACAAGTTCATTTCTAGCAATTGACTTTCTTCCGCTCTTTGGCATGAAATAAGCGCTGCGGAGGGTGGCCCTTTTCTTCCATGACCCATCCACGGATTTTCACGGTTTCTTGCGAATGGCTATGTACTGTCTTATATACTGCTGCGTGGAGTAACTTATAGAAGAAGATTTGCTCGCGGTCGATACACATCATACATATCGAGCCCACATTACCAACAGCATGATATATCAAGCTGTTGGCTTCTTGATAATATTTTGTTTCTTGTAGGTGTCTCGCTGGCTTTAGAACGCAGATGGCAAATGCTTCATATACAGCTCTAATGAACTTGTATACAAGAGCCTATGCGTTGATCTAGAGCCACTCTCGTCACTTTTAGCAGATGTCTTATAGTCTTTTTAGAAGCAAATATAGAATGCACCTGTAGAATGTTCTTGATGGAATAAGCAGCTCCACTCCCTTTACCTTCTCTTTTCGGATCTGATCGATTAGATAATGCCAAGTCGCTAGACCGTTTACGGCTTGGCATTCTTCTGTCTTTGCCCATTTTGGGTAAGGTGGCGGCCATGTGGCCTCAGGCATGGCTGCCGAAAGAGGAAAGGCCCTGGAGGAGGGACCCAGTGTAGACGCCAACGCAGAGGATCCCGGAGATTTTTCATTCGCATCGTATATGTACATATGGACCGTCTCTGTCTTGTTCTCTGCGTTTGCTCGTTTCTTCGCAGGTTGATTGATAATCATGCTACGGGGTGTTCTCCTTCAATAAACTATATAAGTCTTATGGCAGACGACAGTGTCAGCGACATTTCATGCGTGGTGGGGCATTCTCTCTTGTCATGGCGTGCTTGATGAATGAACAGTCCGCAATGAATTCAGAATCACCAGACAAACTCGAAACCTCGGCGGAGAGCACGCCTCGTATGAACCAGTCGTCTCAAGCTGCAATAGAAGAGGCCGAGCCACAGCCTTACTCGTTGGACTCTGATACAATCGAGCGTCTGGGACGAGAGCGGCCAGCCTGTTTCTCCAATGCATGGTCCGAGTTGGCTTTCTGCTTCTCCATCTTTATGTGCCAGATCCTGGCTGTAAGTTCACCTGTTTGCATGTTACTCATAGAATCCCCTGACCATGGTAGGAATATTATATCTCTGGCTCAAATGTCCTGCTCCCGACCCTGATGGAAGAGCTAGACATTCCTCCGGCTCTATCTATATGGCCATCAACCGCCTTGTCTCTAGTTGTCACCTCTACGCTGCTGATTTTCGGCCGGCTATCCGACATGTACGGCGGGTTTATACTCTATGTCGGTGGAATGACGTGGCTTATGATCTCCTCCATCATTGCCGGCTTCTCACAATCCTGGATTATGCTGTTTATTCTCCGTGCCTTGCAGGGGCTCGCCCTCGCATCCTACCTCCCATCTAGTATCATGATCCTTGGCAAGATATACCGACCTGGGCCTCGGAAAAATCTAGTATTCAGCATCTATGGTGCTTGTGCTGCTCTGGGCTTCTTCGTGGGCATCTTCTTCTCGGGTCTGTCCGGGAGCTTCCTCAGCTGGCGGTGGTATTTCTTTATCGGGGCTATCCTATCCGCCATCACGGCGGTCTCGTCTTACTTCTCGATCCCGTCCGACTTTGCCGAGACAAAAGCGACGTCGAAAGCGCGAATGGACTGGCTTGGATGCGCTTTGCTCATACCAGGCACCGTCCTGTTTGTCTTTGCCATCGCTGACAGTGCTCATGCGCCCAGGGAGTGGAGGACACCGTACATCTACGTGTGCTTTATCGTGGGCGTCCTCTTCCTGGCGGCGTTCACCTACGTCGAGGGCTGGGTTGTGTCGAACCCACTGCTCCCACTGGATCTGTTCTCCGTCAAGTATATGAAGCCTCTTGTGATCTGTTTGCTGTGCCTCTACGGCAGTCTGGGCATATTTCTTCTATACAGTGCTCTGTAGTAAGTTGTTCTATCGCATTGCACTCGTTATGGCACCAACTGACTTTACAAGTATGGAACGAATCATGGGCGCAACACCCCTCCAAGTCGTCGCATGGACTACCCCAATGGCCGTCGGCGGGCCTCATCATCTCCGCCACGGGAGGCTTCATCCTGCACGTTTTGAACGGCACAGTCCTCATGATCATCTCCTGTTTGGGATATCTGCTCTCGGGGCTGCTCTTCGCATTGCTCCCCCAGGGCGGCAATTACTGGGCGTATGTGTTTCCCGCCATGATCGGCGGCACGATCGGAATCGATGTCAGCTTCAACGTCACGAATATCTTCATCACAACCAACATGCCCAAGGACCGGCAGGGCCTGGCTGGTGCCCTAATCAACTGCACCCTGCATATGGGTATTGCAGTGATGCTCGCGTTTGCGGATATCATCCAGGTCGGGACGGAGGACAGGGGACTAAAGACGAGCTACCATATGGCGTTTTGGTTTCAGGTTGCCTTGGCCGGGTTTTCGTTGCTTCTGGTGATTGCCATGGTTCGAATTGACCGGGCAAAGAGCGAGTTGACGGTTGACGAGCGCCGCGAGTTGGAGAATAGCCAGTGATGGTGATATAGATCGTTGTATGTATATACCGCCGAGAGGTATTGCCCCTCTTATTTACATGAAGTGAATAGAACATATAAATGCATAAAGGCGCCGTTATTTAGGCTATAGATACAGCCAAGCATCGTGGTGCATCATCGTGATGTGTTTCTTCAGCGCAAATCGTTTACCGGCTAAACAATCGTACGAGCTCCATTCCCAACAAGGAAATTCTCCGTACCTGCATAATATCCTGGGCTCTCATTCATTCCCTCGCATCTCCGCTTCATTCTGGACACAGAAGAACTCGATCCAACAGGGGTATGAATCCGATACAATTCCTCCACACAGCCTATGACGAGTTTCTCTGGATTCGACTCATCCACGATGCGGGGAACATTCCACCCCGGGTAGCAGTATAAAAGCCGTGATCGACCAGTCTCGCTCCAATGCTGCAGGCATGTAATCCAAAATGGCGTCTGTAATTGCACTGTCCCTGCTCCTACCCGCTGCTTTTGCAGCGGACCACTCACCGCTCCGTGCCCGCCTGCAGGATGGTCTCGCCCGAACACCACAGATGGGGTATCTGATGTCCTCTCTGTCGTGTACGCAACCCCACTAACGCCCAACAGTTGGAATACCTACAACCACTACAACTGCTACCCCGACGAAGAGATCTTCCGCTCGAACGCCAAGGCACTGGTCGACTTTGGTCTGGCTGACCTGGGCTACCGCTACGCTACGATCGACTGCGGATGGACTCTGACTGAGCGGTTGGCTAATGGGTCGCTCACATGGAATGCGACGCGGTTTCCCAGCGGCTTTCCCGCAATTGCAGACTATCTCCACGATCTGGGACTGTTATTCGGTGTCTATGGCGACGCTGGGATCAAGCTCTGTGGTCCGTCGGACGAGGTGGGCAATTTAGGTGAGCGCAGACTCAGAATTGACAGTACAGCGCTAATGAAAATGTCGAAGGCCACGAAGAGCAGGATGCACAGACCTTTGCTGCGTGGGGTGCTGACTCGCTGAAATGTACCTTACCTTTCTCCCTCCTAGAACAACGACTAACGACAGTAGACGACAACTGCTTCTCCGAAGCCTCCCTAGGCTACCCCAACGTCGAGTACGCCCCCAGCTCGCCGCTCAAGCCACGCTACGAGGTCATGTCCAACGCACTACAAAAGCTCGACCGACCGATCCTCTTCCAAATTTGCGAATGGGGCATCGACTTCCCCGCGCTCTGGGCCCCAGCCCTCGGCCACTCATGGCGGATAGGCAACGACATCATCCCCGCCTGGCGCAGTGTCTTCCGCACGCTCAACCAGGCCGTCCCGCAGACAGACTTTGCCGGGCCAGGCCAGTGGCCGGACCTCGACATGCTCATGGTCGGGAACGGCGTGTACTCCGTCCCGGAGGAGGAGACGCACTTCTCGCTGTGGGCGATTCTGAAGAGCCCGCTGATTATTGGGTCCGCGCTGAAGGACGCCACCACGGAGATTAACTCCGAGTCGCTGCGGATTCTGAAGCAGAAGGCCGTTATCGGGTATAACCAGGACAAGCTCGGGGTTAGCGCGAGCCTGCGCCGGCGGTGGACGGACCAGGGGTATGAGGTATGGAGTGGGCCGTTGTCGAATGGGAGGACGGTGGCTGCTGTGATTAACTGGAGGGGCGAGGCCAGGGATCTTACGCTGGATCTGCCAGATATTGGGCTGCAGTCTGCGGGTCTTGTCAAGAATATCTGGGCTGGGTCGACGAGCAGGAATGTGCAGACGTCGTACACGGCGAGGGTGGAGGGCCATGGCACCATGCTGCTCGAGTTGCGGGATACTGTGCCGGCTGGCGTGTATCCAAAGAAGATCTTTGGCTCTTCTCGCGGGTGAGTTGATCGTGATGCTGGTTACATGCGAATACTAATTCCATGCAGACAAGGAACAGTCTTCAAATCGGTCTACGCAGGGTCTACCAGCGAGAACTATACCCTCGCCATCAACTTCGCCAAGACCATCCCATCTGCCAGCAAAATCACCGTCCAGGTGGGCGCCAACCGCCAGAAGCTATCCATTGCAGTGCCCCCCTCTCGCCAGCAGGTAACCGCAACCATCCCCCTCGTCGCCGGATCAAACAACACCATCACAATCTCGCACTCCCACCCCATCACCGCAATCCAAGTCACCTCCCCGAACGGAACCTACTACCCAGCAACGCAATTCAGCCTGACCGGAGCCGCAAGACACGAAACCTGCGGCGAAGGATTCTGCCAACCCGTCGGGTCGAAGGTCAGCTACCTCAGTCCCAACAGCACGGCCCGCGGCGTGATCCCCGCATCAGCTGGCACCAAGTACGTCGAGATCGACTACATCAATAACGAGGTGGCGTTCTCCTCGTCCTGGGGGTGGGGCGCCAACTCGCGCAATCTCACCATCTCTCTCAACGGCGGGGAGCCTGTTCGGCTGGAGGTCCCGCTCAGCGGTCGACACAGTGAGCTGTTTGGGCCTGGAAAGGGGTGGTGGGATACTGCGACCCTGGGTGTGTCGGTGGATGGGTGGAAGGAAGGTGACAACGAGGTTGTCGTGGGCAACGTGAATGGAGAGAAGGGGTTCCAGCCATATGCAGCGGACTTTGTGGGTTTGAGAGTTTTTGATTGATATATGGAATTGGATATTAGGCTGATAGTACTGGAGAAACAAGTACATATTCACAGAGACAGACTGCGGCCATCGACTTTCTTTATATTCAACGACTCGATTTCGATCCCCTTCACAGTGCGGACCTAACAGAATGAGTAAATTTCCTTGTCTGGTGATGAATACTCACATTTACCGCGGCGCGATCACTGTACCCAGGAAGACATGACGTTGCATAAGTACTTGTGCCGCAGTTGACGCAAAAGTAATGCGAAACTTTCTTCGAGGCGAACTTGTATTCCTAGAAGGGGTTAACTACATAGACAAATGGACGGGTGTTATAAACCTTCACGGCCTTTTCATCATGACCAAATTTTATATCATTGAGCAGAGGGTAGATAAGTAGGTATCCGTGGGTCTGGCAGATGGAGCCTATGCCTTTGATTAGAATAAGTCCCCTAAGTGGACAAGAGTACTACAATTGCACTCGTGCACTTCTTGTTCCTCAATCGGAGCTGGAAGCGTGAACGAGTAATTCACCTGACCGCAATGGCAGCTGCCCGTGTAAAAGGGGGTCTCGGTAGCCGAAGACATTTTGCGCTGAGTTGGTTGTCTGATGCCGAAGATTCTCTACCTATATAAGTTTGGGTGATGCCTGCTCAGCTGACTGCCCGCCTCGTATTCGGCCCCAACAACACGAGTGCGATGGTTGGGAAGCGTTCAACAATTGGAGGGGGTTTACCTGTCACTACCTGGTTGATTTGAGCGTGAGCAGGCTACTTTCGTGGAACGATCTCTAGGCGAACTGGAGGTGGGACTGGTTGCTATAATACTTTGACAGGTGAGTGGGATCAGTTCAGTGAAAGATTCCATTAGATGTTGAAGATGATACCTATCTCAAGTAATCTGGCCCGGTCATATTGTTTGACAGTCCAGAGTAAACGGGCCTCATAGCTATATCTCTTTATTTCCATACGAGTGAGGCCACCCGTATATTCCAGTCGTCAGAATCGGCCCTTGGCAGATTTCGTCCGTCTTCGCCTTCAACTCCTCCACTTCCCAGTGAGCCCACACATGACGACCACTCAGGAAGAATGCCTCTGGACTCGCCAGCCATACGCAAAAGTCGGCCGGGAAGTCCACTGTCAGACATAAAGCGTCAGCATGTCACTTGATATCGTTCTGGGGTGGCACAACAGCCCTATCTGTGTCAAATGGTAGCTTGTCTCTGGGTATTTTGCTTTTTTGAAACATTTTGGTCTCGATAATACCAGGCAGCAGCGAAACCACAGTTATTCCAGGGTTTTCCGCAGCGAAATACTCCAGCACCGTCAGGGCAGCAAGCTTGTGACAGATATGCAGACATCCCAGGCAGCGTCGCGGCCGCCATCATCACCCCCGCAGTCATCCCGATCACGACTGCCCGAAGAGGGCTGGCAGTAGGCTGGAACGCCTTCAGATTGATCATCGTGCGGCGGACGTTCGTCTGGATCTTGGGTTTGAGGCATTGAAGCTTTGAAAAAGATCCCGACACACATACCTCAAAACTCTGCCACTAGTCATCAACGAAGACTCGCGATGCTCCCAGCAGTAAACTAGTATCCAGCGTTTAGGACGAGCACATCCCACGTGCCCACCTGTCGAGCAATATCCTTGATTCCTGCTTCGTCAGTGACGCTGACGACATAGACCGCGCTGTCGCAGGTGAGCAGTTTCTGGGTTTCGAGCAGCTTGGACTCGGTCCGTCCGACAAGAACTACTTCGCTGGCGCCATCACGCGAAAAGGATAAAGCCGCTGCTCGACCTAAACCGAACTAGGACTTCCACTAAGAATATGTCGGTCAGGCCGCCGACGCGGCGATTTATCGGAAGAAGTGATGGTTCCTTGCTGACACTAGTAGGCGAGGACGCCTTGCACTCTGCCTAGCAATTCGAACCCTGCACTAACAGACTCTCCACACTTAGCGGTCCGGGGTCCCCGTTAGGGTTGGTTTAGAGGCTGTGTCTTTGTGCCCCGTCCACTTAGATCTATTGCTAGAAGGCTAGTACACTTCATGGATACTACCCTGCCTGGACGATAAATTGGACTAATTTTGTAGCTACCGATAGTAGGTTTGACGTGTGGCCGCTCGTCTGCTAGGTTATTTCCCATTGCTCCTGACTACATTGCTAGTTCTAAACCCTGGGCGGGAGAGAACACTACTTAGATTTTCCTTTATAGCTTTCCCCTGTTGTCAGTCACCGAGGAATAATAGCACCGTTTCTGATCTACTCAAAATCTCAAACTGGTACTCATTTTACTGAGTCCAGCAACTGCTGCTCCTATAGTGAGTAGCTTTCTCCAGAAAGTCCTGCATCACTCGCCTATATAAGTTCACAACGCAGCCCTGGACCATTCCTGCACCATGGACACAACAAACAGCACCTTGGATCAGGCCCGATGCGCCGGGCAGGGCACGACTCCTGCTCTCAATTATCCAAACTTCTGCGCCATCAACATCTGGCAAGGAGGATCGAATTTTACGGATGATCCATACGCTGCCTTGCAGAGCTGTTGCCCTACCGATGCATACAGCTACTACGGTCCGGATAACTGTTTTGCGTACTGCAATGCAACCAAGGAGACCTTTTCCAGCCTTGAAAACTGTCTTTTGCACCCTTCGAAATTCAGCGCAGTCATGTGCAATTCTGGCAGCGCTGTTGGGCCGACGCGGATAACGGCGTACTTTGTGTTGGCGGTGGTTGTTACTGGGCTTTGGCAGGTTTGATTCATGTATGGTAGATTAACGATCGTTCTGTTTGTGTAAGGGCCTCAATGGAAAGGGAAAGAGAAGCGTATCTATCATCTCGCGAGAGATGCCGGGCTCTATACATCGCGGAGGCATATCGCAGGCGGTTATCCAAACTACCTACCTTATACCCCGTTCCATCACTCTCCAAAACTTTATGTATATCCATTGGAATCCTCCCCTAAGCCCCCCGCTCACCCATCTCCTCCTCCTCCCCATCAACCCTCAACTTCGGCATCCGCGGCAACCCACACCACAGCAAAAAAATCCCCCCAGACAACCCAATAATAAACGGCTGCAGCACCTGCACGCCGCGCGCCTGCGCAATCGCCCCAACCGCAAATGGCAGCACCGCCGCCCCGCCGCCCCCAAACGCCGCCGCAAACCCAATCGCGCTGACATGCTGCGCGCGCGGGAGCAGCTTCGTCGCTACCACCACCGCAGCCGGGAAGAACGGGCCCAGGAAGAAGCCCTGCATGGCGACGGCTACGACGCCGGCGTAGAAGTTCGGGACGAGCCAGAGGATGAGGCCGAAGCCAATCTCGAGGAGGCAGTATATCTGTCTTTATTAGATATGGTATTGGGGTACGATGATTGGAGGGGAGGGGGCGTACGATGATGGCGAGCTTCTCGCCCAGTCTGGGCGTGACGAAACCCAACACGAATCGGCCAAAGGTAATCCCCAGCCAGAAGCCGGTGGCGGACATGCCGCTGGCAAAGTCGGCGCCGTGGCGCACGCGCATCATGAAGGTGACGATCCAGCCGCCGATGGCGACTTCGATGCCGACGTAGCCGAGGAGGAAGAAGGCGCAGATCCAGGTGACGCGGCCGCTGTGTTTGGTGAAGAGGGTGCGGCGGAGAACACCGCGAGAGCTGTCTGGGGAGGTGGACTCTGGGGTGGGTTTGGCGTCCCAGAAGACGGTGAGGCAGAAGGCGAGCTCTACGGCGGCGCATGCAATCTATGCTGTTGTTAGTCGGGGTTTATAATAGGGTAAGTTATATGCACCATGATGTAGTAGAAGTAGTACCAGCCGAGGTGGGCTCGGGTGATCAGGGACGTTGCGATGATGGGACTGAGCACGGCGCCGACGCCGTACAGCCCGTGGAGAAAGCCGAGCATCTGGTTTGCATCGGCCATGTTCCCGATCCAGGCGTTCCATGCGGCGTCGGCAAGACCATTGCCGAATCCTGCAAAGATGAAGGAGACAACTAGCACGGGGTATGGCGGGTGCAGACAGTTGACGATGTAGGCGAGGAGATGGCAGCTCGGGGCGATGAAGGCGACCCCGCGGCGGCCCAGATGGACGTGGATTTTATTGTTGAGCAGGGCTGCCAGGGTGTAGCCTCCCAGCGGGGAGAAGAAGACCAGCGAGACTACCGTGTAGGACAGACGGTAGTATGACTCGAGCTGGGTTGTTAGTATAAGCATGGATGTATGGCAATGACCTTACATATGGAATCAGGGGCTTAGACGGTTAGTATAGGTGCCTTGTTGGTAATGGAAAAGACTCACCCCGTAAGCAGCATCATTCGCTCCCATCACCAGGAAACTCCAAAAGGTGGCCAGCGTCTTGAGCACGTTGGAGCGCGACTGATTCCAGCGCTCCATTTCTGTGAAGACGTGGGCCGGCGCGGGGGAGTCAAGACTCGGACTGGGACTATCAACCGCCATGGTGGTCTATGTAGGAGGAACTGAGCTGGGAGATGCTGAAGAGACATCGTGTGAACGGAAGGATTGTTAGCAGGCCGATTGAGGGTTGTGAGTGGTGCTGGATATATTGCCTGTTTTGGGCATGCCAAGTACTCGCCTATGGAGACGATCAGTCATCTCCATCCGTATAGTTAGTTAATATAGGATAGTATATTAGAGATCAATGTACTGCAATAAGTATTATACTACAGGCTGCAATTGATTTTGTATATTCAACTGCATAAAGATATATCTACTTTAGCAGCATTAACAGAATAAAGAAAAGGTAGATATGCTTAAAATGGATGTACCCCGCACCAAAAACTCCAACACCAACACCGTAAGGATATATATACTCCGTCATAACCCCCTACCTCAACAAGACCATCAACAAGACCATCATCATGTCCATCCCCTTCCCCTATGCCGGCTACTCCGAGGACGTCGCCCGCCGTGTCCGCGTCGTCTTCAACGGCGAGATGATCGTCGACTCCCACACCCCCAAACTCGTGTAGGCCACCCCTTCCCCTTATCCAACACCCAACACTAAGAAATCCCCAGCTGGGAACACCCCTACTACCCGGTGTACTACTTCCCCATCAAGGACATCACCATCAGCTATGACTGTCTGCAGAATGAAACCATCGCTTCCGACGGAGACGAGGCCATCTACGACCTCGTCATCGGCCACCGCACCTCGCCCGCCGCCGTCACCCGCGTCTTGAAAGCTGGCCCGCTCATGGACCACTACAAGATCGGGTTCGACAAGGCGGATCTCTGGCTGGAGGAGGACGAGCGTATGCTCGGCCATCCGCGGGATCCGTACAAGCGGATTCAGATCCTGCAGTCGTCGAAGCATGTGCGGGTCGAGATTGATGGCGTCGTGGTGGCGGATACCACCCGGCCGAAGCTGTTGTATGAGACCGGGTTGCCGGTGCGGAAGTATATCCCGTTTGCGGATGTGAAGTGGGAGTTGTTGAGGGATGATGTTGGGCGAAGCACGAGCTGTCCGTATAAGGTTTGTCTTCCTTGATTTGTTTTCGGTTGAGAGAAGCTAAGGGCTGTGGATAGGGCGATGCCAGCTACTATATTGTTCGACTGCCGAGTGGCGAGAAGACCGGGCTGGCGTGGTGGTACAAGACACCGCTGCCGGAGAGCACCGAGATCAGAGGACATGTCGCGTTCTATGATGAAAAGGTCGATGTGTGGGTTGATGGGAAGAAGCAGGAGAAACCAGCTACAAAGTTCTCCTAGATTGGAGGTTGTTTTATGGTGGTGGACATAATGAGATTAAGATAGTAACTGGATTATCATGGTGGGCATTATGAGATTAGGACAGTAACAGATAGCAACACAGGGTATAACATCAAGCTCTCCTTAAAACACACTCAGCAGAGCCGACACCCCCAACACAGCCAAAACACCCAATCCCCCCTTGGACAGGGGCTGCTTCATCGCGACAGCCGCGTTCTCGCCCGTTGACGAGGCCGTGGCACCGGTGCCCGTCGCGGTGCCGGTGCTGTCCGAGCCGGTTGTCGAAGGCAGCGCAGCAGTAGCGCTGGCGGTCATGTTGCCGCTGCAAAAGACCTCGCCGTGGACGGTGGAGGCGCTGTTGTCCTCGATGCAGTTAAGGAGCTCCTTGACGGTCTGCTTCTGGGCGAGACAGTACAGCCCGCAGTCGTCGTCGTACTTGGTGACCTTGGCAGGGCCGCAGCACTTGTCCATGACGGCGGAGTAGTTGCCGCTGTTGGGCAGGCCGCAGGCGGCGTCCTGGACAGGGAGGACCCAGCGGTTGCCGGTGCAGGTGGCGGCAGCAGAGGAGGCGGTGGTGGTGGTGGTAGACATGATGGTGGTGGGTATTATGGTAGTAGTAGAGGGTAGATGGAGGTAGTCTGGTAGATGAAGGTATAGTATCAAACGAGCGTGGGAGTGAACAACAGAATGAAGAACAACAGAAGAAAAGCATGGAATAAATAATACTCCACAGCCTGACTTGCTTGGCATGTCTCACTTTCTGAATCAGATTTATTAATAGCATCCAACATCCGATCCATCAGCCCTAACCCTTACCTCGTACTACATCCTCCATCCTACACGTCCATCTCCTATTGCAACACCCATATCACACAGAATACATCCTCTCCTCAGCATTCGCATGCCATCTCGCCATCTGCGGCCCCTCCCACTTCTCCCGCCGACAAATCTCTGCCGCAGCCGCCCACAGCTCCCGCCCAACGCCGAGCCCACGGTACTTCCGGCGCACCGTCCAGGCCCGCACCGCGCCCACCGTCTCGTCTCCACCGTGACCAGAATCTTCTCCGGCCGCAACAGCCCCAGGGTTCGCGCGCCGCTCCGGGCGCAGGATGAGCGTGCCGATGATCTCGTCGCCCAACGTCGTCACCAGGATGTGATCGGGCAGAGATGACAGGTCATACTCGGGCTGGTCGGCTGGTTTCATGGGGGACGTGTCGTCCCCCTGAAACAGCCAGCGAAAGGTGCCCGTGCGCTCGGCGGCTTCGATGTATCGCGCCGTCTGGTACTGCGCGACCAGCAGGCTGGCCATCAGACAGCCGCTCCAGGTGGTCAGGAGCGTGCCGCGATCGTCGGGGCCGTGGTAGACCAGGCGGTAGACGAGGTAGAGGGCGAAGGTGAGGACGGTGAGGTAGAGCGGGTGGGTGAGGAAGCGGCGGGCGGCGGTCTGGCGCTGTTGCGCGATGCTGTCGGCGATGAGGCGCAGCGACGAGATGATTTCTGTCTCGTCGGTGGTTGTTCGGGTTGTCAGTGGTGGAGTTGGCTGCATTGCGATCAGTTGTGGTAGGTGATGATGGTCAGTGGCGGTTGGAGCGACAGGTACGAGCGGGAGGATGTGATGACTGCGATGAATTCATTCTGACGTCCGTACCAGACTACGCTCGCTACCATACACGGTTCCTACCTACACATTATACCACCTAAGGTAACTTGTATACTCACGCTCTCCGACCCGCAACATGGCCCCATTCTTCGACCCCGCGTGGCTCCCGCCCTCGCTCGCCGCTTCTGTCTCCTCGTCCGCCATGCTCTCCAGCGTCTTGCGCTTCGTCTCGGGGATCAAGAGCGACGTAAAACACCCGCACAGCATGAACAGCGCAAAAATCTGCATCACATGGTTCAGCCACGGGGTATCGCTCGACTCCTTGCCGCCCGTGGCCCCCTTGTGCGCCAGCGGCCCGAACACGCACTGCGCGATGATGGCCCCGATCTTGCCCGACGCGGCGCTGATGCCGTGCGACGTCGACCGGTAGCGCGTGGGGAAGCACTCGCCCGGCACGATGAAGGTGGTGGCGTTGGGGCCGAAGTTGAAGAAGAACTGCGCGACGACGTAGAGGGCTAGAAGGCCGTTGTGCGAGTGCTTCAGCGGTTCGTAGGCGAAGCCGATTACGATAAATACTATCGTTAGTATGATGAACCCGCCGAGCTGGATTGGCTTGCGTCCGAGGGTGTCCACCGTCGCGACCGTCATCCAGTACCCCGGGATAGACCCGGCGCAGATCAGGATTAGATTGCCGACCGCGTTGCGGTAGAAGTACTCGTACACGGTGCTTCCGCCGGACCAGCCGATGGCGCTGAGGATGAGAGAGTTGTTTAGGCCGAGGCCGTAGAATGCTGGAGGACGTTTAGTATCGGTTCATGCTTATGTCTGGTTCATGGGGGCACGCACCAACGTCGAGGAAAAACCACGACCCTGCCGTGCCGAGGAGAACCTTTCCATACCTCCAGTTAAAATAATGCTTGCGGAAGTCAGCCCAGCTCGCCGTCGGCGTGACAAGCACAATATTCTCGCTTTGCAGCACGGCCACGCGCTGCACCTCGTCCGGATGCCCCTCGGCCTTCCCCGCCATATACGCTCGCACGTCCTCGTCGGCCTTGAGCAGGTCGCGGGCAACATCAAACGTATACCGCGGGGTCTCGGGGATCTTCAGACGGTAGTACAGCGCGAGGCAGCCCGGCACCGCGCCGAAGCCGATAATCACGCGCCACATCTTGTCGACGGCGAGCTGGCATACGCCGGAGCACGTGCTCACCGAGGCAGCCGACTCGAGCGAACCCTGAAAACCGGCCGTCACGACGAGCGCCACCATGGCGGCGGCGAACTGGGCCGAACCCCTGCATGGCGAAGACAGCGGCCATCATCGCGCCGCGGTGTTTGGTCGTGGCGAATCTAGTCCGTTAGCTCGAGCCGCTAGCACTAGCGCAGGGACGTACTCGGAGGTGATAATAGACGAGAGCGGGTAGTCCCCGCCGATACCGATGCCCATGAGGATCCGCCAGAAGACCAAGATGCCAGTGATGCAGATGGAGGGCGAGTTGGAGGCGAGGGCCTGGGCCAGCGTGGCCAGGATGATGATTGATCAGCTCGAAGCCGTACATGCGCTTGCGGCCGATGCGGTCGGCCAGCCAGCCGAAGAGCAGCTGGCCGACGACGGTGCCGGCCGAGGTGGACACCTTGACGGCGGTGTCGGCACTGTAGGGGATCTTGCCGGGGCGGGTGGCGGCCGTCTGCCAGTAGACGACGCCCAGCATGGCGGAGCACAGGTTGATGGCGAAGATGTCGTAGGAGTCGGTGAAGAAGCCGACGCCGGCGACGACGACGGCGCGGGCGTGACGCCAGCCAAAGGGAGCGGTGTCGATCTGGGCGAGGGCACGTCGGCGACGCTCGTTGGGGTCTTCGATATGGGCAAAGGTGGCGTTGTAGTTGGGGAAGGCGGAGTTTCCTCCGGAGAGTGAAGGGCTGGCCATTGTTGATATGGATGGAGAGGGATGACTTGGGGGGAGATGTAGAGACCTCCTCCTTCGTCTTCTCCTTCTCTCCGTCTGCTTCATTTGTATATGATGGTGAGTATCAGCCGGGAGAAGAACAGACGAATCATAGCGAGATGAAGAACGCCCGAAGAGCCGTGAAAGTCTCGATTGAAGGCCACTGACGGCGACATTCAGTTCTTGTCGCTTGTACGATGCACGTGGGAGAGGGATTGGAGCAGGATTATAACCAGAGAAGGGAGATGATGGAGGAGAGACGGTGAATGGTGTGTCCAGAGGGGATGTAGTGTGGTAGGTTAGTTAGACCCATGGTCATGTTATGGTGTTGACTATGAGAAGTATATCCATGATATCAGTTGCACTTCACAATACACAATCAGTTCATCTTCTCTACATTACCTGCACCACAATACATCTTCTACTCACTACCTATCATATACTCGTATATAATGCTATTAAATACTACTAAATATATCTTTCTCTACTATTATTCTAAATATTTTCGCAAGCTTACAGATCTTTTGCCGCAGCATCGAGAGATACTAGTATATTTTAGATTTATTTTTGCTGGGCGGCTTTTTCAGACGAAGAAAATTAGTTAAAAATTTAAAGATAGCCTGTAATACCTACTTGCGCTTCTTCGACAGTAGTAATATAAGATAAGTCCGACCGGAAATCGGCTATTTTCTAAAGTTAGTGGCAATGTTAGTATAGAAGCAGACTTGGGATCTATCGAACTATATCTAGTTTTTTAAACTCTGTTCTGCGTGCAGTAGACGCCTTACAAGATTGTTATTCAAGAACGTAGCTCAGAAATAACTTATATTGTACGAGAGGCTTAGCTCGGCTCTTTTAATAGTAGTGCCCCGCGTACTACTATCCGGTAAATTATAACTACTTTCCATATATTTTCCGGCCGCATACAGAGCTGGAAGCGCGTTTTTTCTGATGTAAGCCCGTTTCGATGCGCGCAATAGCACCTGTCTCTGCTTTTAAGTATGACCGAATCTAACTTTATCAGTTTCTAGTTTGTTTTGCGGTTATTCTTAATCTCGAACAGTGGTATAAAGATTAAAAAAATACTAAATGGAAGATATCATAGCAGCTTAGCTACGGTTCCCTATAGTAATTCCTCTTACAAGGGTCTAATGAGTTCAAACAGGAATAGCTGGGCGGCTGTAGAAATATTAGAAGACTTGACTTGACTTTAACTATCCACACTATAGATAACTGGCGTTATAAAGATACTACGTGAAGCTAGACAATAGCCGGGGATATTATTGTAAATAACTACTGAATAAGTTCTTTATTAGAAGACTATAAATCTAGCAAAAGAAGATATTTGCTAAATTATTTGGTAAATCTCAGAGATACAATCTTAGAAGATATATTACTACAGTCGCATGCGTAGAGCAGCTTGACAGTTTCTTAACGGCTCCGGGAAGACGTGCCATATTCTGTTCCTTATGCATTGACGTCCGCTCTCTTATCCAGCAGCAGTTGGACTATCTCTCGATGGCCATTCTAATCGGCATATAATGGCAGACAGAACTCAATAGAAGGTTCTTTCTGCCAGGCGGTAAAAGCTCTGGCAAGGCAAGCTAGAAGGAGTGGGAGCTTGTGCAGTATCCTATATTCCTCTCCCGTATCTTGTAGTTAAGGGCTGCAGGATGAGTAAAGATCGCCAGTCAAGGTTTGACAGATTAGGCTTATTGGTACTGTGTTATTGCTTATTCCTTAAACCCTACTATACTTATTATCATACACAACCTCGTTTTACGACCTGTCTTGGGTATTAGACGGGAGTGGGCTAACCCGTTGCGGCACTATAGGTTGTTTGGATCGATTCCTTCTCCGAGGTATAGCCAATGGCCTCTTTAACTATGATTATGAAACCTGTCAGTCCCGGGTGATCGAGCCATGGGACGAAGATTCACAGTATCCTCCGTTAATACTGGGAAACTTCGGTTGGACACCTGGTACAGCGTATTCGCTAAGCCGCACTTCGGACCCGACTTCCAAAACACAGCCCAATGACCTCGGATTGTTTCCCTTTAATAAGTGGGAGAAATAGGATGATGATTACTACGAGGAGCTAAGACTTACAAGCATGGCCAAACATCTGCAACATCAGAAAGCATACAATGACTGGTGCGGGTGATAATGATATTGCGGCAAAATATTAGAAGACGGTTAGTAAAGACTTAAATGAACGGAGCAGTTATAGATAATTACATCTAATCAGGAGATCTTATAAACAGAAATTTTGCAGGTTGCGGAACGTCCTAATTCCCATACTCCCCATTAAGCTCTAATAAGACATTTGCTGAGTTTGATATCCATTCACATTCTAGTGTATCCTCCAGCCTGTGAGGGTAACCACTTTCTATAGCCGCAGACTCCCATTGAGCTTTATCTAAAGCCTTCCACAAGGAAGTGTTCCTTGGTAATGGGAATTGCAAATCGTTTGCGCGGAGCTTCATGCTCGCCGTCTTGGTTGAATTTGACTTATCTGTCCAACCTTCGTGCTGGCTGCACGCTTTGCACACTCTATATAATGTTATGTTGAACCATTTCACTTCCTCGATACTTATCCAAACATATGGTGGAAGGTCAACGTGGCAATATCGCGCGAGCATATTTGGATAGTAGAGCATGCCCAATTTCTTGCAACTCAGGACCAGCCTGTTAAGTAAGTCGGTATCGGCAGGGGGCAAACAAGGCTTAAGGTCTACTCCCAGCGCTCCACTGCTTTTATACAGCACAGCGAAAATTATATGGAGTAAGATAGCCTGGTATGTTGGAATAGGCCAATCACAGGCACTGCAAGCGTCGCCCGAACAAGACGCATCCCAGAGTTCCTACGGAGGTTGTCAACGAGGTGAACTGTTTTGTAGTGTTTAGCAACAAACCTTTTGTTCATGTATAGCAGAGTCCAGAACTTTATGAAGGGCTATGGCTCGTGAATGTGCATTCTCCTCTTCGCTAAGCCACAAACCAATAACAATAATCGACTGGACAAGTAAGGGTGTCTCGTGGTACTCGTGAAACGACCCCTGGTGAATAAATGGCCAGTGTGGATGGAACAGTTTGAAATACAGATCAATGAAATGCCTTTCCTGTTCGGAACGACTTCTGTTTGACTGCGCGGGACTATCATGCGACCCCAGTGATAGCGATTCGGTTGGACACGTGTTATGGCCACTTTCTCCATCACTTTGCTTCAAGGAACATTGTATTCCGAGACGACAGCAGTTGGTACATGGTGGACCATTTTCACATCGAGCCTTGTGGTTGCGACAGGATGTACAGGCGACTTTCGTGCGAGTGGGCTCCTCCACCCCATGTTTCTTTTGCATGTGGCGCCGTAGCGTGTCACTACAGATCAGTATTAGAACTACAGCTTTTATATATCTATCTAAGGCGATGTGCTTACCGGCGGCCAAACGTCCGGCCACATATTGCGCAATTGATCCTTTGATCTTGGTTATGTTGCGCCTCGTGGCGCCGCCGATGCTCTTTCCGGTGATAGCTCGCCGTGCAGCGTGGAAAGCGACAGATAAACGGTCTTGAACACATTGTTATGCTTTCAGTCGGTAGTGAGAGGAGGAGGATGCGGTGGTCTTGACGTAGTTACATTTGCCTTCGTTGGCTGAGTTAAGCTAAAGTTCACGCTGAATAATAACTTCTTATGTGAGTCTGCCGAGGAAAATGCTCCTGTAGCCAATCATCATAGCCCCGGAGAGCCCACCCGCGGAGAGCCCACCCACGGAGAACCCACTTACTTTGCTGTTGCTGAGAAAAGCTCTTTCCGAAACTTTAGTTAACTAGTTAGTTACTTAAGTTAGTTACTAATGCTGCATTTACTAGTAGACCCTCAAGGCGCTCTTGCGCTCTTTCTAACTGGAAAGCATGCGGTTCCGGTTCGCGATTGCGTTGAGTACTTTAGTTAAGACACACTTCGGTTATAGATGGTTACTGCCCGCCTGGCATGATTCAGCTAATTGTAGCAAAACTTTCAACTGTATAAGTTTGTCAAGCCAACAGTAAAAGGCTATGTCCCTCTGAAACCCGGGTTTATGCAACAATTGAATGGTATGTTGCTCTCTCCGGACATCCCACTCTCCCGGGACATCCCACCAATCTCGGAGAGCCCACTGACCCAATCATACCTGCTGCTTTCTGTCCGATCGAGCTTCTACACGTCACAGGTGTTGTTTGTTAGAAAGCGTTTAGTAACCCTCGGCTGGTCTTCGCGGAGTATAAATTCTCGGGCAGACAACAAGATTTACTTGTGCCCATCCACTTCCTGTCATTCGAGAACCATCCTCAACAATTATTCCTCTTTCCATTTGCCATGGCTCCAACGATCCTCATTGTCGGTGCAACCGGGAACACTGGCCGCAGCCTGACCGAAACTCTACCCGGGTTGCTACAGAAGAGCAACGCACTGTCCAACCACCGAGTAATCGGTCTGACGCGGTCTTTGGACTCTGCCGCTGCAAAGCAGCTCTCAAAAATCCCTGGCGTTGAGATGGTAGAGAAGAATTGGGTAGACATCACCGCCGATTGGCTCAGAGAACACCAGGTCGTCAGGGCCTACATCGCATCACACAACAATCCAAATCAATTTGCTGAGGAGAGCACCTTCTACGTGAACGCCCTTGAAGCCGGAGTGGAGTATGTTGTTCGGATCTCAACGACTGCCGCAAATGTTCGCCCAGACTGCAAGGCGTACTATTCCCGCTCCCATTGGGCGATCGAGGCTCTGCTAGGCTCACCCGAATTTGGAGCTATGAAGTGGACTTCACTTCAGGCCAATCAATTTCTCCAATTTGCCCTCGCCCCTGCGGTTGAATACATTCGGAACTACCGCAAGTCTGGTGAGCAGGGGAGATTGAGCCTCATTCTATCAAAGGACGCTCCCGTGGGTCTTATTGATGGCAACGAAGTTGGAGTTTTCGCTGCTCATCTCTTGGCCGCAGAAGATCCTGCTGTTCACAACAAAAAGAAATATGTCCTTAATGGACCCGAAGACTGTACCGGGGCGAAGATTGTGGAGATGGTCGAGCAGCATACCGGTGTCAAGGTCAAGGATGTTGGCTATAAGGAGATGCTTGCATTCATCGAATCCTACTACGAGCAATGCTTTGCGAAGACGGGGGAATCGAAGAATGTCATAATGACTATGAGTCATGCCAATGAGACAGGATGGGAGGGAAAATGTACAGCTTCCACCACCAGCAAGGAAGTGCTGGAGATTGCCGCTCCCAAGCGTACACCAAGTGATGTTTTGAAGGCCTTGTTGGGTGAGGAGTAATGGATGGAACTGGTCTTGTTTCCCTACGCGCAGGTGAGGCGACTTTCCCAATCTGGGGCGCAGTGTGGCAAGAGAAAACGAAGGACATCAGGCAGAGGATAGTGTCTGCATTATTACGCAGAGAAGAAAATCAGCAGAAAACAATGAATATTGTACCTACCCCTGCCCCTGGAAGTGTAAATATTTCTTCTTAGGTCTTGTTGTGGAACTCGCTTCCTACAGTATGAAATATAGTAAAGCGAGCAAATTTCAAGGCCACAGGTCCATATCTACCTCGCAAATACTCTTGTTACCTAGCTGAACTTTAATCGAGTAAGGCATTATATATGAGGGTCTAGTTCTCAACCCAGGTTTGTGCCGTGGCTAGTTATAATACAGACAGGTGCATTGTATCGGATTGGAAGAATCCGTCAGAAAATTTCAAAAGTAGACAGTAGACTTTACCATTATCCGTAGAAAGGCACATCATAGAGCAGATGCTTCTAATTACATTGGTCCTAAAATACTGCGCGTGTGACTTCAATAGTTGCAGTGCACAACGTATAGTACTAGACATGTGTGAAGGTGTAGGTGCTGGTCATCAATTAAATCAGTGAAATGGGAAACCTCGCTGCCTACTACCTAGTGCCATGTAGCGGGCATCGGGGGAGAGGTCCTCTGCCGGAAGGCCGGATACTTCGATATCCTGGAATGCAGAGAAGTAAGGAACATCGCCAGTATAGAGTAATTCGAATAGGAAATTATCTTTATTAATCGCGCTCCCTATAACGCTTAGAGACTGGCTAACTACTATAATTATCCGCAGTCTTATTGTAGGTACTAGGTAGTAGGCTAGAGTTGCTATTGTCTACTCTAATTTATATTTTAGCAGGTTTAATTTAGATAAGAATCTAGAATAAACTCTAAATTAGCAAAAATATTTATATAAAGGAAAAGAACAATACTTTTAAGGATTCTACTTTATATAGGGTAGGCGACTCTTTATTATCTCTATAAAAATATCTTTTATTTTATTATTAGACTACTAAATAAAGGCGTTCTAATCTATATTTTTAGACAATATTTTAGATTAAGATATATTAAGTAAATAGCCTATATAAAAATATTCTAGAAGACAGAAATAGCAGAACCTTTAATATTATGCGACTTCTTAGAAATAAAGATACATTAAATTATTCATTTATAAAAGCTATATCTAAGCCTTATATATCCTTATCTACTTATCTAATCTACGCGCCCAGTATAAAGCAGCATACTAATCTCTGTAACCACAGAAATAGCCCTAAAATAAATTAGGTATAGCCTTGCTAGAATATTTAAGGCACCGACACGCAGCGCGGAAAGACCGCGCTTTTGTATCTAAGGACCACGCACGACCATGGTCTTTCCGCTGTTACCGACAATTACTTCCGTATAAGAACAGACCATAGGTCCGCCACGCGCTAATGCGAGTTAAAGCAAGCTAAACTAAGCGAACAGACCCTGCGCCAGTCTAGCCCGGTCGAATTGAAACCCTGCCAATCACTACTCCGCTGTAGCCGACTTTTCGAGCGTCTCTGGATGAGGCTGATTTAGTCCGTTTAGTCCGTTTCGCTCTTTGTTTAGTCCCTGCTGGCGCTGCACTATAAAGCCATCCCCTGAGCCAGGTCAGAATGAAAGAAAAAAGACAAAGAAAAGAAGACAATCGGCCACCATGTGGTCCATCCACTCGTTTACCCTGCTGTCCCTCGTTTATACATGTCTCTATACACTCGTTCACGCCCGGCCATGGGTCGTCACCGAGCTCAAGCAAAAAGTCACCCTCACTGAGGACTACTACTACGGCAGCACCGTCGTCACCAGCATCCAGCAGATCACCGCCACGGCCACCGCGCTGCCCGAGGCGCTCTCGACCATCACCGTCGTCAGCACCGACCGCTACGACTACGAGGATGTCACCGTCGTGCAGAAGCTGTATCCCACCGGCGTCGGCGCCCCCGTCGACTACCGCCACCGCTACCTCGACACTTACTACCTCTCCGACGGCGACAGCGCCCTCTCCACCGTCTTCAAGGTCAACCTGACCTACTCCGCGCCCTCCGCCTGCTCCACGCAGTGGACCACCACCGTCGCCGCCGAGGTCACCCCGCCGGCGATCGCCCAGAGCCTCCTCCCGCGCTCCGCCGTCGCTACCTCCGTCTCCGTCGACTCCAGCGAGCCCTTCCAGCCCACCACCTACTCCTACAAGGTCATCTACGTCGCGCCCTCGCAGGTGCCGTCCTCCACGCTGAGCAGCCTGCGCCTCTACTCCCGCCCCACGGACCTCTACTCCGGCTCCGGCTGCAGCTACTACGACGACCCCGACTCTTCCTCCACCTACAACTACTACTCCCATTACTCCTCCGACTACTGGGACAACTACAACTGGTTCCTCGACGACTACTACATGGGCATCACCCCGCTGGGTCTCACCCTCGCCCTCTCCATCGGCTGGATCGGCCTGTGGCTGCTGCTTGGTTTCGTCGAGGCCTGGGTGCGCTTCCGCCGTCTCATGACGGGGTGGCAGACGCGCCGGGGGTTGCCTGTGTGCTGGGCGATTACCATCCTGCCTGTTACGCTGCTGCTGCTGTTTGCATTTAAGAAGGGCTTCCGTGCGAGGTCGCAGGCGGACGCGGAGATCCTCCAGCGCCGCTGGGATGCTATGTCGCTGGGCACGAAGCTGAAGCTGTTCTTTGTTTGGGGGTTCAGGTACAAGTACCCGCCTATGCTGGGGCCGGCGCCGGCCCGTGTCAAGACGAGCAAGCAGCCTGGGAAGAATCCGGGGCCCAGATTGTTGGAGCCAACGCCGCCGCGGACGCCGGAGGAGTCCAGGCAGGGGTCGGAGGTCCCGGAGCAGATGGCCGAGGTGGAGGGTGCGCAGGGTGCGCATGGTGTGCCTCATGAGGGGCAGATTGGACGTGCGCAGTAGGCCTGCGGTCAGAGTGTAGTTGGGTGGTGGTGTAGGCCATCCCGCTATCATATAGTCACCCAGTAATATACCCTAATGCCTAGTAACTTATAATGCACTCTATATCTATCATATTTACAACCAATCCTATCTACTGCAACCCCCGCTGCATCTTCCACCGCATAATCAAACTCGCCACCGGAAACATCGCAATCGACACCGCAACCCACGCAAACAAGATCCCAAAATCCAGGCCGATCCGCGAATGCGTCCCGAACACAATCGTCCGCAGCGCCTCCACAATCCGGTGCAGCGGCCACGCATACCCCCAGCGAAAGAACCCCGGCGCCAAATCCAGCGCATAGAACCCCGTCGCCACATTCGTAATCACCCAGAAGATCAAAAAGAACGAGCTCCACGGGAATCCTAAGATCATGGCCATGTTCTCGCACGGCAGGCCCAGCGCCGTCATGCCGACCCAGTTCAGCATCCAGAACACCACGAACGAGCCGCGCCCGTAGGCGTTGGCGTTCGCCGCTGGCACGGTGTCCGGTGCCGGATCGTTGGAGAACGGGATCTGGAAGGCTAGCGAGACGAGCGAGTAGAACAGCGAGAGGAAAAAGTACGCGGCGATGTTGGAGCAGAGCCGCCAGAGCAGCCACTGCGGGATTTTGAGCGGCGGGTGACCGTCGGGCTTGAGGAATAGCCCGTGCACGGGCATCAGGAAGGGGAAGTTGAAGAACGCCAGGATGATCAGATAGATCAGGCCGATGGTCACGGCCGGGCCGGCGACGGCCGGCCGGAAGGGCCGGAGGTCGACGGTGGTGAAGCCGACGGCTGGGTTTATGGCCTGTGGGACGCGCGAGATGTTCAGCGACTCCTGCGAGACAAACTGTATCCAACGCGGACCGAACCGGGTGAGGAAGTTGTCGGCGAACTCGTTCAAGCCCGGGGTGATATAGCTGGAGTAGGTGGATTGGTCGCGGGCGCTGATGGTGATGAACTCGGCGGCACCGGCTGGGTCATACGCGGTGTTTCCGGAGGTGACAGCGTCGTACAGGACCGCGGTGGCATTGGGGTTGACGACGATGGCGGCATAGGCATGCTCGTCGTAGACGCCCTGGCGCACAGCCACTGGGTCGTAGTGGAAGTCGGCGGGTGATTTGATAGTGTAGCCCATGGAGATGTCGGAGGAATTAATGATGTGCTGGGCCGTTTCCACGACCGCAGGGCCAACAATCGGCGTCTGGCTCCGGTTGGTAGACGGTTCGACCTGGCCGTCAAAGTCGACGACCCAGATGGTCAGGGCGGGATAGTTCTTCTCCACGCGGAACTGCGACGCCCAGAAGAGGGACAGGGCTGCCAGGATAAAGACACAGAGCATGAGGACTGTCCGACTCCAGAGGATAAAGACTCGTCGACGTACAGCCTTGAGCGCTGGATCGAAGAAGGAGACGCCCACTGGAGGCGCCTCCTTTGCGGCCTCTACCGTGTCGGTCTTTTCGCTCATGGTCGAGTACAATGGATGAGAGTGATGTACAACATGCAATATCACAACCCTCTGAGCGATGAGGGACAATAAGTAGTCGGTTACATGGCGATGGATGAAAAGTATGAATGTATTGCGAGATGTATCGGGATATTGTCTGCTTGCGGCATTCCCGTAACTCCGCTCGCTTTCGGGGCTTCGGCCCCCGTCTATCTCCGGCCGACTTTTCCGTCGTAGTTTTCGTTAGCAATCAATATCCGACGTCCGAGTATAGTATACCTTATGCTGTTATGGACAATTGATTAGCCAGCAGTGTATCTATATTTATAGGATCATTCGAGATAGATGTATGTATGTTTAGTCGGTATAGGACTGACCGGTCATACATATGTGCTTAATTTCCTAGGACTTTCCGTTTTTAGTGCACACTCTTCGCCGCTTTTTGCTTACTAAGTAGATTTGAGCACGCTCTAGTTAATAGTTAAGCAGCCTAAGGCGATTACTACGCACAGGATAAGCCGGACACCAAGTGCAACCTCTGCCCTAAGCACGTAACCTCAATAAACTACCCCTAACAAATAATTATTCTCTTCCCTGCTTCTCTACTTGTAGTTCTCTTTTACCTGTCACGCTCCCCTAAAGCCCAGTACTACTATTAAGTCTCTTTCTCTAGTTGGAAAATACTATACTTACCACTCTGTACCAGTATGATAAAGACTTTAATAGATTTCCTCCAGCGATATACTGTACTATTTCCTTCTAGTCTCAACATCTAACATCTATTCGTCGATAACTAAACACGAAATCTTCTGGTTCTAAGCCTTATTGCAAGTATTTAAGTCATAGTTATATTCGTAAATTACTATCGCACGCTCAAGGCTGCAAAGAAGAAGTTATTCCTTAGTCTCTTCGCAAAACATATCGCACAGATATTATTTTACCTTAACTATAGTTAGCTAGAAAAATATACCAAGAAGTTAGGCAGTTCCATCGCCTTACTTATCCTTAACACCTATCCCGAGGAATCAAAGAGCCCGAAGCTCATGAAATCCCGCCGTAACAATATTACTACTTATTATAAGCATCGAGAAGAACGATAATAGCTGTATGCGGCGTATTTAGAGTCCGGTATCTTAATATATACTAATAGGATCATAGAGATTAAGTACGCTCTTCCTAAGTGGTTTACCGCGCCGGAACTAATTCAGATCTATAGAATCATATCTAGTTCCACTAACTGCCAACTCCAGGCCTTTATATTGCTAATCTTGCGTATTCGACTAGGAGGCATTAGCGTTTTTCGATATAGCGCAGCTATGATTAAAGTAATTATTCTTGGAGGGTCTATATCCGAAGTACGCCCTATTTTTTAGGCCGATAACTAATATTGACACTGTTAGATAAGCTGAAAGTCTTATCCCGCCAATAAATTAGAGAGACTTAGCGGGTGATAAATATCGAATTTATTACAGAGGAGAAAATAGCGGGGTTCGTCCCCGGTTATTAACTACCTAATAACTATTATTGCCATACGCTTTTATGGTATGCCAGTTCTAGATCTTGCTTGGTGATTTCCACTTAAGTCCGCCTCATACTATCACTAGAATACTTGGTTCGTAGAACTATTGGGTTCGGGCGTCAACAGCCATATGTTCTTCGATAGAATCAGCAAATACAGGATAACAAGTTACTGATATGATACGGACCTCTTAAGTCACATAACCCCTAGCTATCCCTGTTATTTGTTTCCCTAAAACCATGGGCTTAGTATGAAAGTACACATGGTGATGAAACGAAGACGGACAAGCCCGATCAATGCTTCTAAAGTGCAGCGATACTTAGTGATAAGCAAGTACTATTTGCTAATAAGAATTTCTCCTTAACAGCTCTGATTCTAATAAGAAAATTAACCTTTCTTAAGTCATAGATAGTCGCGACGGACGCAGTAGCCGACAGAAATTCTAGGGGGTCTAACTACTGTGTTAACCGGCGAGAGCCGATAGCGGGCTTATACTCTGGCTTTTTCTCCGGTGCTGGAAAACAGGAGTAGTTATTATGTAGTAGGTCTATTAGTGGAAGGCAAATACAATCATAGGAGCTGCATATATTATCGTACTTATAGACATCAGTAAAGTTACTAAAATCAACAGTGAACTTGATAAAAGTTAGCTATATAAGTCCACTATTTCGAATACGAGACCACAAAATATAATAAGAGTCAACATACTCGACTCAGAGACAGCTAGCGGATTGTCCTGAGGGTGAACCAGCTTCGTATATATTTGTAACTAAAATACCGGGATCGCAGAAGACTAAAAATCTCGTAATCTGTGCTAATTTAGTTAAAGTATTCTTGGTGTAATGGGGTTCCGGAATCCTCTTTATCTACACAGAGGAGCAGTAGTAGGGTACTTTTGTTTATAGCGGTTTTCGAATTATGGTGGTGTAAAGGGTCTGATTGGTGAGGTGTGTTGCCCCGTTGCTCGTTTTCTTCTAAGGGAAGTAGATTTCCCTCTTTAGAAACTGAGGAATGCTGCTCCCTGAAACAGCTCCCCACAAATTTCCATACAGCCCTAGCAGAATCGTATATAGCCTCCTTAGGGCTGCGGCTGCTCTGAGGGAAAGCTCCCATTTCCTGGAGTTGTGTCTCAAGCTGTTTCACAGAACCCGGTCTGAGTTCAACAAAGTCGTCAAATAGGCGCACACCACATCTCTGGACAGAATTAGCATCTGTATGGTCTAATCAGATACGCTGGACGACCTACACATATCCATCGAGCACGGACTTTCCCTAACGGAACGGGTGGTTCCGATGTGTAGAGTGACAAGATGCGTAGTAATATCATGTCGACAAGTATAGGGAGGGCCGGAGGAAATAGTCTACTGCTTCTTTTGACAAATTCTTGCGCCCATTAGGTTCTGGGACGATGATCCAGGGAGGCTCTCTGTAGAATCGTCTTCGTTGTAATCTTGGTGAGGGTTATGAGCTGCGTTTATTCCTAAAACCTAAAACCCTAGAGTCAGTGACAATACGGATTGATGAGGAGCAGACGTGGATCCTCTTGCAGCTTCAGGTTGCAAGCAATCTATCCCACTAGCCGCTCAAGATTTTACAATGCATGATTATACGGAGATTACATTTATATCGGCTTAAGGACTGTCCACAGGTAGACAATTCTCCTAATGTTTCCGGACGAAATAGTACGAGTCCTTCATGCGGCTCTGCCTCTGGGTAGTCTCTGCTCCTATCATTATCGGCTCGACTCCTTTGCCTCTTCTGTAGTTCGTGCAGGCAATGGCCATTGGTTGTGTCCCAAATTCTGATAGTCCGATTAGCTAAGGCAGTCGCAAGCAGCTTGGAACTACTTAAGAAGGCAACAGAGTTAATAGAATCAGGGTGGCCCTCCAATGTCTGCAGGCAGTGGCCTCTGGTGACATCCCAAATATTGATAGTCTGTCTATCTGATACAGACACAACCAGCTGTATTCCTGCCTTTCCATGCTCAGGAGTTGTGCTCCGCAGTCCTTGAAAGCACCGACTGTCTTCATCGTCGATGGCGTATAAGAGACAGTGTACGTTAACTAATTCCCTGTCGAGCACGGAAATCTCTATATCTGACAGCCACCGAACTAACTCTCCAAGCAGCTTTTTCAACCTATTATCATCTACAGATCTAAACCGAACTATATCACAATAAGTAGCGTGGATACAGATGAGGTTATATTTTTTAAGCATGGCTGAGTTCTTAGAGGCTACTTTACCAGCCACAGATAGAGGTAACTCTTTAAAAAAATAAGAAATCTCTAGATGCCGGCCATTCTTCTGTAATTCTCGAACTGTCGAATAGAAATCAATTTAAATAGTCTTGAGACGTTTATTATTCGTCCGTAAGATCTTAAGTAAAGACTTATTCGTCGACATTACTGGTCTAAGAATATTAGCTAGAATCCTGGCCCAGTCTGCTATCCACGATCTTTTATATAGAGTATACGTTGTGCCGGTTAGCGGGGCGCCGGAAACGGCGCCCATTGAACCGCCGCTCTGTCGCCCGCCGCCGCCTGCCCGATGCGGGAATCCCATTGCCCCTTCCGGTTTAGCGTGTCCGTTTTGGGCATCGCGCTGATGTCTCGCCGCTTTTGCGCCCGCCGTCTGCCGCCTGATGCCCGCCGTACGATCTATATAACCCCGTCCACCCTCCCTCGAAAGACGACGCACTTTCTCTTCCACTTTCTCCTCTGCTGCCTGCCGCTCCTGGTGCACTGCTCCCTTCCCAGCATGCCGCGTTATCCGAACACTGCCTCTTTCCGGCCTAGCGCCGTCTATATATCCTCATTCCTCGCTCAGCCTACCGTCGGAGTCGCCGACAGGTTGACCTATTCGTGATTATCGCTCCGTTCGTGTCTTATCTATCCATGTCTCCCCTTGTCCGTGTACGCCATCTCACATGTGGCGACGGTCAGGCCTTGGATTATGTCGAACTGCACCCTGTGTTGGAAGGGTTAATGGTGAGTGCCGATGTTTGTTTTTGCTTGATCTCGCACTGATTGCAGTGCCCAGCATTGCTCGCGCCTCTCCTCCATGTACAGGAGCCTGTGAGCCCTCAAGCGAGACAGGACTCCGCTGCTGTCGGATGACCCTTTTCTTCGAACCCCACGGCGGGTCTGGGGGCGCAGCTGACCAGTGTTGCATCTTACGATATCCATGGCCGATCCTTGGCCCATGGGTCTCGGTGCACGCCGGGCGAACTCCCTCACCTCGACGGCTATTAATGGCAAAATTGCCGCATGTATATTTCGTCTGCCTTGAATCTCCGAGAGGTCTCAATGCGATATTTGGGGGACAGCAGGCTGACGCGGTTGGCGGAGAACACTCCATCTCAATCTCCGAGCAGACCGTGAGGCTGAAGATCGATACGTCAGTTGCTACCATATTCCAATTTTCTCAAGAATCAAAGACCCATCTCATCATTCCTCCGATCCACAATGAACGCCATCAACAGTGGCTACCCCGGCCCCTCCCAGATGTCTCCTATAGATGTCATCTTTCCCGGTTTCAGTATGGTCTCAACCACCGCACACCAACTGCTTGCCGGTAACCTGGACAGCTACACCCGACTCTTTTGTATTTTCGTGGTGTTTGTCCTCGTCACCCGCTACGGAGTCAACTATGTGTGGGGGATAGTGAGAACTTACTTCAGTTCGTATGTCTGCTCTTATGATGGGATGATTCTGACAGTCTAAAGCCTCCACTATCTATGTCTTATACTACGACGAAGTATACGACATGCTAGTTGACTGGATTGCTGATCAACTGTTTATCCACAATGCTCATTCATTAATTGCTCGAGTGAGATCTACACAGCGGACAAACGGCCTCTATTTAACAAAGAAAAAGCCTCTGACTTTCTCTCCTTGGGATGGATCATTTTATTTTTGGTATAGGGGGCATTTGCTCATACTTTACTGCGCTGTCAAAGAACACTGAGAGGAACTCCGTATCTCCTCAATTGGACTTAATTCCACCATCCTGAAAGATCTGATCGAAGAGTGCCGAGAAAAGTATCTTAAGGAGGCACAGAGGAAGATCTCCGTCTTCGAGAACCGCGAAGGGGAGTGGAAGAAAGCCAAACTGAGACCAGTCCGGCCTATCTCCACGGTTATCATGGACGAGGAGGTAAAGGATGATATTTTGGGAGATGTGGACGAGTTCCTGGACCAAGACATGTAAGACTGGTATGCAGAACGCGGTATTCTGTACAAGCGAGGCTACCTTCTTTTCGGCCCCCCTGGGACTGGAAAATCTAGTTTCAGTCTATCGCTCGCGGGAAAGCATGAACTGGACATCTATACGCTTCAATTATCGAATATTTCGGACAGCACGCTAATGAAGCTTTTGCCGAACTTCCACCGCGTTGTATCGTTCTTTTAGAGGACGTGGATACCGCCGGGGTAGGGCGTCGGGGCAGTGTCGACACGGACCAAGATGGCAATTCACAATCTGCAGTCACCTTATCCGGGCTCCTGAATGTGTTCGACGGTGTCTCGTCTCAGGAGGGCTGGATACTCATCATGACCACGAACTATATCGACTATCTGGACGAAGCCCTGGTTCGGCCTGGCCGATCAGACAAGAAAGTCCATTTCAAACTTGCCGATCAGGACATGTTTTCTCAGCTCTTCCGCACGGTTTTCAAGCAGTTGCCGAACAAAAAGCAATGCAACGAGAGATATGACGACGAAATGATCGAGGGGCTTGCTCGTGAGTTTGCCAGCAAAGTACCCGAGCAACTATTCAGCCCGGCAGAGGTTTTATCATTTCTTCTGGAGCGGAAGAAGTCACCCTATGACGCGGTTTCTGGTATAGAGAGCTGGATGGCGAAAGCGAAGGATTGAGATGTTAATGGGAAGAAATAGGCGGCAGGTGACAAGTGAAATGTGAGAATCACAGGGAAGTGTTGGATCAAGTCATGTTGAGGGAATGTCCGTCTGATAGCGCTAGTTAATTACTTGTCGTGAGGGCTTTCATCCCATATCCTGGGGCTGCTATATTTTGCAGCCAATTCGTGCCATGTTATATCTTGAGGTTTCGGGTCATGCGAGGCCTATCTCGTCAGCGGATAATTATTGAATGGTGATGACACCTACCAGTTGCTCCCGTGATAGAGGCCATTGGCTGTCAGAATTGATAAACACTATTTGGCCGTTGTGTCTGAGGTAGTCCATGCGACATTGCCGGGGATGGAGAGGCCGGTCGCTCTCAACTTCCTTTGTTGAACATATACCCTACCTATGTGCCCAAAAGTGAGGACGCCGCATCTGCGTCCTCATCTTTATCTTCATCTGAGGCTGCCGTCAGCAGTCCGTCTGTAGTGCCCAGAGAGGAAATTGGATCCTCTCAACTTCCTTCGCCGCCGACACGCCCCAGCCCCATTCCGAACAGCGTTGAGAGCACTCAGTCTTATCCGACTGTCGTCGGTCCGGCCGTGAGATCGCCCTTACCGCAGCGACCCAAACAATTCAATGAAAATCTGGTCCATCGACAACGATCGACGTACGTCCTGGGCAAGCACCGGGAAGCTGCTGGACGGCATTCTGCGGCAGCCGAAGATTCAGAATCAAATGGGAATTTCCCTCAACCTGAACCTATGACAATCGACGAGGTCCCAACCATCTATGCAGAGTTGATAATGGTGGAGAAGTGCATCGAGGCCCATCACGAATTCTTCATGGCCTCTTAACTCACGCAGCCGGCAGGAGGCACCGCCTTGGCACATGTTGCGGACATGGAAAAGATGAAACAACGCGAAGGCCACTCGGCTTGTTCATCGCAGACGCAGCAGTGGCCGACCCGACTCACGCATGATGATCCGGCCGACAATAACAACCTGGCCTCTTCGACGATCAACATCCTTGATGAGCTATCGCCAGTCCAGCAGACCCCGACTTCACTCACGCCAAATACTTTGACCATGGAAGGGCCCTTAATGCACTTGGGCGACAGTGCGTATCGGCCGCCATCTTTCCCTGATCTAGGTAGCTCTGAGAGCCAGCCCAGGCCTGAGAATATAGACTACTTAACCGCGACCGCGGACTTGAACATCTACGGCCACGTCAGAACTGAGTCTATCGAACGGACTCTAGCGCCCGTAGATGTGGCAGCCAACATGAGCTCTTGGGGGGTCGTACTGTTATCAGAGGGACTTCCGGTTCAACCTAGAGCTCTCTGCTCCAACGGATCTGGCTTTGTGCCACGCCCCTTTGTCTCGCAGCCTGCCATGTCCCACGGCCACGGCCGCGGCTACTTGATCCGTCTCCGGAAACACTTTGGCCTCCACCACCTGAATAACCGCCGGGTTGGAGAGTTACTTAATTCGTGAACTGAATAGTAGAGTCTAATTGTCTATGGGATTTTTACCTGTTAGAGCAGAAGAATCTGGCACGTGCGGGCCAGCTAGAACGGTTCTGGAATATTCCTCGTATCCCAGGTCGCATGGAGAGTAATTTCGATGCCACGGTTCCATACAATTGCCAGTTAGCCATTCCGGCAACCCGAAGAGACAGCACCGGGCATGGTGGATCGGCCGCATGCCAAACACGGACGATATCCAGGTATCCGGTTTACCCGGACCCGTCCCAACCTCGGCAGCAAATCTTTCTTTTTCAGACAGGGTATACGGACTCGCTATGTATATGGGAGGCAGACGCCAGACCTCCATCCCCTTGCTTCTCTATATCATATGCCGTAGCTAGAGCTGGTCAGTAGCGAGTCTGAGCATGTCGCCATGGTGCAGGGATCGTTTCTACTCTCGGTTCTGCGCGTTGCATTACGGTCAGCTGGTTTCTGTTAATGGACGGCTGCTGTTCTGAACAGCTCCATATTAAGTCGTTGCATGATGTTGATGAAGGATTAGATGTAGTGTGACACAAGGAACTATCCACCGATATAATCTCTCAGTCGTCATATCCACCTGAATTAACTCACATAAGACTTCATCGATCTCCGGTCTGTCATATTTCTGGTTTACCGTCAGTTTCAGGCGAAGTGCCGATGCTCCAACATTGTAAGGGTTTCTTATTCTCCTTAAACCGGGATCTGCCATATTTATCGAGTCTGCTCTGCGGAATGCGCTCTATCTCTAGCTAGTAAGCGGTAGTGTTTTGTATCAGCAGACTATACGACAGCATAGGCCGTGTTTAGCACGATTCAATAGGGTTTTATTATAGTACCTGTTCAGGCAGCTGAGGCTACGATGCTCACGTTTATAGAATATACCTGGGGCCTGCTCAAGCAGAGACTCTACTCTCCAGGGTAGTTGTAGACTAGTTTGTGCGGTACGATCTATTTCTGTTCTATATAGTTTTGGGGTACTCACGTCTGCAGTAGTTATATAGCTAGTCTTTCTCTCCGCCGCTATAATTCTCGCGATCGAAATTCTCTTGCTAATTTTTATATCTCTATATAGATGTGAGTCTTTTGCGCTGTAGCTTAGCAACTCTCCATATATCTCGAATATTGTCAGTTATATGTGGCGTACTATAGATTGGTGCGTCTATCTTTCTTTTACTTACTGGTTACTGAATCCCTAGCGTTGCTGAGTAGGTGTTATATTCTCTACGGCTTATTAATCTGATTTATTATAATATTTCTTGTAATTTGTATATTATAGTATCTCGCGCAGTTCTTAATCTCCAACATACTCTATGTGCTTCCGTGGACAATCATGTGTTAGGTCGTTGATTTTAACCCGGAAAATGCGTGGACATACTATGGCATAGCCTGGTATTTGGAGGCAGCTTAGTGTTTATCTTTGTCGAGATCTTGTTCGTCGTTTCATTTTGGGCGTGGGGGCTGCTTGACGGGAAGTTAAGGCTCCATGCGCTTTGAGTCTCTATATCTCACCCTTTTTGATCCGGCATGACGCACGCCGATGCATGGGAAGAACGTTCAATGTTGCGTTTGTCCATACCGTAAAGAAGGAACCCTGAAGCCATACGACCACGTACATCCGGTTCGGCTCGGGCCGCCTGACCAATAACTGAGCACGTTTACTACTGCCTAAATTATCCAGTTGATTAACGGCAAAGAAGCTTGAATGTGTAGCGTTGAGAATCGACGCTCTACACAGGTCGTTCGCAGGTAGGCCATCGCTCTAACGGAATATCTATAATCCGTCACATGTTATCACGTGAGTATGCTAAATGCTAAGGAATGTGGCGCCGCTCACCCATCATTCTTCCCAGCGGCAATGACTACACAATATCCACGACAGCTACAAGGGCCTGGCAGCAGAACGTCATTTGTTTATATGAAAGATTAACGTGACGTTGTATCACCGCAAGTGACTATCAAAATGGAGCTAGACATAGACAAAAAGCTTGGTGCAGTCTTTGCCTCTTTTGACGGCTTCATAGAGCCTATACTGGAGATCCAGGAGAACATCGTGCCGCGTGCTAATTTCTCACATTGGGCTGACAACCTCCGATTCATAGAGGTTCCCAGGATTAGCACACCTGAGCTGGACGACTTTTTCCGGACGAAACTGCTGAACTTGACAGATAAGGGTGAATTTCCGGGAGAGAAGAACTACCTCGCAGTTTCGTATTGCTGGGATTCTTTCGAAGTGTCCGATGGAACGCGTGCTTGCACGCCTTACAGAATTCGAACAGACAGGGGTATCCGACCAAGCAGGGCACCCAGTAGTGTTCTCGAGAGGTCTGTATCCTATGCTATTACACGCGGTGTTCCCTTCGTGTGGATCGACCAGGAATGTATCGACCAAGATGATTCCAATGACTTGGAACAAGGCATCCAGTGTATGGACCAAGTCTATCGAACTGCTACACACTCTATCGGACTGCTGAGCACAAAACTCCACGCCGAGTCGACCTTGCGAACATTCACTCGAATTCTGTCCCATATACGGGATAAGTCTAACCGTTCGGACGATTCCTGGCAGACTTCTTGGCACGATCCGGTTGACCCACAGAGCCTGTCAGACGTGAACCATCTTTTATTCCAAATTTCATCCGACAGGTGGTTCCGTCGGAATTGGACATACCAAGAAGCAAGTTGCACTCAGGGTCAAATGCAACTTCTCATACCACAAGCATTCGGCCAACAACTTTCGATCACTGACGGAATCCTTAATCAAGTTTCTTTGCGACTGTCCGAGCTTTACGATGTCGTTTCGGTGATTGGAGCCACGGTAGATAAATTCCTACCTCAAACATCGTCAGGAGCTGAGAATATAGACATGGAGGCGATGAGCGGGCTTTATGTGCAAGCATGGGACCAGAATAAACGGAGAACACGTCCACAGAGCTACGAAGTTGCAAGTCAGATGAGCTATAGGGACAACTCAGTAGTCGCAGACCGGCTAGGCATCACAGCGAATCTGTGCGACTATTCAAAAACCATCGATCCTTCCTCGTTGAGACTAAAGAAATACACCTACAGCATATGTGCATTCGCGCTAGCTTTAGTCAACGGGGCTATTATTCCTTCGGGCCGCTCGAATATATTCGCGTCTACTGGCAAGCCAATTTATCGCTGGCAGGACCTGAAGATTTACGATTTCATTGCTTCCCCAATATATTTATCTACTATGCACGCCCATCCCTATCGTATTGAACAGCGCTTTGCCAATGTTAAAATTAGGAGAGAGGGATTGGAAACCTCCGGTTGGCTCTGGATGGTTGACAGAAGGATCGAGCTTCCGAAGCTCAGAGAGACACATTACAATCTCCTCGAGAAGCTTCAGTGGCCCAGAGATCTGAAAGCTTTGTCTACTCCCCTGAAGGCGCTCTTAGCAGATCTCTTTGATGAGCTGCAAGAACTCAATCTCCGAAGAGTTGCAAGCACTTTGCGTACATGCATTAAAGCGGAAGAGACCGAAGCCACGGCGACTGATTCGCGACATTGTCTGGACGAGTTTACCACGGACCACTACCACATGAGCCACTGGTTTTTTGATCTATTGGAAAGCCTCCTCGAACGAGGTTATCTCTGGTGCGGCAGGCTTGACGGCGAAGAGGAACCTAGCAGTGTATTCCATTGTGAGAGTGCTGTGACGGTGTTCACAGGCAGCGCAACTAGCTTTGTCGACATCCCTAGGCCCTGGATGGCTCAAAACTTCATATCTTCTGAGGTTGTCCCAGGGGCTCGGGCAGCGGACGGAGTTACTGAACTGGTGCATACGATGGAAAACATTAATGGGGCTTGGTATCCAGTGGGAAATTCGAGCAGGAGATTCCTCTTTCCATGGGGCGACCAATGAAGGATGCATCCCCTACTTGGTTTCATTTCTGGAGCAGAATGAGGAAATAAGGCTGTCAACATTACCTGCGGAGAGTGAAGCTGATGTTAATGTGGCCTGAGGTGGTGTCGCACGACGCTAGTCGGCTTCAAAATACCTCGTTCAGTAGTTTGGTTAATGTGCCAATCGCTCCACATGTCAACACACGAAAGTAGCTCCGTTCAGTTTGTCATTTAACAACAAGTATAAAACAATAGCCAATAGTTTATTGCATGACGCAGGTCCAGGTGCTACCGCCCCGAACCTTGGGTCCAATGCATGTGGCTCGGTTCGGGCCGTCAAACCCTAAGCGTTGACAGCCTCTCTAGATAGCCAGTGAATATACCGCCAGAACCTCGCCTCGGCGGTTGTTTCGCTCTGGGTCGCGCACGACATGCTTAGAGAGGCCTTGCTCCCCGTTGTTTCAACCCCTTCGTTAGTTTATGGGTGCCTAACCGCTGAGCCTCCGTCTGTCCAGACGCCGGTATGGGTGTCGAAGAACTCCAGCCTTCAATCTGCGAGTGATCGGTGAATATTTGTGTGGCATGCTTATCCATGACACTAATTCTCGAGGGGTAGAGTCTTCCTGGGTCGCGGCCCTGGCCTGCTCTTTCGCCAGGCTTATCAGTCGATTATCTTCGCTGCTTGGGACCCAACGAATGTTAATTTCTTTCCCGCGTCTCCGTAGTCTTTTGATCAGCTTGTATATCTGACAGATATGTCCTTGGCCAGATTGTTGTCGCGGATTCCGCAGCGTGAGAGCCGCCGCTTTGTTGCTCGTAAGCAGTGCGATTCGGTACTGTTTTTAGTCCCGGTGGCATGTCTAACGCGTGTGCAATTGCTGAAGTTTTCCCAGACAGTAACTACACCGACAGAGGCCTTTGGCGACAATATCTCCCCCATGCTTTATCGCTTGTGCACGAAGATGAGTTCCGACAAAGGCGGAAAGACTACAGTGACTTATTAGAGAACATGGCAGACTTCCTCCGTAGTGATGGAAGCTACCGAGAAGCGGAGCTACTCTACACCGACTTAATGAGATGGAGGACAGAGAAAGACGGTCACAGACATCCCGACACTCTGGCCAGCATGGCAAACCTTACATCAACGTACTTGAATCAGGGACGATGGACCGAGGCCGAAGCGCTAGGAGTCCAAGTACTCGAGACAAGCAAAACAGTACTAGGGACGGAACATCCCGCACCTGGACAGCATGAACAACCTTTCCTTTACCCGGATGTCTCTAGGAAAGCACCAAGAAGCTAGATTTTCGATGGAAGAGTGCTATACACTGCGCATGAAATTGTTGGGCACTGACCACCCACATAGTACATTGGTAGCCTGTCCTGGTCCATGTGAATCGGGAGCTACTGGGACTGCAACGACATGATGCGTTGGGAATGAATGTAGACTGTGTAGGGAAAGCGACAGATTCCAGAGATTTGTTCTTACGCAAATGAAAATTGTCGACAGCGAGGCTAACTACTCTGTTTCAGCAGGCCGCTTGTTCGAGCTAAACATGCTAAATAAATCACCATGTAAGCTTTCGTATATTGCTCTCCTACACGCTCCTCCAATCCTTGCTGACTATTCAGCAGAAAGTATCTGCGACAGATTCAACTGGCAGCACTGCTTGGTTTACCGCCAGTGAGACCTGAGAAACTGCATGAGAAGTAGTATATTGTATGGTCGGCAAGTAAAATTATATAGACACTGGTGAACTTACAAGTTCTAACACCAAGACAGCGGACTAATATACCAACTTATAATATAGTGGAAATCTTTAGGACAGAATAAAACAGTCATTCCTACTCCTATACAAATACCTCTTTGATGAGAGACCCAGAGTAAACCCATTAACAAAAACCGAATCCCTATTCAATACATAACAAAGGCACCGGGTAAGAGGGGGCAACTAATGAAGAGGAAGAGCGGAGAACAACCCCCCCCCCCCCCCCCCCCCCCCCCCGGGGGAGAAAAAGGAAGCTTTGAATATGAATATATCAGCCTTTCAAGCCTGTCAAACATTTCTTGGTACTTGCTTACCCCTTTCACTTGTTGCCTCGATGGATTTCACACTAGCCTCTACAAGGACTAGCTTGGGTACTAACAGCATTCGTTATTCGTGTTGAGTCGTTGACCCATAGAGAGCACGTGAGATGAATTCCCCGCCTGAAAACCCCCTTAGTCACACATAAGGCAGTGCTCCTAGTTGACCAAAGAAAGACCTGATCATGGATGGGCATTGTGCGCTTTGCCCTTCGTCTGTGTCCTACTACTTCCCAAGTGAATCTGGACCATCTGAACAGGAACGCTATGACCTATTCCATAAACCCTGCTCCTCCTGTTCTGTGATAGACTCTCAGGCATATTCGCTGTGTGGCTTTTGCCAACACCTACGATTGAGGCATCTGGTAAGATGCGTGGAGCCTGACACAAAAAGGCGATTTTTGTTCGCTTTTCGTAAGGGGCTAATAGAAAACCCCGTTGTGACTGAATGTCCTCTTTGTCGTTTGGTAAGCCATATGATTGTGGTTGGCCTTAGTGCTGCACAATTATCTGAAGCAAGAAAATCAGAAGATAATTGCGATATTGTTCTTTATCTGGGCCTGCCTCAGCACTCGCAACCAGATGGATCAACCGTTTTTTTCGGAGATATCTATGCCCATTATTCTGAAGAGGGTGGATTGGCAAACATTTGGGTTGGCGATCTTCACATAGATGAGGTTAAAAGTGGTAAGGCATCCCATCCTTCCTAGTATGAAAAAATTCCTTATAGGAACACCGCAGGTTCCACTGCATCTCTTGCTGGAGAAATGATATCGTGGGACTCTTTGATGGGCAAGATAAATGACTGCTACGAAACACATAGCGAGTGTCAGCCGAAAGCCCAGTGCAAACTTCCCAAAGGATTTCGGGTCATCGACGTGAATAGACGATGTCTTGTTGAAAAAAGCAGTTGCCGCTTTGTTGCCTTAAGTTACGTATGGGGCTCGAACCCTCAGTCATCCCTGCTTGCAGCCTCCCGCGCCACAGTTGATGGGATGAAGAAAGATGGTGGCCTCCCTGCTTTAAGCATGCCTCAAACAATAGAGGACGCCATTGAAGTTTGTTTGAAAATGGGTGAGAGGTATCTGTGGGCTGACAGACTCTGCATTATACAAGATGACCCAGGTGACAAGAAACATCAAATAGAGGCTATGGGCGACATTTATTCCTCCGCGCAGATTGTGCTCGTGGCTTCTTCTGGCGATAGCATGGAATTTGGGATTCCAGGTGTTGGCAGCCCAAGACAGGCAGTTCAACGTAGCCAAGACGTCCTTGATTTGCGAATTACGAATGTGATTCGCGATGTTGAAGATGATCCGCTGAACATGTGGGCCACTCGCGGATGGACATACCAAGAGGCTGTTCTTTCAAATAGGCGGCTCTACTTTACAAACACACGAGCCTTTTTTGAGTGTGAACGATTGATCTGCCATGAGGATCAATTCAACGTCGAAGAGATTCGGGATGAGCTTATCTCGACCAGGCTAATTATTTCCGAAGATGCGACCCGTTTCCAATCTTTTACGCGTCACATCAGGCACTACACTTCCAGAAACCTCACATATCGGTCCGACGCTCACAAAGCGCTATATGGTATCACCATGTCGTTATACAAAGGACCTCGTGCCTTTCTAAGCGGGCTACCGGTAGTAGACTTTGATCGCGCGTTGTTATGGTACCCGGATTATGGTACAAGCATTATAGAGCGTCACGAAACTCAGGGAGAAACCCTACCAACGTGGTCATGGTCATCAGTCATGGGCCTATCCGATCCAGTTCACTACCAAGCAACGGAGTTCTATGGAACTCTAGCCCCTTGGTATCACATAGATGGCGATGTCCAATCTTCTGGTTCTATAGCAGCCTTGAATGGTCAGCCTGACTCGAAACCAGATGAGGATTGGCAAGTTTATATGGCTATTGCCATTAAGGAAGGGTGCGTGGGAAGCATTTCCCTTGCTTTCTCCTTGGAAACGGACAACTTTTTGGCCGTGCGTGAGCTGTTCAATACCCGCTGGAAAGATTACCACGCATTTCGCAGGGAAGCCATACCCTTGACCATCAAGACGTCTGAAATACCACGTGGTGTTCTCACGGGTGCACCGAAGCAAGGAGTCATAGCAACAAAGTCCCACACTGCACTCCTCAGAGTAACTCCAAGACCTTCCTACTCCTTCGACATCATCAACTCAGAAGGGGAAATAATCGGTGGACTCTGCGGCGACGCAGCAAAACTGAGAGAACAAGTCATCTCTCCGGGATACAACTCGAGCGCTAAGTTCGAGTTCGTCGCTCTCTCTCTGTCTGGGAGAATGTCTTCCTCAGAGGAGGATAGTCGGAAGACTTATATGGATGTTGATGGGAACTGGTTGAATAAGATACCTATCGTGTACGTGTTGATGATTGCCAATAATGGGGCTTTTGCACATCGTCGGGAGCTGGGCTGGATATATTTGGTTGACTGGGCAAGGCTGCGGCGCGAGTGGAAGGTCATGGTGCTTGAGTGATGGAATTGGGACGTCGTAGATCGGCGTCAGGTCGCTGGTTGTGGCAGACTACATCTAGTACTCTTCTCCGTATACTTAGTTGCTTTCATATCACCTTCATTTTCCCCTTCCACGGCCTTTTTGGATTAGTGGTAATTTCCGGTGGCGCGCCAGGCAACCTTAATAGCATCGAACAGACAAGACGCCTATTCCGAGGACGCCTTTTTCGACAGCGATTCGGTAGCACGTGACCCCTTACTCCCACCACGACCTCGTCCGCTACCACCACGCACCTCGACTTACTTCCTCCCTGTCCATGGGCCCTACCGTGGCGTTCCCGCCCCTTCTCTATCTTTTGACGAGGCGCACCTTCTGCTTCACCGTCGCGGATGTAACTGCTGTTCGCTGAGGGCACTGAAAATGGCCTCACGGCACTCGACTAGTCCGAAGCCGCGATGGCTGCTTTTCGTTTTCCACCCACCTATTCCCCTCGTTCCCTCCTTGTCCCATCCCCCGTTGATTCTATTATCCTGACTTGCTACATGTATGAGCGTTGTCCCTTAGATATTTCATGTTTTTGAGTTTCTCTTCACTGTTGAGTCTCGTTCTTTGTTTTTGCCGTGGTCTAGTCTCCCTTCTACTCTATGATCGGTGTCTGTTGACCGCTTGCTGTCTCGAACCCATACCATGAAACGTTCACGAACCAGACCGAGTACACATCCGGAAAATGATTATGATACGGACATTATTGCAAGCAGCAGCACCGACCCCGATAGATATAGTGACGTCGCTTACGAGACAGATATGACGGAGCCGGACGATGCACCAAGTCTACTGAAACGTCATCGGTCGACTAGAAGCGCGTCCGCTCCTAGGTACCCTAATAGCGATGAAGTAATGTACGACGATCCCCTAGATGATACCGGGATCGATCTTTCTGAGATCCCCGAAGATTTTAATAAAGCGGAAGGAACCATCGTACGGCGAGCACGAATTAAATCTCGCTGGAAAAGGTCAGAGACTCTGGCAGAGCTATGGCTTGGTCTGCTTCTGCTGACAATATCATAGGTACTGCATTAGCAGAACACGCCTGGAATCTAAGGTGCAAAAGTAGCGGAATCTAGAAGGAGCTCTGCGCCAGACATCGAACAACGATATATATCGGTTCTTAGGCTAGTATTTTAAGCTCGAGCTAGGATCGGTGTCCTTGTTTGGGCTACCTACGCGTTACTTTGATTGCGCGATATTGTGGGACTCGGAACAGGGAGGTCTCAGGATATCATGCTTTCCGAGTTGGTCGTGGTGTGGATGGCAACACGAAGTGAAGTGGCGGGTTTCCATGTTGAAAGGAACATACTCCGATTTCCATGCTTGGCTGAGGACTCATACTTGGGTTATTTGGCGGTACGCTGATTGCGGAAAATGGAGATTAGTTTGGGATGTTGAGTCTCATTCCTCTACGTCCACTGGCCACGGGAGGTGGAACGGATATTCTGGAGGACCTGAGCCCTACGGTCGAGATAACCATGGCGTCCTTCGCGACATACGCAGGATCCTTGGGCTAGGAGAGCTCGATACTGCTGCTGGGTATCTGCTTGAGAGCACTCTCACACCACCCGGTAGTCAAAACCAGCTGAGTTTTACAACATTCACGGGCATCTTTGCATTGTCCAGACATACCCTCTCCACAGCAATGTTTCCATCGGACCAGAAGCGCCTTCGCCGCTTTGGTATAACAGACAAGTCCGGTGATTGGTGTGGTACCGTCATGCTTGATGCTTCCGAATAGTTATGTGAGGTTGGCGGACTTTTCGAGTTTGCGGCTATCTCAACGGCAAGAGACTACTCTATGGAGGAGCTTGACACATGGACTTACTACATCCCTCAAGAAAGGGATCAGGTTGACTGGTACTGCTTCTACGCGATCATGTTGAAGCCTGTGGAGCTGGAATTTGGCATCTATGAGAGGGTTGGGTTGGCCAAAATATTCAGATCTGCTTTCAGTACAGGGTCATATCAGAGAACTGGTTGGAAGCAGATCATTCTACAGTAGCACAAAGTGTATCCGTCTAGTAGACAAATTCGTATGTAGACGCCACTTTTTGAATATATATTAGCTTCTAATGAGTACTATTTTGTGATTTCGGGACCTACATGGTAGGGTTACGCTCTTCCCTAGATAAGACCTTCGGCGCCCCCGCGCGGTATTCATTAGCAAATTACGAGTGCGCATAAGGATTCCGTCGCGTACTTTCCAATAATATAAGTATAAACCTGCGTGGGGATACTATATAAGCTAACTAATCCTGTCCGGGATCACTCTGTAAGGCACCATGACAATTAGAGTACGGGTTTATTGCTTCACTGCCACCTCTCCGTTCGCCGGATGTATGCATATATATATTACCCTACATAGCTCAAGCCGGGATCAACCAAGAACAATAAATCACCCATCGCTATTAAATATCTAAACATCGTACCATCACGCATTCTCATGGATGAAACAGACAGCATCCCACGGCGGTACGCAAGAATGACTCAAGAATATCAATCACAAGACAGAAGAAAAAAGAATAGACAGTATTAAACAGAGACCGCCACGTCTATCAGCAGGATGCAGTCTGGCTCAAATCAATGCTGTACAGGGCATTCATGCATGACACTCGTTGCTTTTACTCCGGCTTGCGTCCCACCATCAGGTACATCGGCGTGAACAGCTTCTTCTCACCACCCGCCACCAGGCAGTCTCCCGCTAGGGCCAGGCTGTCGGCCGTCTTCTGCGATCCCCGCGGGAAGAGACCGATGGTCTCCATGGCTCCCACGAACCGGTGCGCAATGCCACGGCCCCACCACGTCATGCGCGCAATCGTGAAGAAGTCCCATGGAGACGACATGTGCTTGAAAGATCCGGCCAGGGGGTAGTACCAGGGGATGGAATCGGGGCGGTCCGCCAGATCCTCGTGGTGCTCGAGGACGAACCCAGCGTTCTTGATGGCCTCCAGACCCTCCGACACGCGCACCATGTTGGAGATACCGTCACCCTGCTCGATACCGAGACGGATCTTGCGGTGCTCCGGGTTGTCGTTGTCGTACTCATCCGTCATCAGCCACTCGTACACTCCAAAGACACCACCAGGCTTGAGCACACGGAAGATCTCCTTGTAGACACCCTCGAGCTCCGGAGCGTGCACCGTAGCCTCGATGGCGTACACGGCGTCGAAGGAGTTGTCGGGGAAGCGCATCTGCATGAAGTCGCCCTTGACGAAGCTGAGCTTGTCGCTCAGACCCTCGCGCTCGGCGTACCGCGTCGCACGCTCAATCTGGTAGTCGTTGTTGTTCAGACCGACGACGTTGGCATCGGTGAACTTGACAATCTCGCGAGCGGGTCCACCCACACCGCAGCCGACATCCAGCACCTTCATACCGGGCTTGATTCCCATCGAGTGCGCCAGGTAGTGTTCGTGACGGGCAATGGCCTGGTAGAAAGGCTCTCCGGGGGCGAAACGGCAGAAGTGGAACGAGGTACCCCATCCGTACTCGTAGAAGTCGGTGGCCAGGTTGTAGTAGCTGCGTGAGTTAGAACATTGCGACCTTTCTGGCAGAATCAGAGAAGACATACTGTCGGGTCAGAGTCGCATACTCGGCACGACGAGCAGCGCGAACCTCCTCGGTCTCCGTCTCAGCATCCTTGTTGTCCCAGTGCTTGAAGTACTCGTCGACGGCAGCCTTCTGGGCGGCGGCATCCTTGCCACGCATGGCGGCGAAACCACCCTTGGACTGGGCGGACTTGCCATGAAGGGCGCGATTGAAGTCGGCATCACGAGAGTGGTCCTCGCGTTCGAGAGCGGTGGGAGCCATGGCGAGAACGGGTGGCGGTCTGGGTAAAAAAAGGGGGAGGAATGAGGGTGGACGGAATTAAAGGGAAGAGGGAGATAGTGGTGAATACAGAGGAAATGACCACACAGGAGGATTGCGCGAGGGTTTTATAACCAGGCAGCAAGCAATTGAGACGAGGAGAGAGAAGACGACGAGCGCAGGCGAAGGGGAAATGAAGAAAAGGCCACCGACCAAAAGTCCATCCGGCGTACAAGAAAAGAAAGGAGGCGGACAATATTATCACCGCGGGTGGCCAATGAGAACAGCAGATTCTAAAAGCTAGTCCCAAATTGGATCTGGGGATCTGGGTCTAGCCCCATGGAGAAACTTCCTGCCGCTCCGGTGTCCTTATGTCAGCAGGCAGATACGCAATACGCGGAATACGATGGATACGATCTTCGGCCGCAATATCAACACCTCACAATCACCAACAGATACGTAAGCTCCTCTGCATGTCGTCAAACTTCTCCACTGCACATCTGCATTTCGCTGTTACCTAGCCTAACCTTCGTGATCGATACGTTGGTGCGTGACCCAATTTATACGCTGTACGCAGTGCGACTATCACGTGCAAATCTCTATTTCTGATCGGACCCCTGCGCCACACTCACCCAGCCACGACCGCCACAACCGCCACAGCCACCGCAAAGGCTGCTATCGATAGTCCTGGTCTGCATCTTCACTCCCACCAACCTCTCCCAGTACACCAATATACACCAATATGCCTCCTCCGCAGATCAAACAGGACCTCAACCGGTCCGGGTGGGAGACCACTGATTTTCCATCCGTCTGTGAAAGCTGCCTCCCGGACAACCCTTACGTGCAGATGTTGAAGGAGGACTACGGAGCCGAATGCAAGATCGTACGTATCACCACCAGCCAAACTGAAAGAAACCATATACTAACTCTCCGCACAGTGCACTCGCCCCTTCACAATCTTTCGCTGGAAAGCCGACCGCACCGCGCGCACCAAACGCACCGCCATCTGTCTCACCTGCGCCCGTCTCAAAAACTGCTGCCAATGCTGCATGCTGGATCTGTCCTTCGGCCTGCCCATCGTCGTCCGTGATGCGGCCCTGAAAATGGTCGCCCCGGGGCCCGAAAGCTCCATCAATCGCGAATACTACGCGCAAGGCCACGAGAAGGAGATTGAGGAAGGACGCGGCGCCGTTGAAGAGTACGAGAAGACCGACGAAAAAGCCCGCGAGCTTCTCCGCCGGCTGGCCAACAGCGAACCCTACTACCGCAAACCCCGCCAACAGATCGAAGGCCCCTCCGGCGAAGACGACGAAAATGAGACCGCTGAATCCTCCCGTGCCGACGGCGCCCCCGTTGTCCATAGCCGCTACGGAAACGGCCCTGGCCCCATCCGCACCAGCGAGAGCCGACGCGGAACCCCTCTGCCCGGCCGCGGGCGAGGAAACCTGCGCGGTGGCGGCCGCGGCGGACGGCCGTTCCCCGGCACGGCGCAGCTGCCCCCCTCTAAGGAGGATATCCTGCCGCCGGCCGACCCCAACATCACGTCGTTGTTCGTTACAGGTGTGGAAGACGATCTCCCGGAGCATGCGTTGCGCACGTTCTTCACGCAGTTTGGTCAATTGCGGTCGCTGGTGTGCTCCCATCGAGCCCATTCGGCGTTTGTTAACTACGCGAGCCGCGCAAGTGCCGAAGCCGCCGCGCAGCACTGTCAGGGCAAGGCGGTCATCCAGGGATGTCCACTGCGCATTCGGTGGGGGAAGCCCAAGCCGCTGGATAACATGGATCGGGAGGAGCGGTTGAAGTACGCCCGGGAAGGTCGTAACGCCGTTGGACCGTCCAGCGCGGCTTCCGGCAACAAGGCGATCACGGCCGCTGGCGAAGAGACCGGGAAGCAGGCCGAGAAACCGCGCGCGTACGCCGTTGCGCCGCCCCCTGGTAGTGGTCCGGTCCAGTACTCGAGTATGTCGGGCGACTAAGTACATGAGCTTTGCATGGATGTCGATTTTCTGTTTTCTACGGGTGGGATATGCAGCGGGCGTTGTTGTTTCTGAATGTGCATTGGTCTTTTACAGTTCTATCAATCCCCAGTATCAAATACCCCAGAAGACGCCAAAGGAGAGAAAAGTTTGGGTATACTATAATACAATGCAAATATCACCGTCCCTCTTGCAACATGCACATCGTATCGAAAGAAGGCTAGGCGGAGCACGGCTTGTCGACCTTGACACTTTTGCCTCCGACCTTGATTGAGTCGTTGTCACCACGCTCGATTTCGTCGTGAATCCGTAGTTCTGGGTTGGTCAGCACCTGGCTGTCATTTCGCCATATCAACACGGTACATACCCCACCGGGCGGCTTCGTCCTCGGATTCCCGTACGCCCTGGACAATGTTATGTCTGAGGATGTTGGCCACTTCGATGGCGTGGTTGATCTGCATGGGGGTGTCGATGCCTTGGCGGCGGTGGCTGTCAAAATTCCGACGGGCTTCTTGACGGGCTGCGATGAGAACACGGATGTCGTCTGAAGAGTCAGCAGGGGTATACTGATGATACTGTATTCAGAATCACTCACCGCGGAAGGCAATGCGAGTGGCACGGAGGAGTTGACGATAGGCGCTCCGCGCCGAGGGGACAGATGAGGCCATTGTGTATATGGTGCAATGTGGAGTTTCCCAAAGGATAGAAGATGCAATTAGCTCAGTACCTCAGTCTCCGAGAGAGCAGAAAGAAGAACAATGCTGGTGAGTGAATGTAGACAATTGATGAGGCTTCGAGAACCTCCGAAACACCCGTCCGCTCATTGGCGTGGGCGGAGGCGGCAGCCGGCGGCAGAAAAAATGGAAAAACAGTTTTTTTTTTTCATGTTGAAATCCTCCGTCTTTTCTCCTCTCTTTACTCCCACTCCTCTCACTCCCCATATTCTCCCACCATGGCTTCTGCTCAGGTTGTCAACGTCACTCTGCCCGCCCTTCCTCAGGGCTGGTCCGCCGAGAAGGACTTCAAGGCCGTCGGCACCCTCACCGGCGCCACTCAGAGAAACCTCGAGCCCGTAGGCCCTCACTTCCTTGCCCACGCCCGCAGAAAGCGGCACGCCCGCACCTTCTCCGAGGATGAGCGCATCCAGGCGCAGCAGAACGTCACCAAGACGGAGGAGGACGACGACGACAACATCTCCGAGCCCGAGGACCCGATGATGCTCGCGCGCGAGGCCAAGGACTGGAAGAGCCAGGACCACTATGCGGTGCTGGGCCTGAGCAAGCTGCGCTGGCGCGCGACGCCCGAGCAGATCAAGCGTGCCCACCGCAAGAAGGTGCTCCGCCACCACCCGGACAAGAAGGCGGCGCTGGGCGACCGCGACGAGAACGACAACTTCTTCAAGTGCATCCAGATCGCCACCGAGCTGCTGCTCGACCCCGTGCGCCGCCGCCAGTTCGACTCGGTCGACGAGACTTGCGATGTCGAGCCCCCGACCAAGAAGGAGGTGCAGAAGGGCGACTTCTTCAAGCTGTGGCGCCCCGTGTTTGAGTCCGAGGCGCGCTTCTCCCGCGTCCAGCCCGTGCCCCAGCTCGGCGACGAGAACTCCTCCTTCGAGGAGGTCGACAACTTCTACAACTTCTGGTACAGCTTCGACAGCTGGCGGACGTTCGAGTACCTCGATGAGGATGTGCCCGATGACAACGAGAGCCGTGACCAGAAGCGTCATGTTGAGAAGAAGAACGCCAACGCCCGCCGCAAGCGCAAGACCGAGGATACCGCCCGTCTGCGTCGTCTGGTGGATGACTGCGCCGCCATGGATGAGCGCATCAAGAAGTTCCGCAAGGCTGCTCGCGCCGACAAGGACAAGAAGCGTCTGGAGAAGGAGGCCGAGGCTAAGCGCCTCGCCGAGGAGAAGGAGAAGGCCCGTCTGGAGGAGGAGCAGCGCAAGAAGGAGGCCGAGGAGGCCGCCAAGGCTGACCGTGAGAAGGCGAAGAAGGCCAAGGAGGCTGCGAAGAACGCCGCCAAGAAGAACAAGCGTGTGCTCAAGGGTTCCGTCAAGGACGTCAACTACTTTGCGGATGGTGAACCCTCCGCCGCGCAGGTCGACGGTGTGCTCACCGATGTCGATCTGATCATCAGCAAGATCGACAGCGAGGAGCTGGCCGCTTTGGCGGAGCGTCTGGGCGCTGCTGGCAAGGATGCTGCGGCCGTCAAGAACGTGTATGTCGAGGAGGTGAAGAGACTCGTTGGTGCTGGCAAGCTGAAGGAGGGCGAGGCTGTGAACTTTTCCTAGGTAGACCTGCTACACGACATTGGCTGCGGTTGATACATGTGCATAGATGATAGAGTGTTAATGGATTATGACATGTTTTATGTGCAGTATGTGTAATTGAACGTATATACTCGGTCTGATGTATACGGGACAGGTCTACCCTGTACCCAGACTACCTGATATATGATATACCGGAGGGCATGTCAAGTATATCACAGTCCAAAGCTGTTGCATTCACACCAACAACTCCTTGCGTCTTATATCCGAACTATACTATATTTCCATTTTTATATATATTCCACTCTCTATCTCTGGCTGTCTAGTTTCCTATCTTTCGAAGCCTATATCTCTGTCTCCTGCTTACCTCCATTCCAGTGGGTGCTCCATGAGGTGCATGGCTGGAGTGAGTGGGCTGTAGGACCGGCCTCGCCCCGATTAGGAGTCGAGTTCTTCGTGGGGTGTTCTTGTTCGGACAGTATAGTGATCGGATCTACGTCCGTCAGTGTCGTCTGGATTATGATCCTGATGTGCAACCAGATGCCGGCTTTTCTCCCTGTTCCCTGCAGCGGTAGCCACCCCACGGAGCTTATTGTCTACGGCTGGACCGCAATTCCACTCCCACTGGATGGTACCTATCATGGGAAACGGAATCTTCAGCCCGGTGCGGTCTAGGACCTCGCTTAAGCCGTATAGATTAAACGTCGGTAGATAGACGAATAATACAGCTGCCGGATATCCGAGAGCCAAAGGTACATTGGCATCGATGCCAATAACAATGCGGGATCTTGACACAGGCATGGCAAAGCTTGTCGAGTGGAGGAAGAAGGACCAAGTATATCCAAGTATGTCAACACGTGCCAGGGACACCCGGATGAGTCAGCAGCCATTACCCGATCGGGCCATGCTCTCCTCCAACAAAACACCCACGTGCTCTCGACACTGTAAGTTGTAGTATACCAACTACGTACGCCCGCCATCACCACGGCACACGACACCGTCTCCAGAACCACATATAAAACCACGATGACATCCCTACGCTCTGGTTTGTTTCTCTCATCCCTAACCTATTCGCCATTGCTTCGGCATCCCGCTCACGATGTTCTCCAAGCAGTCCCTCGTGTCCCTTCTGGGTGGTCTGTCGCTGGCTCTCGCGCAGACCTCGTCCGAACAGAACCCGTCTCTTGCCGAGATTGAGGCCGCTCAGGCGTCCGTCCTACCGTACTCGCCCGTCTCCAATGTCAAGGGACTCTCGTTCAACCGCTTTGTGAACATCTGGTTGGAGAACACCGTATGTCATTCTCTAGATACCTCTTCTTACTTCCCAATGCTGACCCGCGCAGGACTTCAATGCTGCCGCCAGCGACCCCCACCTGTCCAAGCTGGCCGAAAAGGGTCTCCTTCTCACCAACTACTATGCCGTCACCCACCCCTCCGAGCCCAACTACTGCTCCTCCGCCGGTGGTGACAACTTCGGCATGGACAACGACAACTTCAACCAGGTCCCCGCCAATGTCTCGACCATCGCGGACATGTTCGACGTCAAGAACATCGCCTGGGGCGAGTACCAGGAGCACATCCCCTACCCCGGCTACCAGGGCTTCCGCTACCCGGAGTCCGGGGCCAACGACTACGTGCGCAAGCACAACCCCATGATCCTGTTCGACTCCGTCACCAAGGATGCCAACCGCCTGCGCCAGATCAAGAACTTCACCAGCTTTTCCGACGACCTCAAGCACCACCGCCTGCCTCAGTACAGCTTCGTCACCCCCAACATGACCAACGACGCCCACGACACCAACATCACCTTCGCCGGCACCTGGACCTACAAGTTCCTCGCCGACTTGCTCGAGGACGAGTACTTCACCAAGGATACCCTCATCCTGCTGACCTTTGACGAGAACGACACCTACGAGATCGGCAACAAGATCTACAGCTTCCTCCTGGGCGGTGCCGTCCCCAAGCACCTCCGCGGCAAGCAGGACGACACCTTCTACACCCACTACTCCATCATCGCCTCCCTCTCCGCGAACTGGGGTCTGCCCTCGCTCGGACGCTGGGACTGCGGTGCCAACATCCTCAGCTTCCTGGCGGAGAAGACGGGCTACGTGAACTACGAGGTCGACACCAGCAACCTCTATCTCAACCACTCCTACCCGGGCCCGCTGTCCGCCAACAAGTACAGCACCTACTCGCCCGTCTGGCCGGTCCCTTTGACCTCGGGCAAGTGCTCCGCCGGCCACGGCATCCTCAAGGTCGTCCAGGATACCTGGAAGAACCTAACGGCCACCTACAACTACACCAGCCCTGTTCCTTATGATGCTGTCAGTGGCACCAACACGGGTGTCAAGTACTACCGGAAATTGGTAAGTTTCCCATCTAATGGATGTTGAACGCGGCTAACATTATTGAAGAAGCATGGAAAGGTCGAGTCTGGAATTACGCTGTAAGGGTTAGCTTCGCTTCACGTATAGAGTGGTTTAGGATAATGTTGTCTGTATTGTACAAGAATTCACGAATGTAGTCACGTACACATATATCTATGCCTCGAAATTCTGCAAGTCAGTTATCTATTGCGTAGTCTTCGTCCATTGAACAAAAAAATCTCGCCTAATCTACACCGTCTCAATATACCGCTTAAATTCCCTAGCAACAATTAGCACAGCCCACTGCGAACGAAAGCGACGAAAAACTTACCAATCCGTAACAGCCTCTCTCCACAACCGAAGCTCATGCTCCCTCGTCGCCGTAAAGAACTCCACAAACTCATCCCCCAATAACTCCCTGGCAATACTCCCCTTCGCGCTGAACCGCGCCAGCGCGCTCTCCAGCGTATTCGGGAGCATCTCCGGCTTCTGCCCGGACCCCTTCATCGCCGACACCGGCGGCACCCCAATCTCCATCTTCTTCGTCACCCCGCGCCACCCCGCCGCAAGAATGACACTCAGCGCATAGTGCGGGTGCAGGTCGGCGCCGGGAATGCGCACCTCAAACCGCGTGGCGCCGGGCTTGCACACCGGCGGCGTAATAATCCGGATCGACGCCATGCGGTCCTCCAGCCCCCAGCTGATATTGACGGGCGCCCAGAAGTTCTCGACCAGCCGCTTGTACGAGTTGATCGTTGGCGCGAACAGCGGCATGATGTCCGGCAGGGCCTGCAGCAGGCCGGCGAGGAATTGGCGGCCCAGGTCGGAGAGGCTTGCGGCGTCGGGCCAGGGCGCGTTTGTGTCGGGTGTGGAGCGTGCGAAGAGGTTCGCGCCGGCGCTGTCGGTGAGCGAGACGTGGATGTGGCCGGAGCTGCCGGGTTGCCCGTGCATGGGCTTCGCCATGAAGCAGGGGGTGATGTTGTGTTCGATGCCGACGGATTTGGCGAGGAGTCTGGGGCTTGTTGTTAGTTTGTGGTGGGATGAGGAAGGGAGGGGCGTACTTGAAGAGGGCGGTGCGGTCGGCCATTTCGCTCACTTCGCAGACTTTCAGGGCCTGGGTTGGTTAGATAGCTGTGTCTTGAGATGGATGGGAGCAGGGCGCACCGCTTCGTAGACACCTGGCCCGCCTTCCGTGTGCCAGCCTTCAACGGCACAGTTAAAGTCGGCGCATCTGTCGAAGATGTCGTAGAAGAACTTCTTGTAGGGCACAGTGCGCAGAGCGCTGTAGGAGAAACTACCCCCCGTGATTGGCCGGAGGGCGCCAGGGGCGTTCTTATCGAGGAACGCGCAGATATCGGGGGTCTGCGAGCCAGCGCCGTACCCGTCTTCGGAGGGAGTCTGGAAATTCATGAACTCCAGCTCAACTAGAATTCCGATTAGCCGGAACCTTCGCTGGAACTGAAGATAAACATACCACCCGCCATTCCCTTGCAATTGGCGGCTGCGAGCTTATCGCATATCGACCGGAGCATATTCCGCCCGTCGGCCGATACAGGCTCCCCATTCTGCACAAAGTGCACCAGGAAGAACGGGATATTGTCCTCCCAGGGAATGCGACGGAAGGTATTCAGATCAGGCACGGCGAGAAAATCGACGTACCCGGAGTCGGCCGGGGCAATGCGCGCATCGGTCGTGTACAGCATGTCCTGCATGTCCCAGCCGAAGACAGCAGAGCTGAAGCCGAATCCCTTCTGCGCGATGCCCAGGAACTTTTCCTTAGCCATGACCTTGCCCCGCAGGATGCCATCGCAGTCAATGCCGGCGACCTTGACTTTGATGTCGTTGGCGAGGAGGTTGGGGAGCTCCTCGACGGTGATGGTGGTGGACATAGTGATGGGATGAGGAGTATTGAGGGGAGAGTAATGAGAGAGGGGATGAATGACGGGGGATTCAAGGAGCAGATTTAAGAGATGAATTCGGGGATGATGCGACGGAGCGCATCGCGGTAAGTGATCACGACGCCGTCGGTAAGGAGAGGCGCTGATAAGCACGGCTGGCCCCGCATCCCCGCGGACCGCGCTTATCGATAAGATAAGACTTATTTATAGTCAAGCGGTACTGCTGTGCTTCTATTACAGCATCAATCTCACAATGACTACCGTCCGCGCTGCTGTACTCGAGTGTGACACACCCATTGACCCTGTCAAGGACCGTTATGGGACATACGGCACTCTGTTCGAGGGCCTTCTGAAATCCGGTCTGAAGGATCTCGGCAAAGACGGCGAGGTTTCCTTGGAGATCGCAAAATGGGATGTTGTTGCGCGAGAGGAGTATCCCAAGCCAGAGGAATTCGATGTTTTGCTGCTCACCGGGAGCAGTGCGTTCGTCCTACATTCATGACTACTCGCCACTAACTTTGTGTACAGAACATGACGCATTCTCCGATGCCCCGTGGATCGTCAGCCTGACCAGATATATCGCGGATATATTCCAGCAAACCAAGAAGCCCATCATCGGCATCTGTTTCGGCCACCAGATTGTCGCGCGGGCTCTGGGAGCGCTTGTTGGCCGGAGTACAGCAGGATGGGAGGTGGCGGTGGACTCGGTGACACTGAATGAGACGGGAAAGGAGCTCTTTGGAAAAGACACCTTGGTAAATATACCTCCCAATTGGATGGCAACATGCTAACGCCACCAGTATATCCACCAAATGCACCGAGACATCGCCTACGAGGTCCCCGCCGGATGCCTCAACATTGGATCAAGCCCGAAATGCGAAGTGCAAGGCCTGTACATCCCTAAACGCATCCTCACCGTGCAAGGTCACCCGGAGTATAACGAGTTTGTCGAGACAAAATTGCTGGAGGTGCGGCACAGCCAGGGAATCTTCGACGATGCACTGTTTGCGGATGGGATGTCGCGGGTTGGGAACAAGCACGACGGAGGGGTAGTGAGTCAGGCGATCTGGCGGATGATTCTGTAAACTAATTGCATAATAATAATGGCACTTGTGGTGCTGGTGGAGTTGCTGCTGTAGAACATGACGATATGCGACGGAGGCTCCACACGGAGCGCGCTGATAGTCTTATCGATAGTCACCGCCTTATAAAACCACACCACTTCATCCCACCTTCACTACACCAACACATACACAACCAGACCGAATCCAACAGACAGACCATGCCGAACGAAATCCGCACCCTCTCCCCCTCGACCAACGAGGTCATCTTCGAACACCCCGGCACCACCGTCGAAGAGGCGCGTACCCTGGCCCAAGCCGCGCAGAATGCCTTCCAATCGTTCCGCCAGCTCTCCCTCGCGGAGCGCAAGGCCATCATCGTCAAGGCCCTCGACATCATCGACGCAAACAAAGACACCCTGAGTGCGGAGCTCACCAAGCAGATGGGCCGCCCCATCGCCTACTGCGCCAAGGAAATCGACACCATGCGCATGCGCGCCGAATACCTCCTCTCCCTCGCCGACGACAAGCTTGCCGCGGTCCCCGGCCAGGCGGAGGAGGGATTCCGGCGCTTCGTGAAGAAGGACCCCGTGGGGGTCGCCTTCATCGCGACCGCGTGGAACGTACGTCCCCCCTCCGCGCTCCCCCGCCCCGCGCTCCCGCCGACAATTGCTATTGCTAACCGCCCCAGTACCCGTACCTCATCACCATCAACACCCTCGTCCCCGCGCTCCTCGCCGGAAACGCCGTGCTCCTCCGCATCTCCCCACAGACCCCGCTCATCGGCGAGCGGCTCGTCGAATACTTTGCGCAGGCCGGACTCCCCCCGAACGTCCTGCAGGTTGTGCACTGCGGCTCGCTGGATGTCCTCGACCAGATCGTCCAGCTGCCCCAGATCCACCTCGTCTCGTTTACCGGGTCCACGGCCGGCGGTCTGCGCATCCGCGAGGCGACTGCCCGCCGCGTCGTTCCCGTCAACCTCGAGCTGGGCGGTAACGACCCGACGTACGTGCGCCCGGACGTCGATCTCGCATACGTCGCGGGACAGGTCGTCGACGGCGCGGTCTTCAACTCGGGGCAGAGCTGCTGCTCCATTGAGCGTGTCTACGTCCACGCGGATGTGTACGATGCGTTCATCGCGGAGGTGCAGAAGGAGCTGAGCACGTACGACCTCCCCCTTCTTCTCTACCCAAGGTGCAGATAGCTGACAGGAAAAGATACAAACTCGGCGACCCCACGGACAAGTCCACGACCACCGGCCCCGTCATCTCCGCGCAGGCGGTCAAGAACATTGCCGCGCATGTCGCCGACGCCCTGGCCAAGGGGGCTGTCGACGCCACCCCAGCCAACCCTACCTTCGACCCTCTCCCGGCGAAGGGCAACTATGTCGCGCCGCGGCTGCTCACCAACGTCAACCACAGCATGCTCACCATGCGCGAGGAGACGTTCGGCCCGATCATCCCTGTCATGAAGGTGTCGTCGGACGATGAGGCGGTGGCGCTCATGAACGACAGCGACTACGGGCTCACGGCGAGCGTGTGGACGAAGGATATTGCGACGGGCGAGAAGCTTCTCGAGCGCATCGAGGCGGGAACTGTCTATATCAACCGCTGTGACTACCCGAGTCCGGTACGTACTCTTGTACTATCAATGTTTCATCACAGTGTTGTGCTAACAGACGCAGGATCTGGCCTGGATCGGATGGAAGAACTCTGGATTGGGATGTACGCTGGGCCCGCAGGCGTTTGACGCGTTCTACAAGCTGAAGAGCTATCACATTAAGGCATAGATGTGGATAGAAAGGTGGAATTGATATGTAATGAAATTCGATCACGACCAATATGCAGTGGACACATAGAAGCGTAGCTGTAGCTGCCCCGCTGGGACCGCGCTCCGAGACCGCGGGGTACAGAGCCCACCACAGCTTATCTTATCGCACCCCCTTGCCGACGCCGCCGCATCCCTGCCCCCTCCAATCGGCACCCTCCCCAACATATAAACCCTCATCGCTTCACGCTGGTTCCTCCCTTGCAACACAACAATTCAATCATACTATCCATCTCAGACACAATGGTCGGAAGACTCGCTGGAAAGAACGCCATCGTCACCGGCGCCGCCGGGTATGTTCCCCCCTTTCCATCCCACCCACCAATTCTAATATCGTCCAGTGGCATCGGCCTTGAAACCACCATCCTCATGCTGCGCGAAGGCGCCTCCGTGCTGATGACCGACATCAGCGGCCCCGGTCTCGAGAAAGCCCTGGCAAAGGTGCAGTCGGTGGTGCCCCAGCGCGAGGGAAAGGTCGAGACTCGCGTTGTCGACGTGTCGAAGGAGGACCAGGTGGAGGGGGCCGTGGCACACCTCGACGCCTGGGGCGGTGTGGACGTCATGTTCAACAACGCGGGTATCATGCACGCTGACGACGCCGACGCAACCTCCACGCCCGAGAGAATCTGGGATATGACGATGAACATCAACGTGAAGGGCGTCTGGTTCGGCTGCAAGCACGCCGTGCAGAGTTTCCGCAAGCACGGCAAGAAGAAGGCCAGCGTCATCAACACGGCCAGCATGGTCGCCCTGGTCGGCGCGGCCACCCCGCAGCTGGCCTACACCGCCAGCAAGGGCGCTGTCTTGGCGTTGACGCGCGAGTTGGCCATTGTGCATGCCCGTGAGGGTTTCCGGTTTAACTCGCTCTGCCCTGCTCCTCTCAAGTATGTTCGCCCCTGTGTACGCTGTCGAAATTGAAGGCTAATTGTGTAGCACCCCCCTGCTGCAGGACTGGCTCGGCGACGACAAGGAGAAGCGCTTCCGTCGTGAGGTGCACTTCCCTACCGGTCGCTTCGGCGAGGCCATCGAGCAGGCGCACGCGGTTGTCTTCCTCGCCAGCGACGAGAGCAGCTTCGTCAACGCCACTGACTTTGTGGTTGATGGCGGTCTGACCAAGGCGTATGTCACGCCCGAGGGTCCCGCCACTGAGGCCCCCAAGAACCTGGGACAGTAGATGGGGATGGGGTGCACACTGGCGGCGGGTGGCGAGCTATGAGTGATGACTTGTACTGTATGACTATTAGAAGCCATGATAATTCGAATGCAATCGTGTCTGTGCAGTTATGCTTCAGATGCATCTATGCAAACGATATCCAGATCTGGTGCTGCTCCATCGCCCGGCAGATATTCCACGGTCCGGCCTCCTCCGGTGGCTTCTGCCACATGTGCTCGAGCAGAAGAAGCGTACGTTGCATATTTCCCAGACCAAAGGTCTGCACCATCGTAGTCAGCCTCTGGCGGAGCGTGTCCTGTTGTTCCGGGTCTGATAAGCAGGATCCGACGACAACTATAGGCCAGCACAAGCCCGAGTTGATCCGCACCGTCGCAGATAGCTGCGTCAAGTATGACATCGCCTCTGCGATCGCCGCGTCCACTAGTCCCTGGTACATCCCAGACGCAGACCGTGAGAACCCGCTCAGCGCCGTATACAAGTAGAGCAGCATGGCCTGCTGGAAGATGCGCCCTGCGAGGAAGACCTCAGGGGTAACGAACGCGTACGGCGACCACCGGAGGATCTGTGACTGCACTGAGCCGAACATCGCAATATCATCGGCCGTCGGCATGGTGGGCTCGTCACCGTCCTGCATCATCCATTGGCGGCCTAGGTCGAAGATACATGGAATGAGGAGGAGAAGCTCGAGCCAACATCCGCAGAGGTTTCCGACATATTCCGATTGGAGGAGCTCTCGGGCGCGTTGCTCGAGGTCGAAGTTGAGGAGAAGTTGCGGGCTGACGCGCGCGTCGATGGATATCATACTGACGGCCGCGGTGTAGGTGTAGTACTCGATAACAAAGTCCTTGAGATCTTTTGGAACGGCCGCATCACTCATGGAAAGTAGTCGGGTGAGGAGGGAGTTGGCGGCAGAGAGATGGTCGAAGATTGTGCCGTTCATGTCTCCTTTTGCTGTCTGTAGCGAGTCAGAATGTCTTGAACTGTAGGACTGGTAGGACAAAAAGGGATATATACCTCTGTGAAACACATGACTAGCGCCCCGACTGTCAACATCAATGGATTCGACTCTTTTCCATCGATGAAGTCCGTGACACCTTGACGGAACAGCTGTAGTGCCTTGGTGTAATGGCTCTGGGCGACCGCGTCGCAATCGTTGAGACACCGAAACGCCCGATGCGCTGCACTCTGCGTCAACACAAGCTGAAGGAGAAGATCGCTGGTGAAAGCCAGCGGCACGATTTGTACTAGAAATGGGTTGATTGGTGTCGACCCATTGGCCATACAGTCGGCCGTGGTCGCCAAGTAGTGGTTCAGCAGTTGATACGACTCTGGGCCGTAGCCAGGTAACATCGACAAACCCCGGGGCATGACATCTCCAACAGCAGAGGTCGAACCATCGACGCTGGAAATACTCCCCCGATGACTATGCGAGTAGCCGATAGGCACGAGCGCGGTCGGCTCATTGCTTACGACCACACTAGCGGGACTCGGGGGCAGAGAACGGGGAGACTCGATTGTCGACCCCTCGTGAGCCACTTGCGTTTCGGTAACAGAAATCGGACTTGTCTGTCGATCCGCGATATCTCTCTGGACGACTGGCAGTGATTGAGATGAACCTGCGATATGGGCCGGCCAGTGGCAAGACAGCTTGTTGCGCACGCAACCTCCGCACGTGGGCCGCAGCTCGTCGCACTTCTTCTTGCGACGGCGGCATGTTAAACACCCGGTCCTCACTCGGACGATGGGCTCCGTCCGGACGCGTCTTGTTGGGGGCATCAGATATTGACCGATTGATGAGGATATCAGTTGCTGTAGATAGTAGATAGTAGTCGGTAGTGATGTGTTGCCTATGGCGGTCTAGTACACGCCCGTCTAGCGGGGAGGCTCCACGTGGTGCTTATATAAGGCGGTCCTCCGCTAGCCACATTAGGAAATGGTCAATATCAACTATCGATCGAATTCGAAGGTCCAGGAGCTAAATAGCATCTCGCACTTGGGCAGGTTTGGCCATGGACGACCATCAACCTATTAACAGAATAGTAACCGCCGCATATAACATGCCTATTCATGTCTGGTTACTATCCCCGCAGCAGCAGATCCTGAAGCCCTTCCAGCTCCGGACAACATCTCCAGATACAGACGAATCGGTTGGAGCTCCATGGTTGCACGATATCGTACCACAGAACCAGGGATCACAGCCAACAGGCTCCTTTCTCTGCACGTGTCCCCTGAAAGTCAGAGTCATCTGGCGAGAATGCTCAATGCATTCAAACACGATGATACCATTATAATCATCATAGAGTATTGGTTAGATACTTTCCCAGAGCATATCAGGGGATATTGCATAAATGACAGTTCACGAAATTAATAAATATATTATGATTAATATGTAAGCCTCTGCATTCGCATGACAGTACAGGAAAAACTTGAAGAAAAAAAAAACCTGCACCAAGGCTGAGAGAATAGACCAATCGATCAACTACCATCGTTAGCACTTCGGATCTACCAGGAGATTGCGTACTCACACGCTGAAACTCCCGCTGATATGTCCCTTCTTCGGCCATGTGCAGATATAGACAATGATTCACGTTCTAATATGCTCCTCGCGTCAGTATACTTCGTCTCGAATCCACAAGCGGGTCGTTCATCTACCGGTTGTGCAATCTCGTTGAAAATGCTGGGCTTGATCAACTTCTCTTCAGCCTTTAGGTACAGTCTAATAGAATCATTAGCTGAGGCTGTCGATAACCGAATATCACAATACATACATCTTTCTGTCCTTCATCAGACCCATTCGGAAAGTACACTATTAGAAACATACCTGCTGTGCTTCATTAGGACTTTGGTAGACTATAATCGCCCGAAACACGGAACGGTGACCTACTTCAAGCCTCTATTACTGCGGTCCAGTGCAAAATCTATTTGAGGCATAGCTGTTGTTCAAGAACAGTCAGTTGTGATGTATTTCGTGGCACTGCTGAATCAACACTTACCAGCTTTCAATCATATTGGTGTTAGTTGAACTCCTGTCGTTAGCTTGGTGTCATGAGACTTACACACTATTCGGACACGTCAGTTATCTGGGCCATAATCTCAACCTAGATTAAATACGTACACCCTGTGATTGTTAGCCCTAGAACTAGATTGATTGATCTCATCTCTTTTAGTGTTGGGGTTAACTGACCTCCTATTGTTCATTCATGAGTCAGCTCAAGCTCAAGCATCTTCACTGCAATGGTAGAAAGGCGATATACTTACATCCTTTGCAGGCTGTAAGGAAAGTGTCAGCCGAGATCATCTCAACAGGTAACCGAGCTTTGCATCCGTTCATACCTCTCTTTTTACATTGGTGTCGGCTGGGGCTGCCAGAGCCACTGCAGCAAGAGCAAGCGTCACAGCGAGAAGGAGGACTCTCATGTTGACTTATTCGCGAGGTAGGCGGGGGTTGACAAAGATGTATCAATGTGTATGACCGAATAGGGCTGAGTATGTAGAACTCGAAAGAAAAGCTGGAGGATATGTAAGGTAGTGGCGCGAGGAAAGTCCAGTCCGACAATGGAAGAGCAAATATTTATTCTCTAAGGCAATCTGCATGGCACTTCATCAAGCAGGATTTCTTCATTAGTTTCCCCTTGCAGAGAATGGCATGTAAACAAACCACATTAAAGTTCACTGTGGTTTTCAGATGATGCCATGAATATTGACTTCTCGAAGGGCCCGGCAGCATGTGAGACGATCAAGGGGGCATTCCTGGGTGCGATATGGAATGTAGATCACTGCGCATGGAGTCTTCTGATTCAGTCTCTGCAGGGAGAGCCAGGTTGCACGAGATCAGTCGTCTGCAGTTGGAATTCCCCGCGTTGCTGACGGTGATATCATAGTTGACCTTGAACTTTCAGCCTCTGTCTAGTCCGTCTTTCCTACAACTCCCCGTCACCTACCATATGACAAAATGAATTACCAGTGAGACATGGTGCTGTCGCAATATCACGACATTGCAACAGATCCAAAGCTACTAGCCAGGGGACAACTGATGAGACGATTGTCTTGACCTTGGATGGCCCTGCCGAGTCGCAAAGGTTGTCAAGCCAGCATAACATGGCGCATGGAGTGCATTGCAGTCACTTATCATATGAACTGCCGATATCGTGCTGTGGGTCGATACATTGGGGATTTTGACATTTAGTGGAGGCAAATTTGACTCCAACAAGCGGGTTGGGTGGGTATTGTCCTGTCGCCCTTTATCCAGCGTTGGTGTTGATGCTCTGCAGGTCTATCCGCACATGCAGTCAAGCTCAGTAGTTCAGTTGACCTACACCACAATGAAACATCTGCAACCTTCAGTCATCCCATCGGAGTTGACTCCAAAACGACCCCAAATACAACCCCACAGCCGATAACCCGATAAGGACCCGCGGCCTCCACATCTTCGGCTTCATCCGCTCTCTCCATTCCCTCCTCTCCCAGGCCAAATGCCAGCTGTCTGCACGCACCATGAATTTCTCCCTCCAGTCACACCAGTCCTTCATTGGGCGTCCGGCGAAGGACCTCCCAACACCGTCTCTCGTGCTCAGCAACCGGTGCTCGAGCGCAATACGCAGCAGCTCCTCCAAGATGTGCGGGACCTCGGCATCCACTTCCGTGCGCACGTCAAGACCCTCAAGGTAAACAAGTCGCTGTACTATTTGCAAACAGATATTGACTCAAGTAGTCCACGGAAGTCACGCGCATGATGTTAGGCTACGGCACGCACAAGAAAATCGTCGTCTCAACGCTGTGCGAAATCCGCGGCGCTCTCCCCCTCGTTGAAGAGGGTATCCTCGACGAAGTCAGTGAACGCCATCAACACCTCTCGTCTTCAATTGACAAAAACAGTGTCTCTATGGCCTACCCATATACCCCAGCGCTCTTCCCACTCTAGTCGATCTCTCTAAATTCGTCAAGATCGTTCTCATGATCGACAATGAACAGCATATCGATCTCGAAGACTACGCCAAGTCGGCTGGATACACAAAACCCTGGTCTGTCTTCATCAAGGTGGATGTGGGCTCACACCGCGCCGGTCTCGAGAACTCCTCTCCCTCGCTCCAGAGACTGGTCCAGCGTGCCGAAGCCTCCCACGCTACAAGCGTATACGGCTTCTACTGTCACGCGGGACATTCGTATGCGTGTCGCACGCCTGAAGCTGCAGCAGACGTGCTCCAGATGGAAGTAGAAGGCGTCGTGCGCGCATCGACATATCTCGATCTCTCTGGTGATCGCAAGGTGATCGTCTCGGTTGGGTCGACGCCGACAGCGCACGTGGTGAACACTTTGAAGAAGACGCTGCCGCCGAACGTCGAGCTGGAACTGCACGCTGGCTGTTACCCGGCGAACGACCTGCAGCAGTTGTGCACGGGTCTAGTCAGCGAACAGCAGCAGGCGGTTCGTATCGTGGCCGAGGTGTGCAGTGTATATCCTGAGCGCAATGAGGCACTCATTAATGCCGGTACAGTGGCGCTGTCGAAAGAGACGAGCGATTTCCCAGGGTATGCGCGGGTGACAGATCGTCCGCGGTGGTCAGTCGTCCGCATGGCGCAGGAGCATGGCATTCTGGGTTTGACGAGTGGTGAGGAGAGAGTTGAGGAGGCGTTCAGAGTTGGCCAGAGGGTGTATTTGTATATCCAGCATGCTTGTATTACATCGGCGCAACATCATGTATACTATGTCGTGGATGAGAAGGATGTTGTGCGCGAGGCGTGGGCTCCCTGGAAGGGGTGGTGATTTGGCTTCTCCTTGTATATATCTCTGGCCTACGTATGGCTGATACGTGTATAAACAGACTATCATCCAATTTGTATATAACAAACACTAGAAGTGCCCATTACTCATTATTACCATCCTCGACCGTCGCAGGTTTCGCGTGCTCCGTCTTCTCACCCCCATCAACTCCATCTTCAGGCCCAGCCTGGCGCTCTCCCTCGCGCTGAACACTCTTCCCCTTCCCCTTGGCATTCTTCACCTTCTCCTCCGACTCAGTCTTGAACATTTCCGTCCCAGACTCCTCCACACTAGGCGTCGCCGCGCCCTTCCCCTTCGCCCGCGCGCGCCGAATCAACCGATTATGATAATCCTTCTCCTCACCCTCCGGATGCTCCAGCAGCACCCTCCGCGCAGCGTCGCGCCCAATAACAGGCAATCGGTCGACACCGTGCTCCTGCTGCGGCGCGAGCCGCGGGTCCAGCAGGCCCACCTGCACGAGCACGCTGGCCTGGTCCCAGTAGACGTGCTCGGAGTACAGTTTCCCCGCGCGCAGGGCGACAATACTCACGAGCATGATCTCGACGTGTTTGTTGGTCGGCGGAACGCCCGGCAGCATCCAGGGGATTTCGTGCGTGTGGTCGAAGGCGACGTACAGCTCATCGACGACGCGGTCTGCGCCGATGGTCCGCGACACGAGCCGCAGACGCATCGACGGCGGCAGCTTGCGCAGGAAGTTCTGCTCGTAGAACCGACGCAGCGCGTGCGTGCCCAGCCCGCCGCTCATCGTCGGCGTGTATGTCACCGCTGGTGTGAGGTGGTTCACGTACGGGTCCATGGTGTCGGAGAGGTTCATGGAGAAGTATTTTGCTGTGTTTGGTTAGCGTCGCGTTGAGTAGAACGCTAGGGGTAGGGGACAACCTTCTAGATGCTCCTCCCACGGCTCCTCCAGATCAACTTCCCGGCCGAACCCTCGTCGCAGCACCGCCAGCGTTCGGCTGAACGCCAGGTCCGCCGCGAGCCGGTCGTACTCTTCTAGATCGTGCTCCGCGAACCCCGGCTGCACGTACTCGTAGGTGTATGCTGTGTGGCCGATGTTCAGCCGCTCGCCGGTGCCCATGCCCGGGTTGATCCGGCGCGTCGTGCGCTTCTTTTTTCCCTGCAGGCCCAGCATCGTGGGCGTGGTGGTTACATCGACGGTGTCGCCGGCGAGATGCGTGAGGACACGCAGGGACGGCGCAAAGCGCGAGCGCGTGTCGGGGATGTTGGTCGGGTAGTATGCGATCAGGGCGCAGAGACGGCTTGCGTTGGTGGGTTTGAGGTAGTAGTCAAGGCAGAAGGAGGCGGCGTCGCCGAAGGCTGTTCGTAATCCGCATTAGCATCTATTTATCCCTGATAGCCCATCCAGAAATGCAGTACCTAGAACAGCATAGTTGTCTCCGACACCAAGTCCCTCCTTCACCGATCGCAACCGACTGATGTATTCCTTCTCATTGCAGTTTGCCGGCACGTAGACGACATCGAATCCCTCATCGCGCCAGCTGTGCAGCGTTTCGGTGTCGAACTCCTCGGTCTCGGCGGTGATGCATAGTCGGGCGGCGCCAAAGCCGCCGCTGTACAGGAACCCGCTGGCGCCGGGGATGTTGATGGAGACGTTGGCCATCGCCGAGTAGTATTGAGCAAGTCTCGATTATGTATACCACGTGGGAAGGCTAGCGAGGTGGAAGTGCATTCCGTGGGTAAGTGTAGATATACATACTTGGGTCGGTTCAGGGTCGGGTGGACGCCTACGTCATTGCCGTTGCTGCTACGTCATCTGCGTCGGATCATGAGGTGGCCGGCTCAGTCTTGGTGGGCGATTAATCTATTTGACTGGCCGTGTGGCGAGTTATGCTACAGGTGCAGATGAACTATCTAAAGAGGATGGATGATGGATTGTGTGGTTGAATAGTGCTGTAATTATGTCTCTGTATATAAACTCAGCGACGATTCTGGATGCCCCACGGGCACGTTGACACAACTCTAAAACATTAAGAGAGATTAGGGAGATAAGAGAAAGAGAATGGAACAAACATGATGAGAAACAAAGGTGATTATTTCTAGAAAAACCTCCATTCACCATCCCAATCACTCTGGGCAGCATTAAAGCTACCGCGATGGTACCTGATTCATACTAAAACATCCCTGATGCTTATTAGCTCGCCTATTCTCAGAACATGTCGGCTGGACCTACCGCGATAAAGGTGATTGGGAGATGGAACTATCTTTGTAAGTACCAAGTCTCGGTTGAGCATGAGAGGACAGGATAACTCATAACAGTGATATATTTATGACTATGTATAAAACAATATAGGAGGTGGGCAAAATAATATAACAGTATCTTTCTTATCCACCTTAGACGTTTTTATGGATGATCTTGGCGGGATAGAGTTAAATAGCGAATTCCCCAGTAGTGCATGTCGTCCGGTTATCCACTACTTGAATATCTTATAATCTTGTTTTGAAATAAGGCATCGATTAAACAATTAACCTATTATTATGTCTGCTACTCTCCGGTAATAGTCGAGGCGTAGATTAGGAGTGACAATACTCGAGTATGTAGTTACCTAGGTGGGCGTTTTATCTAGGTTCGGGATATATTCTAAGAAAATCTTGCTAAGTTAATTAATTGACCTGTCAATATTATTTGAAGCACTCCAATCACTTGTCTTTAGTAAAATATAGGGCAGGGCACAGATCTTCCCTAATTATACTGCTCTTAATCCGTTGGGCGCTGTATATTCCTATCTGAATCAGTGAACTATAAGCCACCTGTTCGTAGGCCCTTATGTAGTCTACTTCCTGTTCTTAATACTAAGCTGCCCCTAGCTTAAAAGCAAATCTCACTTATACATTAACCTATGAAGTAATGCTTTTCAGAATTATAGAAAAGACGAGCGCAGTCGAAATAAGGAAGCTACTTAGAATCTTAAGTAGATTGGCCCCTGGATTAGCTCGATTGGACATACTAGTATAATTGAATATTAGTCATAAAAGGGCTGGTCGGACCGGGCATCTTAAGAACTAAAAGGAAGGTCCTGGAATCTACTCTATCTAATATATGCTAAGTCCGGGTATAAAGCCAAGTGGCCAGAGTCTCCTCGGAAGCTGACCATCAACGCATGTTCGAGCCCCTTCTCGACCGTATTGGATCTAATTCTTGCCTGTTTTCCTATTGCATTTCTCGGTGGGGATCGTCTTTCTGTTCCTTCATCCTTTATTAACCAGACGAGCTGACGAGCCATACAATCTAGTACTCGCAATCCTCGCGACTCGTCTCAATGGGAACCAAGTATCTCAGTACGGCGAAGATATCATTCCAGCCGCACGGTTGGGCCCTTCCATTTTTTCAATAGTGTTCGCAGCTATCTTTGGACGTCTGATGCGGAGTTACGCCCTTTGGAGGGCAGAAAATGGCGCCCCACTGGGGATAAGTTGAAGGGTTGATTGGGGTTTGTTGTCTCTGTGGCTAACGAATACGCTCCAAGCTACTGGAACAGTTGAATGACAGTACAAGCTTCGCGGGTACAATATTATCAGTGCTGGCTCTGCGTAACGTGACTGTCATTCGCATACCAGTCCTTCTGCTTTGGACCATGTCTCCCGTAGGAGGCCAAGTGTACTAAGGAGGGCTTCTTTCGGGGAATGTCTCGGCTGCCTATCTAAATATGAACGGCACTTCATGTTTAGTGGGCGGCTCTGCGATGACGGATGGGCTCACTGCAACAAACGCGGTGTATACCGCGTCGCTCCTAGCATCACAGGGGGTCAAAGACTCTCATCGGGACTTGTGGGGTCGGCCTAAAAAACCCACTTCTGCGAACGCTGACGCCCATTAAATCTTCAGCTAACTCCTTGAACCCGTGGAGAGCCGCCGCATCCAATGGTTCGATAGTATATTCTTCTCTTGCTGGAATCGTTCTTCAAAGAATTCCACCCGACGTGGATGCAGAGTTTGCTGTTGAGTCATCGTATCTTGACCTTAATTGCCACATGGTTACCAATGACTCCACAAATATATATGGTATCATGGGCGAAAATAAGCTTGCGCATAATGCTACCAATCTTTTTGGGCACCGGATCTACTTCGGCAATCCTGATGTGACTGAGAGTAACTTCTTCATCGACACGACCTATACCTTCACTGCTGCTGCTCGGAATCAGGCAAATGTTAACCTGTTTTACGGGTCACGGATCAGCCCAGACCAACCGGTCGTTCGCGCTGCACTTTTTAACTGCATTATTTGAATATCCATGTAGAATCGTGGATCCTATGTCGCGATCTTTCGTGCACCGCAACCCATATGCGGCAATCCGAGAAGGACAGGCTGCCTAGCTCTTACACGCCGTGGAATGACGTTGCACAGAAGCCTCAATAGAATAGATACCACCTTGTTCCATGGAGTAGTTGTAGGGCTCCTGAGAGTAAGCATGACAAGCTCACAAGAATGGGTACCGTGCTCCTGTGATCTGTCTATCCGTTTTGAAGGAACGGACATCTCATTCCCAGTAATCCAATGTCTCTTCATGAGAACATTAGAGATCGTAGGAGTCGTGAGACTTACGTGAGGATTGGCCATGCCTCCGCTGGATGTATGTCGCCAGAAGTCGAGGGCCTCAGCATCTTGAGGTCGTCGGCAGACGGCCTTGAAGGACGAATTTCGGCGCACTCAGTTAGTTGATGGTGCTAACCATGAACAGTAACGGCTGATCCGCTGTTGATCATCACAATTGGACAGACTGAAAAAGCGGCAACTTTTATCCTAATATATTAGACTCGAGGGTTCAGCGAGACCAACCAACAGTTTGCATGCCCATCGATTGTCCCCGTAAATATCTACCCTCAGTTATAAACCTTAAACCCCAGGTATAGTTAGTATAATTGGATGATATAAGATACATGGTATCTCCAGAACCTTAGATGCCTAGGAATACTTATTGTCCGAATGCTACTTTTTTAGAATATGACCTTCTCGGATTTGGCAGGCTCTCCTGGACGGCCTGGTGGTTGGCCACTGCTTTCGCCTCGGCCATCTTGGGATAACAGAAAAGTCAGTCTGATTCTGTCTTGACACTGTGGGCTTAAGGCTGACTGAGACATGTGACTCCTCTGCCAAAGCCCAATGTCGATACTCCGAGTCATGTTTCGCTTGCTATTCGGCCTGAACAACCTGCATTGCTCGGAAATAGGAGGAGCCAACGTTGTCCGGGCTTAACTAGCAAGGCAGAAACTCCTAAGTTTCGCGCTTTTCATACCGAGAGTATTAGCTTTCGCTGTTTTCGGGCCGAGAGCATTAAGTTTCATATTTCTCGCCTGGGGTATTCCGGCTTTCCGATCCTGTGCACGCAGTTCTCCGAATTCCCCGAATTCCCCGAAGCCGATCCCTATGAAGTCCGGCCCTATACGGAGGTAGAATATCCGAGCGGATCTAGTGGGATTCGGACTATATAAGCAACAAGGCTTTCGACGCACTGTTTGATACTATCTTACAGCAGAACCTCCCGGAGCCAGCTATCTCAATAAAGCACTACATCGACGTCTTCGTTTATCTCAAGTTATTACCATGGCGAATCTGAAAGTTCTTATCTGCGGTGCAGGTATTGGCGGCCAGGCACTTGGTTTTTGGCTTTCCAAAATGAATTTCGATGTCACCGTCATTGAACGATTTCCGGCCCTACGCACGAACGGACTGCAGCTGGATATTCGCCAACCAGCAATCGAGGTCATCAGGCGTATGGGGCTTGAAGAAGCATTTCGGGCCAAAACCATTCCGGAACAAGGCTTGGAGTTTGTGGATAGTTCTGGGAGACGTTGGGCATACTTTCCAGCAAACAGAACAGGGACCGGTCTTCAGGGGTTCACGACTGATTATGAGTTCATGAGGAAAGATCTCTGTCAGCTCCTGCATGATTCGAGCAAAGACCGTGTCAAATATGTATTCGGCACAACCATCAAAGCCCTCGAACAACAGGGTGGCGTCGTCAACGTGACTTTCTCAGATGGCCGAAAAGATCAATTTGACCTAGTTGTCGGTGCCGATGGCCAGGGGTCCCGTACCCGCCGCGCGATGCTCCAACCTGGCGCAAAGGACCCCGTGCACTCTCTGGGTGTCTACATTGCTTATTTTACCGTTCACCGGCCGCTGCAAAAAGGAGAAGAATACAAAGGCACCGTTTACGTTGGCACCGGAAACCGATACGTGTTCATTCGACGACACGAAGATTCCACGATTCAAGCCTACCTGGCTGTCAAGGCCCCTCCGGAGAAGATGAACCATATCCGGAAAGGTGATATCGAAAAAGAGAAGGAATTTTTCCTCAAAATCTTCAAGGGCGCAGGATGGATCACGGACGAGCTTCTCGAAGAAATGTTAGCGACGGATGATTTTTACTGCGAACGCTTGGGCGTTGTGAAGCTGGACGCATGGTCTAATGGCCGGGTGGCTCTTGTTGGCGATGCTGCATATTGCCCGACTGCAAGTACGGGGATGGGGACTACTTCTAGCCTGGTTGGAGCCTATGTGCTGGCTGGTGAGCTCGGGAAACACTGCGGAAGCTCGGGAACAAAGATGGGAGTCGAATATGCGCTCAAAGCGTACGAGGAAAAGTTTCGTCCATTTGTGGCCCAGGTCCAGGATGGCATCACAGAAGACCAAGTCTTTTGGGGGAAGGTTCCGTCGTCGGCCTTTGGCGTTTTTCTTGCCAACCTAATTCTATGGCTGGCCACGTTGTTCAGGCTGGATCTCATAACTAAGTGGATCCTCCGTGAAGACGTGCGGGATTGGAGCCTTCCAAGTTATGACCGGATGGTGTATGGGGCAGGCTGGTAAATTCGAGTGGAAACGCTGTGACGGGGTTAGAGTGAAGTGGGAGATTGGATTCTTTCCTTCTTTTTGTATTAGTATAGCTCGTTTCCTTGCCTGGGCCTAGACTGTGTATGTCTCCTCGGAGATAGTTATGAATTATCACCTCTCTCTACTCCCAACAGTGCCTCCTACTCTTTAGCCTTCATAGAAGGAGTATCTAAAAGTAAGCCACAGGAAAGATCCAAAAAGTCACCGTATCTTCAATCCAATTCTCTGCACTATGTAACTAGGTAGAATTTATCACATATAGAATATGAGGACCTGTGGAATCGACGCCGAACATGACCGCTTTTGTGGCCAGAAACGGCTCCCTTTCCACCGGTAACTTTGAGGGGAGCCGCTGCTTGACCGCTCCCCTCCGGTATCTTTCTCCTAGTTCTTTTACTGCAAGACTAACCGCCTACCATATATAGAAGATATTATGAAACCATGCAACACCACATCTACCTAAGTATCTATACTGTACATAGCCAACTAATCTCTAGGGTTTCGGAACCACCTAGTCGAATATCTGGTCGAGCATCTAGTCGAGTATCCACCTAGTAGACTACCTACTTGGACACCTAGAGAACCAGCTAGGGGAGTCTTTAGAGAGGTGGCTTACTAGATGGCTAACTAGGTGGCTTAGTCTGTAGTACCCTACGTGCTTGACTACGCCCCTGTTAGGGATCGCTCAACGTCAGCCTCAGAGAGAGGTTATATCACACCAAGAAAAATTGCACTAATGCACCAACCATCATAACAAGAGAACACCCGGACCAACTACTCGAGCAAGGCACCAACGATTCACATAACCAGGGCACTTACTATTATACCTGGAGAGATAACAAGAACAGACCCACGGGTATGCGACTTCATACCCAGGACATAATAGAAGTATATCCAGGATTATTGTCAAACCCTGTGATCTCTCCAAGCTGTCTGCATGCTAGTGTTAGTGATTAAAGTCTCCTATGACTAGTTTGACTAGTCCGACGAGGTCCGATAATCGATCAACTTAAACACAGCAAGGATAGAAGCAAGATCTATCAAATACGTATACTCGATCGTTAAGGTTGATAAGACTTGACGAATCGAACTAGCAATGTTCAACGGTAGGTATCCAGTTGACAGTGTTAAACAACACGGAGACTAAATGCAGGTGGTGAATGAGGGTCCCTATAGATCCTTCTGATCCCCTGGTTGGTATATGTTCAGTATACGATGTGGTAGGTGTTTGGTATACGACATACTCTTGGCATACCTTTTTGTAGACTCCCAGTATACCATATCCTTGATAGTCACATTCAGAATTTCTCAAATCGTAGCCATGTCACATGGTGGAAGGTTTTCTCGTTGTAGGTGTTCCTATATCACAAGTCGGCGATCTCCTCCGCCCCATCCCGGATTACATTATCTCGGTATCCCGAGTCTCAACGTAGTCCAACCTCTTCCGCATGCACCAATGGCTGGAGTTAGATACATAACATAAGATGCTGTTGACGGACGGCCGAGTCTCCTAATTATCATTTTTATGCTAGTCTCCTCCCCATGGATTTGGCTACACCCCAACACAGCTGCCAGCCCACACTCATCGCAGTGTCGGTACTGGGAATCTACCTACTGCTCGTCAGATACTTTCGATACCAACACCGCGATGAAATCGAGGCAAGATTCAGGCAAACCGGGCGCCCGTTGTCGAGCATGACAGTCAAAGAAGCCCACCAGATCATCCGCGACATGCGAGAACTCGAATTCCCCTACACACTCCACAACGCAATGAAACTCTCTCTGTTGAAGGTGAGCACCCCTTCCTGACCAACCACACGAATGCAATCTTACCCCGGCACAGACGGGATCCATCCCCACAATGACAAAGCTCTTCGTAGCAACCGGCCAGCTCAACGAAAAGAACGCCTCCAAACGCGCAGCCGACACAGAAGTCATCCTAAACGAAGTCCACGATCGAGAGCCCGGTTCCGACAACCAAGTCCTAGGTATCGCGCGCATGAACTGATGTTTGAAAGCCTGTGAATAACTTCACACTAGTCCGCTAGCGCCGGACTAGCATCCTACCCGTAAACACTATTTCGATTTGAACCAATGGTATGATGTTGAGCACAAACAAATCTGTAGGATCGACCATTAACTGCAACTGCGAATATTGTGTGCTATATTGTGAAGGATAATACTGTCTTCTGTGACCTCTGGATTAAGCTATATAAACCCTACTTTATCCCAGAAGCAACCATCATACTTCTTTGGAATTTCTCAGATGACAAAATGAATCACTCTAAGCCATCTCGTGCGCCATCCTTGTTCATCTCCCACGGAACCGGACCGTTTCCTCTCTTAGACAATGAGCAAGAATCCTACACACAAGTCGTCCGCCAACATGGCAGCAAACTCGATGGAGTAGAGAGGATTCTGCTCTTCTCTGCTCACTGGTAAACCAAGGTACCCTACATCACCTGCAGCGACAATCCTGGTATCTACTATGATTATGAAGATATGCGGGACATGTGCCGCAGGCTGCATTTGAATTCCAGTATCCGGTAGCCGGAGACGCGAAGCTAGCGGCAGAAGTTTCCAGCCGCCTCCGAGACTGTAGGTTTCATCCTGTTCTGGATCATCAGCGTGGACTGGATCATGCTGTCTACGTCCCAATGACACTTCTACGACCACATGCCAACATCCCCATCGTCCAGATGTCCATTCTAAAAGGACGGGATGAGCAAGACTCGACAGAGAAAAACATCAAGCTAGGACGAGCGGTTGAGTGCTTCAGGGACGCTGGATATGCTATCATTGGAAGCGGTGGGTCGTATCACGACTTTGTGGCTATTGCAAAGGCATTCTTTGAAAATCAGCATGTTACTGCCGGCGCTGAAGAATTTGAAGATTTCCTGCAATTTGCAGCGTCTATTCCGGATCCTGCTCTGAGAGAGAGGACCCTTTTCGACTGGCGGAAGCTCCCTGCCAGCTATCTAGCCCATCCTTCCGACCAGTCAGAGCACCTAATGCCCTTCATGGTTGCGGCTGGGAGTGGAGGGAACAATGCTGGTGTGAAATTTGCCAGGTATGAATACAAAGGGGCGCCGATGAGTTTTTACATGTGGTGAGGAGTGCAGCTTCCTTCAACCAAAGTACATTCGCCGTCATTTATCATGCTTAAATTTTGAAATATTGAATCCTAAAGTTCATCCTATTTCTGTGTAGTGATACCATGGAGCGGGTCGCGTTATGAAGGAGGCCCATTCGCGCAAAGTTCAATAAGGAGCAGCCCGTGGTTGACATTATATGTCAAGCTCATGGCTTGCCGCTAGAATCTGGAGACAGACGTGACGCAGGTCTGGTCCCTACTACGCAATACCGTGCATTTTCAATGCTCTTTTCATTTGTGCCAATAATAGAGCGCCAGGAGACTGAGTGCAGAGCAGTAGCTATAGGTACAGTGGTAAAGGGTGAAGACACCGTTGTATACTCTCTGTTGGCATTTCAGGGAGATCATCATCCCCATTAATAGCCTGTATAGGCGAAGATTTATATTCGTGCCGACACCTACCCAACCACAGAGTGATCGTACTAGTGTCTTGAAAATTTGGTCGGTAACACTGTCGGAGGTGACAGAGCTGGAAGTGAGTACTTTGTTCATGTCTATCTATCTGCAAAGTGATCTGTCCTGGGAAGGCCACTTGATTATAATTATCTTCAAACAGCTATTTGTGCTGCCAAAGTCTATCAGATCTCAGCGGGTGATTGTCATGACAAGTTGAGTGATGATTAGGATGACGGCCAATGGTCGAGTCACTCTGTTATTGCTACTAACAAAGGCCCTAGTCTATGCATCCTCAGTTTCTTTAACACAACTGTCCACACTGGCATCTTTATATGGCTTTTCTCCGAGATGTGTCCAACACTCAGCCGCCATGAGCTCCTCTTCTACCTTCGACTCGAAGTTCAGGGCCGACAGCCCCAAGTTGAAATGCATTACCGCGCGATGCTGCCAGTAAGATTAGTACTCGACGATGTATCATTAGAGAGAGGAGACTAACCAATCCTAGTGTCAATTTAATAGAGTTATCTATGAACATGTGCTCGTACTGATGTCGGGGCGCTTTACCCTCTACTGCTAGCAGGATGTTGTCCGCAACAATTGCACCTTGACGGGTTGCTGAGAACGCATTCGTGTTTGGTGCTTTTGTATCGGCAACGTCGCCACAAACATATATGTTTGGGAGGCCAATATCTGCAATTTGCAGTGTTGGCTTGATCTTTATGTGACCGCTCGGCGTTACTATTGAAGGCGAGAGCCTTAAGAAGGCATCAGATAATGGTTTTTGACCAGTGCAATTGATCTGCAAAGCGCCATCGTCAGCAAGGTTCCATCTATAAGACATACATGTTGGTATGTAACCCACAAACAAATCACACTCCATGACTCTCCCACTTCCTAGTGTAATAGTACACGAGTCGGTTTCCTCATACAGCACACGGTCGTTAAGGATGACCTCAACACCCAATGCTTGCAATGACTTCAACGCCTCATCTTGTAGACATTTACCAAATCGGTGCATCAGTGCACTTCTCGAGTGTACCAGGACAACCTTCTTCTCCGGGTACTGGTCCTTCGCATCGGCCGCGAGCTCAACACCAGCAGCTCCTCCACCGGCAATAATAATTCTGTTCGCATCCTTTATACGTTTCTGCGTGGCTTGAAGTTGCTTCATGCCGCTAACTTTATCCGTGTCGTTCACTCGTGAGGGAAGGCCGTGCTGGGCACCAGAACCGGTCGCGATAACAAGATAGTCGTAAGGGATTTCTCCGCTTTCTTGAAGTTTGACACTGGTCTTGGTCGCGTCAATGACACGGTCGCGTACCCATCGAACCGATCCTTCCGGTGCTCCACGGATATGACCACCATAAGGGATGAACGCCTTGTGTTCATGCCCGCTAGCAACGCAATAGCGCGGTAGAACCCACGAGAACTGGAAGTGGCTGTTTGGCTCGATGATGATGACACGGTAACGACTACACGGCGGAAGACCCAACGCGAGAAAACGGGCGGCATAATATCCTGCAAATGACGCGCCTACGATGACGATGGTGCGGTCTCGTTCAGCAGCTGGTGTTGAGCCGAACCATGCTGCGCGTCGACGTACCACGGTAGCCGTCATCTCGTGCCTAAGCTGACGCCATGCTAGGGGAAATATGCACGCCAGCGCTTGTATAAAAAGGGCCGCCTTTTCGAACATTTCGAGAGCTCTGGGTGAACAAGTGGCCGGCGAGCGCCGTGAAGGCGTGTAGGCAAAGAAAGGTAGAATATAATTTGAATGGAGTAAGATGACTGGGTGCCCATAGATTAGATAATGTTAATCAGATAACATTTGCCTGCACACTGACAGACTTATAACTTATGGCGGTGTTATGCGCGAATATAAGCGAATTGGACGCGTCTTTCGACCCGGGTGTCGATTGAAAATGCCGAACGGCGCTCCGAAGTCGACCATTTTCAGCGCTCGGGAAATTCTTCATCTCCGTTCTTAGGGCGTTGATCAATTCGAACTCGTCAGGAGTCCCTGCTGAGGTATCGGGCGAAGTTTTCGACTCTCGGAGATCGCGGAAATCATCCATCGGTGAACTCACTGTCTCGGAGATATCCGCTAACATGATTGTGGCATTGTATCTCCGAATAGTTTATCGGCCGGTCGTCGCGTCTCTACCCGAGACTCCGGACAGCACATCTATAAGAAGAGAACAGCAATCACACCTGCCAGCGCTTTCAGCAACTCTCCACGTGTTTTCGGACAAATTTGAAAAGGCCAAAAAGCCGACTGGCGGATTCTCAGCATAAGATCTCGTTTTCTCTCGAATTTTTGTCAAATTGATCGATCATGCCTCCTGGAGATAATTCATCTGTTCGTTCATTGAGAGCCGAAGGTGCCTTAATCGAGAAAGACGGTGAAAAAGATGTCTCGGTTGAAGACGGCAAGACTGATGCACCACCCGACGGTGGTTTGGCCGCTTGGAGCGTGGTTTTAGGAGCCTGGTGTACGTCATATTGTAGCTTCGGCTGGTTGAATAGTAGGACTATCCAACATTCGTTCAGAAATATACCTGCTGATAGTTGAAACAGGCGTGGGAATTTTCCAAGAATACTATCAAAAGGATATTTTGAGGCACTATTCATCCAGTACCATCTCGTGGATCCCATCTCTCCAGGTATTTTTCATGCTGGCATCGGTGAGATCCCCATAAAACATGCATGGCCTGCCAAAATATCTAATCCAGGTGCAAGGGGCCTTATGTTGGCTATATATACGATCGTCATGGGCCAAAACATATCATCCTAGTCGGGACGTTTCTTCACGTCTTTGGTCTAATGATGGCATCGATATCCAAGAAGTACTACCAGATCCTACTTGCCCAAGGTATTTGCAGCGCCATCGGTGCCGCCGCGATTTTTCAGCCGGGTAAGACCTTTCCATTTTGCCATTGCTAGGTCATGAATTTGACTCTTCTCTTATTTCTCTCCTTGTTTCCTTCTTTCCTTTCATGCCAAGTTGACGGACGCTGATCGATTCTCAGCATTGAGTAGTGTGAGTGGCTGGTTCGACAAGAACAGAGGTGTTGCCTTTGGAGTCTTATCTACCGGTTCTAGTACCGGAGGAGTCATTTTCCCAATAATGATCACACACCTCATTAGAAGAGTGGGCTACGGTTGGGCTATGCGCATAGCTGCATTTATGATTCTTTTTCTGCTTGTTATTGCAAACCTTACCGTCAGGTGCAGAGTGCCGCCACAGCCTAAGAAGCTTACCACACGTGATTTATACCAGCCATTACGTGAGCCAAACATGCTTCTCATTATAACAGCTTTTGCTCTACTCACTTTCGGTATCTTCATTCCGATCAATTACATTGTGACTTGTGCAGTTGCGCAAGGAATGTCAGTTAATTTATCCAATTATCTGGTGTCCATCCTAAACGCGGCAAGGTTAGCGGGGATTAGCTGTTTTCCCTTTAGTGGTTGTTCTTTCGCGCTAACAGACTTATAGCTTCTTCGGTCGATTTGTAACAGGCTTGGTTGCCGACAAGCTGGGCCGCTATAATATGTACATTGTCGTTTGTACCGTCACAGGTGTCCTGATATTAGGACTTTGGATTCCAGGTTCGAGCAACGCCGCGAGCTTGGTATTCGCAGTCTTTTTCGGATTTTTCTCAGGTGCTTACGTATCTCTATCACCAGCTTTGGTTGCACAAATATCTGCACCTTCGGAATTCGGCTATCGCAATGGGCTGATGTACCTTTCTGCATCCTTCCCCGGGCTGACCACCAACCCGATTGCAGGTGCAATATTATCACACGACCACGGATCTTTCCATGGAATGAAAGTATTTGCTGGAGTATTTTGTCTCGCAGGCAGTGCCTTCGCGGTTGCAGCTCGCTTGCAGAATACTGGCCCCAAGCTTCTGTCCAAATTCTGACACGCATTGTCTTATTTGTGCTTCAGACTGTTAGAATGCAAGCGGGTGGGTGGAGAGGGCTCATGCTCTTCAGCTATGCCAGTGACTTGTATGAATACAGTTGCAGGCTAGGACAAACTGCATCATGTTCTGTGCATCTGAAAGGAGCTGAATATCAGGAAGTGGAAGAGATGTACTTGCTAATGGTGAACATGACCAGTAGAATCAGCTGGTTGGTTGAGGTGATTCTGAGTGACTTGATAACGCTGTACTTCACTGACGAGACAATGACAAACAATGACCCTTCGCGAGGAGCCGGCCACCCGTTCTACTACGAGTCCGCTAGAATCACGACTCCATCCGGGGGCAGTGTGCCCAAGTCCGACGAGTTCGTGCCAATGCTGCACGGGGGCAAAGCGTTCATCCTCGGTTGCAGTACCACCATCTATGTCATCCAGTATGACCATGTCAACGGCTCCATCACTCGGTTCGTTCCGACGCCTAGCAACACCTCCACCAGTAATATCTGGCAGTCCATCGTCAGTAAGATCCCTGGTGTGACCAACACCGTCGACCAAGCCGTCCTGGCAGGTTCGTCGAGCCGGAGTGCGCAGGAATTCGTAGACCAGGTCGCTCTCGCGTACAGCAAGGTGGTGCTTGCGGGGGGTGCTGAGAGCCTGGAGAAATGGCCTGCTCTGGCTGTTCAGACTCGAATAACGCCCCTCGTCACGCGGATCCCAGCGGCGCCCTTGATCACATTGGTGGTCGTAGATCTGCTATACGTCGTCTGTGGGTTTGTCTCTGCGGCGGTCGCCATAATCAGCGCCCGGGGCTAGGTCCCGGAAATCCAGGCGCGACTCAATGTTACGGGCCTCGTGGCGGACCCCTTCGAACAGCCAGGGACGGAAGTCCGCTATACGGAAGAGATGTTTGAGGAATACGCGTCTAAGGATAACAAGCGGGTCGCCATTGAACGTGGGTCTCACGGCGGGTACGAGTATACAACTCGACGACTGGAAGCGACGGATGTCGACGACGGGACGAGATAGAATCGGTTCTTAGCGAAAATTTGATCAGTTTGTAGATATTTCGTAGACCCTTAATACTCTTGGGGCCACTTAGGAGGATACCTGGGATCAGCAGAGGCTGTTGATTGAATATGGGTCCGGCATGAAACAGGGCGCCATCCGGTTTTTATAGATCAACAACCTAGACCGGATGATGTCACCCCACCCGGTTGGGATTTTCACCTCACCCGAGCCCACACAGTGAATTTCCCTTCGATATTGGGACAGTCAAATCCAGTCGACTGATATACCGACAGAGAATACTGAGAGGGTGTAACAAGACCGTGGTGAGAAATCGAGAATTGGTCGGGGCTGTCCTGCAGGTTCTTTCCATCTCGATCCATAAGGTTCTCGAATCCCCTCATCCCCAGGGCCCAGCCTCCATCTCCAAGATATAACCCCCGTCGCCACCACCTTCTCCTCTCCCTCTCCCTGTGTCTGGAGATAGCCGTCTCTGTCGAGGTCGCGTTTAGGTCTCACTAAACATCCTATTATCCGTGCCATGTCCTTGGTGCACCATGTCTCCCCTCTCGATGGCGTCGACCGCGAACCAGAACCGGCCGACGATGTAACCGACACCACGGCGATTGACAACGATCTCGATTCGTTGGCACCAATTAGACGCAAAATTAGCTATGATGTTATCCAGACATCGCAACCGCCGGTGGTCGACGATAAATCTGGGACACCCGCGTATAAAGTGTCTACGGCCACGCGCATCGGTACGTTCTTATCAACCCCGCCTTCGACATCCATGGGAACCTCTGCTTACTTCTCCCAGCCCAGGTGATCGTGACGATTCTGGCATGCTGGTTCGCTGCAGGCATCGTCTTTGGCTTCGCGGCGTTGAAACCGGTCATGATCGAAGAGGGTGTCTATCGTAACCTATGCACTGAAGACGAGCTCCGCGAGGGCGTGGAGTTGTGCCACGACCAAGACCTTCGGTGGGTATCACCGTCTAGGCTTTCTGGCAGCATCCGACTAATATAGTACAGATTGAATTTGTTCTTCGTCGTCAGCTCCATCACCGCCAACGTCTCTTCTCTACCGGTCGGGACCATGCTAGATCGCTATGGTTCGCGTGTATGTGGTTTCGCAGGTTGCCTAAGTCTCGCACTGGGAAGCTTGTTGATGGCCGTCTCTTTCCAAAATCCTCACTTCGATGGCTACATTCCAGGGAATTTCTTCCTCGCCCTTGGCGGGACGTTCATCTTTATTCCATCTTTCCAGATCGCCAATGCTTTCCCCAAGTATGCGGGTACCATTGTTGCGATGGTAACTGGCGCCTTCGACGCGTCGGCAGCCGTCTACTTGTTCTATCGCCTTCTATACGAAACCGATCGCAAGAAATATAGCCCTACAAATTTCTTTTTCGCGTACCTGATAGTCCCCGCGCTCATCCTCGTGTCGCTGGTGACATTCATGCCCGCGAGCGAATACTCGAATATGCAGCAGCTCGAGGCAAAGGTCGAAAAGGCGGAGGATGCAACCCGTGACGTTCACGAGTCGGACGAGGATATTGAGAGTGAGACGGAGCTGCAACGTGTACGGTCCGAGCGGGCGGAGCGGCGCCACGACAAGATGCGGAAGCTTGACCAAGTCCTTGGAGATGAGGATGCAAGAAACCTGCGCAAACAGCACGAGGAAGAGCGGCACAACGCCAGTGCGGTCTGGGGTGTTCTCCATGGACTGTCTGCGCGTGAGCAGATGCTGACTCCGTGGTTCATTCTTATTACATTGATGACAGTGCTGCAGATGCTCCGCATGAATTATTTCATCGCTACTATTCGTTCCCAGTATGACTACATGCTGGATTCGGCCAGCAAGGCCGAGAAGATCAACGACTTTTTTGACGTCGCGTTGCCCGTCGGGGGTGTCTTCTCGACCCCGTTTATTGGGATGCTGTTGGATCGACTCAGCGTGCCCAAGATTCTCGCCACGATCGTGCTTCTAACGACCACAGTGGGTATCTTGAACTCTATTCCCGCTCTGTGGACAGGCTACGCAACGGTTATCCTCTTTGTCCTTCTGCGCCCGCTGTATTATTCCGCGATGTCGTAAGTATCCGTTCAGTCTCTTGCAGTAGAATCTGACTAACCACCGATGACAGGGACTATGCAACCAAAGTGTTTGGCTTCGCAACCTTTGGTCGCGTCTACGGCACCATTATCTGTTTCTCGGGCCTGGTCAACTTTACTCAGTATGGGCTAGATGCTCTGACACATGGACCACTGCACGGTAGTCCCATCCCAATCAACATTTTCTTTACTGTTTCTGGATTCTTGCTGGGTGTTGTCCTGGTGACCTTCGTGGCTGTCGCTGGAAGAAACATGAGAAGAAAGAGACGCATGGAACTTGAAGAAGAGGAACGACAGAGACTGATTCCCGAGGAGGATGAAGAGATGAACTATAATACCATGGCATAATGTCATGTCCATTGCGAGCGAGCATATTTCCAGCCATGGGCCACGGGTGCTTCGATTACTCATGGTAGTCTGGGAGCACAGCCTGTACATAGTAGACTGATTAAGTATACGTCAACACAACGCTGTCTCTATGAGTACATTCTTGACATCCATTCTTTGCTAACTGGAGTCCTTCTGCAGCTATAGCAGTATCATTTCCGACGTAAACTCACGATCGTATTTACAGCTGCTTTTTGGGCGCCTTCCCACCCTTTTGTGGCGGCGGGCGTTGCGGACCTCCTCTGTACACCCCATCATCATCCGCCAGGCTCCGCAACTCGCCCACATCCGTGGTCGCAATTGAGACCGACACCGCCCCGCTGTTGGCACAGCCAGCGGTGAGTCGTACACTCTCCTGCGAATCTTTGATGTTGTAAACAAGGAGCAGTGTATCGCCATCCGAGGCCGTTTGTTCATCGGCGACAAGAAACGTCGTATGATCTAGTACAGCCCGCGGCGCGTTCTCCTGTAGGAACTGGGCGATCTTGCCTATATCCCAGCCCAGAAAAGGATACTGCACGGACTCAACCGGCGGCTTGGTGACAGAATCCTTTGTGTACTTCTGGAGTTCGGCCGCGTCGGCTGTCGTGACAAGAATCAGGCTCGGAGGGGAGTCAACTTTGCTTGACGCATCGTATGCTGTCGATAGGACAGACGTGAGAACCTATCACTGTCGGTTAACATGATCTTGCACCTGAGGTCCGAGAGGGTCCGGTACAGTCGATGGCACCTCGTAGGTGCAGATGATGGGAACAAGACTCATTGTGGGTGACTTGTCTCTTGCGATGTCTGTCTGCTGTTGGTTTAGAGTTGGAGGGAGGATGGAGGATGGAGGTGTTGGTTAATGAAAGACTTGGAGGCTCTGCGGGGGTGTAAGACGCTATAAGCACACGTCACTAGAACAAAGCAAACCGGTTGTTAGGGTGCCGATCCCCCATCACACAGCCGTGATGGGCGTGCATTAGCGCCAGTTACAGGGGCGGAGCATACCTAGTACATGGATAAGGCTGATAGCTAGGCTGAAATACCTCATGTCGTTCTATAGTATGCTTGCTATATCCTTACCAACATGTTGCCTCTTCCCCTTCTTTCTTTTCTTTTTCTGGCCCCATACTGAAGCTTATTTTCCCGCTTCATGTAAGACATGCTAGATTGGAACAGGAAGGATATGCTGTCGTATCTCGGCCATTGAACCGTCCAACGGTACATTCAGATGCTCTCCAACGTATCCTGTATGTGAAGGGGCAAAGGACACTATTTGGAGCATTTTCTATATTCCAATGTCAGATAAAAGCCTTATGTGGTTACAGCTGTTCTCGATGCCCCCGGCCTCCCCTTTCTATCGCTCTTCCGAGCCCTTTTGCGCTCTTGGCTTGCTTTGGGGTCAGGATTGGCTACCATATCCAAGTCTCAGGTACCTGACCTGTAGCTTCCTTGTGTCTCGGGCGTAGTCCGGTCAGCTTATGGGCCAAGAGGCCAACAAGCCTAGAGTACCTGTGATTGAATGGGATTCCGCTTCGTTCCAGCGGCTGTACCCTACTTACGGCTACTTGGAGTATGTGCAATGCCATCCGATGACGATTATCCGCAGGTCTAGTGCTTACAGCACGAGTATCAAGCATGGCGTGGGAAGGGCAGTGCAGGGTACCTTACCGGCTCTCGACGTGAACACCAAGTATCACGTTGGGGGCCATATGCGCCGTGACAATAGCCTCCAGTTCACACACTCGGACATGGACAACGACCAGAGAAGGTATATAAACCGCTCTTTAGAGCTGGCTATCCTCATCTTCAACCAAAGGCACTCTCTACAATTAAGTCAAAGCCACTCATCAATCCAAAGCTCCAGCCATGCATCTGTTTGTCTCCATTGCCCTCACGGCCTTGGCCTCGACCGTCAGCGCAGCGACCTTCGACTGGGACTGCACCAACGCCCTCGGAACATGCCAGAACTACTGCTTCTACGCACAGTGCCGGGGCGGCGCAGGCCAGCAATTCACCTATGACGCGGATAAGTCCAAGCGTCCCGACCGCAGAAAGGAGTCAGGGTGCAGCAAAACCCCCTGCAGCGACTCCAGCCTGTCGTACTCCAAGTTCGGAAATTCGTGCGACGAGTTCCCCTTTGCCAGTACGAAGGAGGGCGGGTCTGGAGCACGTCTGCGGTGCGTCGATTCGACGGAGAACAGCAGTATGTGCACCCTTTCCCGCGACACACACACATTCAATAGGGTATATACTGATGCTTAATGGCGTAGGCGAGGGTGGCCAGCTTAGCGCCTTCTACGGCACCATAAACGACGGCGACAAGTTCGGCATCACTATTGAGAACTGGAAGGGAGCGTATGTTTCTCACCTGCCGTCCCTCGTGCAAGTGCTTTGCTAAATTATAGTTCAAGTTCCTACTGCGAGGACAACCCGACCTGCACGAACGACGGCGGCGAATTCTTCTTGGATCCGACTGGTAACTTCGTCGACGGCAAGAGGAGTATTGCTGGCCGTGGGCTTATGCTTGATCCGGGCTCCAGCACTCCAGCGGCACAGCTCAGGACGGTTAAGACAGAGGATGGCGGCGAGCACCTGGTTATTGCGGAGGATGGTGCGAACCCGCTCAAGGCGGGGGATGAGATTTGGAGTGCGCGTCGGAATGCTACTTTGAAGATTGTGGACTGATGGGGTATCGTCGGGCAGTGGATGAGGTGGATGAGGTGGAAAAGGAGAGTCAGTACCGGGTTTAGCGAAGCAGGAAGGAGGATGTTGAGGACCATGTTTGTATCAGTGCTATTGTTGCAATTCCCTTGGTCTAACTTGAGAGTTTGTGTACCGTCTGATCTGCATGTCTCTGGTGGTCCTTAAGAAAGGAAATAAGGAGCAAGGGAGAATCATCTATCATTGAGCAGCTAAAATTGGGCGCTCCTAAGCCTACTTCAATAAACCCGTGTCTTTAGCAACCAGATTCAGAAATGATTCATTGGGTCTTGAAGAAGCGGTCTAGACATGCCAAGTATACGTGCTAGAAAGACACAACTAACTCGGCCCATGCCGTCGAGGAGCTTGGTGGAGGCTGTACACATATATTCGTTGATTGTCTAGATATTGCGAATAGATGGCATGCAAGCAATATCACTCTCTATTAGCCCTAGCATGCTTGTGCAACATCGGGTCAATTGCTGGGTCTCAAGGGCTGTACGTGTACAAGCGCTCGTTGTTGTAGGTTAGCTAAGATTTCTATGCCTCGGGATTTCGGGTACTCATAAATACTCGTCTCCATGGAGAACTAAATACTTTACTTCACCGCAAATTGGGACACCCCATGGACAGGAACAACTGTAACCAGTGAATGAGTGCTCGGAGATTTCTGTACGATACGAGCTAGACTGAATGCATGCCAATGTGATTAGAATGCTTGGTTTGTCCAGGGGGTGTCTTTCAAACAATAGCAGGCCCTTTCTGGGGTATATGACGATCATTGCTTGTGTCTTCAGCAACAAAGGACAACTTTCAACTCACTACTCGATTACCCCGATGAAACAAATGGCACAGATCTCTTCAACTCGAAGCATCTAGCTTCTAGCTCTGACACCGTCCAGCTAGCCTGAGGGGGATCGACATATCTTGGTGAGCCAGCAGGGTGCAGCTGGTCGAAAGACCAATGGGACAATTCTCCGTACTCGCCTAATAGGGGATAGAGGGTCTTCCGTATCAGGATAGCTTAGAATCGCGGGGGAAATCCGCTCTTGATCGATGAGAAGCGTTGGTTCGTCCACATCTATCTAGTCCTTCCCATCTGCTTCCGCACCGATGGGGCCAGCAACCCACACAGCACCCTCAACACACCAACCGACTCCACCCCATGGGGTGATGATTCACCTTGACCCCGGAAAGACGCGGGCTGGGGTGACAGAGTGGGTTTCAGATGGACCGATCAGACGCTAACGATGGAGTCAGGCATGCAGAGACGGCGGTCGCGACGCATGCGGTGGCGATAACGAGCCATGGAAGCGAGGGCGTTGAGCATCAAAGGATCGCAAGAAGAGCGCGATCCAGAGCGAGCTATTTGGTGACCGGGAGTTCGTCACGAGTCGGGAATGTGCCTAGGCAAGAGACCAAATACCGGGTCGCTGGGTGAACGCATGCCGACGCCACGACTATATAAGTCCGACCACACTGAAGCTGGGCAAAAAGCATAATCCTCGGAGGAAGCCGCTTGGGGCAAGACAGCAGCGAAGCCACGGGGGCTCCAGAACACGCCGCCAAGCTGCCAAGCACGCTCCTGATGTCAAGTCCGGCTGCATCCCCGCATTCTCCCTACCAAAAAGCTGGGGAAGGATGCTGTGGAGTGTCCGCCATCGCCCCAATCGACTCGCATCCAGCAGCAACACGGCCGAGGCACTTTCCCATCCCAAGCCGGCTATTCACTTCGTGCAATGTCGGTATTCTCTGGCGATAGTTCTCCAGCCAATGGGAGACTGCCTATCATCGACGACTGGCCGTTGGAGGGGCAGACGGTGTGACCTGCTTTGGTGAGCTAGCTGCAGTTCACATTCTCTGTACTGTATATAGGGATCCCCCACTCCGGTCAGGAAGCTGAAATCCGGTGACTGGGCTTTCTTCTGGTCAATTGCATCCACTTTTCTTCCTTATCATCTCTCTGCGTGCATTGGCCGCTCCAGCAACATGTCCGTCCCAACCCCAGAGAAACGCAGTCTGGAGAACATCGAAGACGTGAACCAGCGCGCGCTCAGCAATGTCGACTACGATGAAGAATACACGTATGCCGAGCAGCGCAAAATCATCCATCGGATTGACAGGCGTCTGGTCACCATCACTGGTCTGGCCTACTGTGTCTCTCTGATGGACCGGACCAACCTGAGTATGGCCGCAGTGGCGGGGTATGTTTCTTGATACAGCCCCTCGTACAATTACTAACGCAAAACAGCATGACCAAAGAATTGCACTTGGAAGTTGGGACACGCTATGTGAGTATCGCAACACATAGTCGAGAAGCATTCGGCTGATCTTCTAGTCTCTCATCGTGCTCATGTTCTTTGTCCCCTATGTCATTTTCCAACCTCCGATGACCATCATTACACGAAAGTTGGGCCCAACCCTCTTTCTGGGGACGATTGTGATCTCATGGGGTGCGATCCTGGTGGTAAGTGCCCAGATCGGACGACGGTGACACAAATTCAAATTCTGACCGTATCACACTAGGGCATGGGTTTCACAAAGGATTGGAAACAGATGCTGGCCTGTCGTGTGCTTTTGGGCTTGCTGGAGGCTGGGTACTTCCCAGGATGTGTGTACCTCCTCTCCAGTTGGTATACTCGGTGTAAGTCTCCATTACTGTGTCAATCGATCTCTCCCTGACCATAGCAGTCGACGTCCAAAAACGCTTCTCAGTCTTTTACCTGATCGGCTGCGTTGCTTCCGCCTTGGCCGGCATTCTCGCCTTTGGTCTGATGCAGATGCATGGCATTGAAGGTCTCGGAGGATGGCGTTGGATTTTTATCATGGAGGGTGTGGTGCGTACCCCTATCCCCTGTCGCGCCAACGTACGCTCATGCAATCATCCAGATCACCGGAATTATCGGCATTCTGACTATCGTCTTCCTTGTGGACTTCCCCGACCGCGCACACAAGTCATGGTGGTTCCTGAGTGAAAAGGAAGCCCATTTCGTCGTACGTCGTATCAACCGCGACCGTTCCGATGGCGACGAGGAGCCCTTCTCGCTCAAGAAATTCCTGTCCCCTTGCCTGGACCCGAAGATTTGGGCGTTCGCCATGATCTTCTTCTCCTCCACGACCGTTACATACGCCATCGCGTACTTCCTCCCGATCATCCTGCAAATGGGAATGGGTTTCAGCGTCGGTGCCTCACAGTGCTTGGTGGCGCCTCCCTTCGCTTTTGCCGGCATCGTCATGTTCGCCGGAGCGTGGGTGGGAGACCGCTATCGCATTCGCGGCCCCATCGTTGTCTTCAACTCGCTCTTGTGCATCCTTGGACTGCCCTTGATGGGCTTTGCCAAGGGGAATGCGGCCCGCTATGTTGGCGTGTTCTTCGCGGTCGCGGGCGCCAACGCCAATATACCGTCTGTCATGGCCTACCAGGCGAACAATATTCGCGGCCAGTGGACTCGAGCCCTGTCCAGCGCGACCCTGGTCGGCTTTGGCGGTATCGGCGGCATCGTGAGTAGCTTGGTGTTCCGGTCGCAGGACGCACCCAACTACCGTCCCGGAATGTGGACAACCATTGCGTGAGTGAGCTCTGTTCTTTGGGATCTAAACTGTTACTAATGGGTCATGCAGCTGTAATATCTTGATCTTGATCATCGTGGCTAGTTTGAGTTTGTGGTTCCGCATCTGTAACAAGCAGGCGGATCGGGGTACGAGGATTATTGAGGGAATTGCTGATTTCCGGTATACGCTGTAGGGGCTGCGTGTTGTCTTGACATGTTGAGAGATAGGGTCTGGTATAAATTTATTTTCTGAGTGAATAATATATGTGATGTCCTGTCACTAGGTTTGGGGTAGCCGGGATAGATATATTTTACGCCCGCAACTGATGTAAGGGTTTGAAACATAGGATATGGTGACAGATTACTCAAAGTTGGTACCACTTCATACTATCCTCCCACTGGCCAAGCAATATCGTCTTAAAAATCTACTCGAGAGACTGACCAGTAGTGTTTGGCAGATCGGTACTTCGTAAGTAGACTGAGTCTAATCGAGGCAACGACTCAATGAAACACGCGCTTATCACGGTTAAACGTTGGTGAATAGGGATCCAACTACAATAGAGAGCGCGCTACCCCGCGAGTTCTTATTGGAGGCGACATATAGCATTGTACCTGGGCAACTATGTAGGTAGAGACGGTAGAGATGGATCTGCTCAACGGTGCTAACCCTAAGCCGATAAGATAGGTATCATTATCGATAAGTTGAGACCCTGTCTGTGCGTTATGGGGTATTGTCTATCCATTGGTCTATGAGAATTGCAATTCTCATCCCATCAATAACGTGAATGAAATGAATGGACCTCAATCAACTGGACAAAATTGACCGGATCACACAACCGATGCTCGTCAGCCCGGTAGGAACACTGCAGGAGAAAAAATAGTTTCCCGCGGAAAAGTGACGTTATCAGCGGGCGGCGGACGCCTTGCCGCGTTCTGGCGCGTCTGCGGGGCGGTCCGGAGGCGGGCGGAGCGCGGTGATTGGCCCGGGGGCGGTTGTTATCGGGGAGTTTCCCGGCCCGCCCGCGGTATCTCCAACAAGCAGCTCCGGCTTTTCTTCTGCCACTTCTTTATTTCTGGCCTCGTTCTTCCTTTTCTTTTTCTTCATCTTCCTGTGTTCATTGAATCCTTGTTCCTCTTCTTCCTCCCTCTATCTCATGTGTTGAGTGGTGGACCATTGGATACTCCCCTCTATCCCCTCCCCCTTCTATACCTCCAATTGGATCCTACCCCACGCGCTCTCCAGATTCGCCATGGCTGCGTCCTGGTGCGCCCTGAGGGGCACTCGCCAGCTGGCTCTTCGCTCCAGACTGCGCGCAACCGCTGCGCCAGTCGCTCTGCGGAGAACCTCTCCTTCTACTCCGGCCCTCGCCTCCTACCGGGCCTTGCATACCGGTCAGCAGCCCACAGCCCGACGACCGGTCTACACGAGCTCCGTGGCCGATCACGGTGACCCTCACCCCCGCGACCTCTTCCAGCCCCTCGATACCTTCCCCAGACGCCACATTGGACCCTCGCCCGATTCCGCGGAGCAGATGTTGGCCACTCTGGACCCTCCGGTGGCGTCGTTGGACGAATTCGTCAAGCAGGTGCTTCCCGCGGACATTCTCTCCAAGAAGGACCTGAAGGTGTCCGACCCCCACAGCTCTGCCAAGCTGGATCGCGATAGCGTGCACGGTGGCCTGGGCGAGACCGACATGCTGAAGCTTCTGGATACCTACCGCAAGCAGATCGATGTCAGCGGAAAGACCTACATTGGCGCGGGTTATTACCCTACCATTGTCCCTCCTGTCATTCTGCGGAACGTACTGGAGAACCCCGCTTGGTACACCAGCTACACTCCTTACCAGCCGGAGATCAGTCAGGGTCGTCTGGAGTCGCTTCTGAACTTCCAGACCCTGACCGCAGATCTCACGGGACTTCCCTTCGCCAATGCCTCCGTCCTCGATGAGGCCACCGCTGCCGCCGAGGCCATGACCATGTCTTTCGCGACCATGCCTGTGAGCAAGCAGAAGAAGGCCAGCAAGTCCTATGTGGCGTCCCATCTTTGCCACCCCCAGACCTTGGCCGTCATGCGTTCCCGTGCCGAGGGATTCGGCATCAACCTAGTGGTCGGTGATATCCTCGCCGACGACTTCAAGCTCGTCAAGGAACAGGGTGACAACCTGATCGGTGTTCTCGCGCAGTACCCCGACACCGAGGGTGGTATCTATGACTTCCAGGCTCTGAGCGATGCCATCCACACCGCGGGTGGTACTTTCAGTGTCGCCACCGATCTTCTGGCTTTGACTCTTCTGAAGGCCCCTGGCGAGTTTGGCGCCGACATTGCGTTTGGTAGCGCCCAGAGACTGGGTGTTCCTATGGGATACGGTGGACCCCACGCCGCCTTCTTCGCCTGTGCCGACAAGTACAAGCGTAAGGTCCCTGGTCGTGTGGTCGGTGTGTCCAAGGATCGTCTGGGCAACCGTGCGCTGCGCCTGGCGCTTCAGACCAGAGAACAGCACATCCGTCGCGAGAAGGCCACCAGCAACATCTGTACCGCGCAGGCCCTCCTGGCCAACATGACCGCCATGTACGCCATCTACCACGGCCCCACCGGTCTCAAGGCCATCGCCCAGCGGATCATGTCCATGACCACCACCCTCCAGACCAAGCTGGCCGCCATGGGATACAATGTTCCGGTCAAGACCAACTCCGCTGACGGCGGTGCCATCTTCGATACGGTCTGCGTGGAACTGTCCAACAGCCAGGAGGCGGACGCCCTGGTCGCCGCCGCTCGCGAGCAGAAGGCCTTCCTCCGCCGTGTGTCCCCCACCAAGGTCGGTATCTCTCTCGATGAGACCGTCGGCCGCGAAGAGGTCAAGTCTCTCCTCCAGGTGTTTGCTACCCACGCCGGCAAGGGCGAGGTGACCCTGGAGGCGGAGCTGGGTGCATCCCCGCTCCCTACCAGCTTGGAGCGTACTTCTCCCTACATGACCCACCCCGTCTTCAACACCCACCACTCCGAGACGGAGATGCTTCGCTACATCCGCCACCTCGAATCCAAGGATCTCTCTCTTGCCCACTCCATGATTCCCCTCGGTTCCTGTACCATGAAGCTGAATGCCACCACGGAGATGATCCCCATCTCGTGGCCCGAGTTCTCTCAGATGCACCCCTTCCTGCCTGCGGACGTCGCCAAGGGTTACACCCAGATGATTGACGACCTGGAGCAGCAGCTCGCTGACATCACTGGCATGGCTGAGGTGACGGTGCAGCCCAACTCGGGTGCTCAGGGTGAGTTCGCCGGTCTCCGCGTGATCAAGAAGTACCAGGAAGCCCACGGTGGTGCCAAGCGCAATGTCTGCCTGATCCCCGTGTCTGCTCACGGTACCAACCCTGCCAGTGCCGCCATGGCCGGTATGCGCGTGGTCACCATCAAGTGCGACACCAAGACCGGTAACCTCGATCTTGCGGATCTGAAGGCCAAGTGCGAGAAGCACAAGGATGACCTGGCCGCTGTCATGATCACCTACCCTAGCACCTTCGGTGTGTACGAGCCGGGCATCAAGGAGGCCTGCAACATCGTCCACCAGTACGGTGGTCAGGTGTACATGGATGGCGCCAACATGAACGCCCAGATTGGACTGTGCTCCCCCGGTGAAATCGGTGCCGATGTCTGCCACTTGAACCTACACAAGACCTTCTGTATCCCCCACGGCGGTGGTGGTCCCGGTGTAGGCCCCATCGGTGTCGCCGAGCATCTCCGCCCCTACCTTCCCTCCCACCCAGAGAGCGAGTACCTCCAGTCCAAGCGGTCTGAGAGTTCCTCTCCTCCCATCAGCGCCGCCCCCTGGGGTAGCGCGAGCATCCTCCCGATCACCTTCAACTACATAAATATGATGGGCTCCAAGGGTCTGACCCACGCCACGAAGATCACCCTCCTGAACGCCAACTACATCCTCTCGCGCCTGAAGGAGCACTACCCGATCCTGTACACCAACGAGAACGGCCGCTGCGCCCACGAGTTCATCCTCGACGTGCGCAAGTTCAAGGACACCTGCGGTGTGGAGGCCATCGACATCGCCAAGCGTCTCCAGGATTACGGCTTCCACGCCCCGACCATGTCGTGGCCCGTGTCCAACACCCTGATGATCGAGCCCACCGAGTCGGAGAGCAAGGCCGAACTCGACCGCTTCTGCGACGCCCTCATCTCCATCCGTCAGGAGATCGCCGAGGTTGAGAGCGGCGCGCAGCCCCGCGAGGGCAACGTGCTCAAGATGGCGCCCCACACCCAGCGCGATCTCCTCTCGACCGAGTGGAACCGCCCGTACACTCGTGAGCAGGCGGCGTACCCGCAGCCGTGGCTGCTGGAGAAGAAGTTCTGGCCGTCGGTGACTCGCGTTGATGATGGTAAGTTCTGTCTCCTATGACATTGTATAAGGATTTCGCTAACAGATTGCAGCCTTTGGTGACCAGAACCTCTTCTGCACGTGCGGACCGGTGGAGGATAGCGAGTAGATATGATACCCATGTGATTCTTAATGGTTGATGTGTATATTTTTCAACACTTGGTTGGATGCGTTGTCCAGATTCAACATAGTCATGATAGATGGCGTTTGGCATGATGGTTTACGAATAAAGATTATCTTTGATGTCTTATCCGGGTGACTCTAAGCGAGTTGTAATATATCCCTATAGAGCTTTCGCTGTGCTTTACAGAGTATGGAGCAGACCGTGTGTCAAGAATCCAACAGATACCTCTGCTTGAATTTATATCCAGACAAATGTCCAAGGCCCATACTGACGGGGCTTCATTAGGCACCACCCGGCTAGACGGATATATGGCGAGAATCTTAAGATCTTCCTGGCTTCACTTCGGCGGTAGTCCGGCACGTTAGTAGACTCCAGTGCGTGCTATTCCATGACAGGTGTCATATCGGCTAGCTGCATACCGTGCAGGATGTAACCTTCCAATTCCACTCACCTGGGATCGGTGTGCTGGTGTACTGTTCTAGATGCATATTGCTAAAGAAGTGATACTAAGAATAGCGTTTGTGAGGTAGTAAACTGCTGGGTAATCTCCGCCCTTCCTCCTAAGCGATAATAGGGCCTGATTCCACTCCGAGCGCTAAGACACTGGTAGATGTAGCACAGGATCACAGTAGCCTTACCTTATAAATCCGCAGGGTGCTGGGCTTCACCGGAATCGTCAGGTCCTACCTTGAAGTTCGTACATTATCCCCTTTCTCTTGGTAGGCAAACCATCTTCCTGGTGCTCATCATCAAGTGTACTGGGTATTACTGGCACCGACTGATGGTATTTACTATCGATGCTTTGTGTTGATGAACTCTAGTGGGATGCCAACTTGAGCACTCAAATCCCTGAGCTGCTCTCTCGCCCTAGGCGACCATTGATTTGTATCCGTATCAATCCAACTTAGCAGCAGAGTAATGCGACTAAGATGCGGTGTCCATCGTGTCCACTCCCTCAGCCATGACTCCAATAAGCCCAGGATGGCGTAATCCTTCCATTCCCATAACGGCCACTCCTCTTCCAGGTAATCGCTATTTTGTAGCGCGAGGTCATCCGTGATGGTCAGGAATACGATGTTTCTAGGAATAACATCCTGCAGTCGTTTCGTCTCATCCTGTGCGAATCCCACCAGGAACGCCCAGGGAATTTGGAGTGTCTTGATCAGGTCAAAGTTGACCAAACCTTTCAAAGAGCCCACCGCTTCTAACCCAGGGAAGAACTGATCATTGTATCCAGGCTGGCAATCAGCCGTAATAATCAAATCCGTTAGAGTCCCTCGAACATGAGATAGCTCCGTAGCGATCTGATCAAGGTCCACAGTCTGGGTAATAAAGTCCCCGAGGTGTGATTCATAATACCACTTCCAGCGTAGAGTTTCAAGGTTCTTAGTCACAGCAAGGAGTTCCCCTAGACATCCTTCTCGGATAGTCCTCAAATCAAGGGATTTAAGCTTTGATGGGACAGGAGCGTGTGGTGCGGGCCATGCCCACTTATCCGGGTTGTCAATGGAGGCGGACACGTGTTGAAGATTTGGTAGATAGAAGAACGGCAAGATAGCTGCGGTATTCCTGAATTTCCTGTCACATGCTTCGTCCATAGACTCACGATGAAGGAATGACAGTTGTTCAAGACGCTGAAAATTGCCTAGCTTATAAGTCCCAGACTCGCAAATTGCTGAACGGAGCACTATCCCAGTAAGAGCACATTGCCGTGTAAAAGCATAGCCCAGATATAGATATCGCAGACTGGACAGCTGTGCTAAAAGCAGCGCAACAAGAGCATCAACTGAGCCATCACGGAGTTCCTGACTCCACCAGTCAATGTATGGGACTCCGGTCCGTCGGATGAACGCGATAGGCTCGTCCAGCTGATCTTCGGGGATGTGAATCTTGGGTAGTTTAAATCGAGAGGCATGCCCGGCCCACGCAAAACCATCTAACTGAAGGCTTTTGACGTGAGTCGCCAGCTGAGGCTTGGAAAGAAGAGTCCGTAAAAGCTGAGTGATGGGCGGAGGGGCCTCAAGGCTTGAGAAATGCAGTCTCTTTTCCCAAATGAACTGAATCTTCGAGTAAAGTAGCGGCTCAGCGATTGCCCGGAACTTATGACCCACAAGGCAAAGTGCATGGAGTTCAGCTGACGACAGCAACTTGAATACTAGGTACAAGATGTCTGCTGGACAGCGATTCCAGTCGAGTGCTGCTTTGTTTGTCTAGGATAGATGACTCATGAGTACCATTCATGATATGCGTTTTGAGGGCCACGTACAGGTTCCATTATTATCAGACGAAGCTCAGCAAAATCGTAAAGGCCGACCAAGTTATGGACACAGTATGCATGTGGCGTGTGGACAATTGACCACGTGTATATCAATATCCTGAAGTCATCAGGCAAAGGACATCATCGTCTCACTGAAAGCCCGGAAGCAGGTTCGAACAACTGCTAATGAACTAAAGTGAGAAGAGCAGACCCGTTCGAAGGCTTCATACTGCAGGACTCACGTAGCAACACGGCTAGGAAGAACGGTTGAGGACGTGTCAGCGAGAAATGCGACGTTGGTAAATTTCAATATAGCAGCGAAAGGTCTCTGGCGGTGAGAGTGGGCAGAATAGTGTGACTAAGGGACATTTGGGCCTCGTGCGGAGCTTATCTTATCAGCTTATCGCGCCATACTCAATCAGGTGTCGGAGATGGCCGCTGTCCGACTGCAACGCTGTCCTTCTCCTCACCATAAAGTCAGCCTGCTGTCGCGAGCGGACTTCGCATGAGGTTTTGGGGGATTTGGCCTCTTACTGTTTTTCTCAGACGCAGCTACCTATCCGGTTATACTAGGCCTCATAAAGACTTCTATCGTTCCTTCCCAGCATGATCCAGGTCCGACTCCGACATCAATCCCGGCGATCCAGAGACATCTCATCCCGTCAATGCTAACAACACTCAGGACCTGCACATTGGATATATTCCTAGTCTATTGAATTCAGAGCATTGATCTAGACTTCACTCTCTTATCCTCTGCATCGCAGTTCAGCATCATCATGTCTCCACCCCACACCGTCTTCTACGGGACCTTCATCGACCTTCCCCGCACGAAGTCCGGACAAAAACATGACCTCTTAGTCCGTCACGGTGCCCTTTGGGTATCCGCCAATGGTACTATCGAAGGCATGGATTGGACTGTCGGGAATGACAGTGACCTCCACGCTCTCCTCCGCCGCAAGGGCTGGGTTGACAACGTGCACCTCGTCCGCGCACAGTCCTCCCAGAACGAGTTCTTCTTCCCGGGCTTCATCGGTACTCCCACCCCCCGTTAACCCTTCTTTACCCATAGACTAACCAAAGTTATACCGCAGACACACATATCCACGCCCCGCAGTACCCCAACTCAGGGCTCTTCGGCTCCTCCACCCTCCTCGAGTGGCTAGAACGCTACACCTTCCCCATGGAGTCCTCCTTCGGGAGCACCTCCAACCCTTCCTTACTCACAGGAAACGCCTTCCGCGTCTACAACCAGACCATCACCCGCACCCTCTCTCACGGCACCACCTACGCCGCGTACTACGCAACCATCCACGTCCCCGCCACGCAGATACTCGCAAGCCTCTGCCTCGAGCGCGGCCAGAAAGCCCTCATCGGCCGCGTCTGTATGGACAACCCCTCCACCTGCCCAGAAGACTACCGCGACGCCTCTCCCGCGTCCTCCCTGTCCGACAACGAAGCCGTCATCTCCTACATCCGCGGCATCGACCCGTCCGGCGCCCTCGTCAAGCCCATCCTCACCCCGCGCTTCGCCCTGTCCTGTTCCGCCACCGCCATGCGTGCCATCGCAGACCAGGCCACCCGCCACGCATCTGGGGATGGCGCTCCGCTGCACATCCAAACCCATATCTCTGAGAATACGGCCGAGATCGGTGCTGTGCGCTTGTTCTTCCCGCAGCAGGACACCTACGCCGGTGTGTATGATGAGTATGGGCTGCTGACCCCGCGAACGATCCTCGCACATGCTGTGCATCTGACCCCTAAGGAGAGGGAACTAATCTCCGCACGTGGGGCGAAAATTTCGCACTGTCCTACGAGCAACTCGGCGCTGGGGTCCGGACTATGTCCTGTGCGGCATATCCTGGGATGCAGGGCTTACGGTTGGCTTGGGAACGGACGTGTCGGGCGGTTACAGTATGAGTGTGTTGGAGGCAGTGCGCCAGGCGTGTCTGGTTTCGCGGCTAGTGCGGTTTGCGGTCTCTCCGGAGGACGAGGAGGAAGGCAAACGCATGGTGCTCAGCGTTGAGGAGGCGTTGTATCTGGCTACCCGCGGTGGTGCAGCGGTGGTTGATGCGGCGGACCAGGTGGGTGGGTTTGACAAGGGTATGTTGTTTGATGCGCAACTGGTGCGGCTGGGGCCGGGGGTGGAGAAGGGCATCAGCGGGAAGGAGAGTCCCGTCGACGTGTTTGGATGGGAGTCGTGGGAGGAGAAGGTGCACAAGTGGGTGTGGAATGGGGATGATCGGAACGTCAAGGGCGTGTGGGTGAATGGGCGGCTGGTGCATAGTCGTGGGGATGTTGGTGGTGAGTCTGGGGGGCGGTTGCTGCGGTGGGTGTTGGGGCTGGGCGTTGTTGGTCTTGGGGCCGTCATTGCCTGGAGATCCCGCCGGTAGGTGGTGTATATTTACGGGTTGTTGATTGTATCGGGGCAGGAGATGCACATATTCATATGATACCTGTATAAACTACTTTACCTAGAACTATTTCCACCTCACTGGAAGAGCTCAATGCAGTCAAAGACCTAACGGGTCAGCATCGCATCAACGTCAAGAATGGATAGGCACTTACAAAGTTGGGACTCAAGAAGTCGTCCCCCGAGCTGCCAGAGATGACATTGATAGTAATCTAACCCTATTAGCTTCGTCTCCCCCTTTCATCGCGTTGCAAGACTTACCGTGTTGGTCCCAGCGACAATCGTGCCCGCGGGAATAGACACATCGTACACCTCACCCAGACCGCGGTACGCACCGCGAGTAACGCCACGGGAGTTGAGGTTCGTAGGTGCCGAAGGCGTGGGCCCGGTATAGCTGTTGATCTGGATGTCATTGTCAGCTCCGTCGTCAACCAACCAGCATAAGAGCACTCACCGTAGCCTGCGGCCGTCCACCGGCGAACGAAAGCGTGGTACCGATGCGCAGCGTCGCCGCGCCCGTCTGCGCAGACGTTGCGGTGAACTTGATGGTAACAGGACTATTCACGGACTTGAACAACGCCATGGGGAAGGACCCGACGGACGAGCTGCCGACGGTGTAGGTGACGGGGCCCCAGCTGGACATGCGCGAGTCGGACGGGTGCATACGGAGCTGCTTGTCGGCGTTGAGGAAGCCGGTCGGTCTGGGCCGGTCAGTCAATTACGTGCAGTTGGATATGAATTGAAAGGCGGCTTACTGTCCATCCCAGTCGCCAATCTTGAAGATCGTCGTCCCCGTCTTGACGGAGCCGGAGATGTTCTTTGTCGTGGATGAACCCGCGCTGACGGTCACGCTGGTCTCGGCGACGCGGTACTCGCCCTGGTAGTAGGCCATCGTGTAGGTGCCGGGCTTCATGGCGGGCGAGGTGAAGCTGCCGTCGGAAGCGGTGTAGGTCCAGTATTGGGCGGCGTCGTTGTACCTGGTGTTGCTTGTTAGATGCTGCAGCGGTGGTGGAGTATGGGAAGGGGTGTGTGTGTACCAGTGCACCACCCATTTGAAGTTGGAGTCTGCGCCCGATGCCTTTCCGGTTACGGTGCCGCGGCCGCTGGCGGGGACGTAGCCTTTGATGTCGAGGTTGGCGAAGAAGGAGGTGTCGATGTTGGTGCCTGGGGTTCCGCTGCGGCTGAAGTACATCGAGTACGGGCCGTGGAGACCCATGCGGTAGGATTCGGTCTGAACGTGGCCGGAGTTCTGGGTCCGTTAGAGCTGGGTGAGTGGGGGGTTGTGCTGCATCCCGTACCATGTACCAGTAGAGAGAGTTGTAATCGCCGCCGTTGTTGCTGTTGATGTCGCTGTGGAGGGTTAGTCCCGCTGACGCGGATATGGAATGGAGATACTGACCGGTGGAATGGTCCGCCGGAGGAAGACTCGTACTGGTTCAGGATCATGCACACGCGGTGAGCACTGCCCGAGATGCCTGGCTCTGTTAGATCTAAAGTGTTGAGCCATGGGTGGTTTCTTACAGTGTCTCTGGTCGTCGATGAACCGTTGGCTGGAATAGAACTTGCTGCGAGTCTGGCCGTTGACGAGGAACTGATGCTGTTAGTTTTCGCTGCATCCTACTTGCTACAGGGCACATACCACGTCCGAGCCTTCGATTGCCGAGCCACCTGCTGTGGTGGAGACGTCTCCGAAGGGCTCCTCGTTGGGGAGGAGATTGGAGTTAAGACGAGCGATAAACCGCAGTTCGCCGATGGAGGGTTCTAAGAAGTCAGAGGCAGTTTGCAATGATAATCCATCAAACCTACCTGCAGTAATGTACGTCGCCATATGGATAATGGGGTCACCGCTATGGACGACGAAATAGTGCGTCAATGTGTCGGTGTCGCAGGTCACCTTGATATAGTCGCCTACACTCATCAGTGAGAGTACACAAAAAGTGTAGGAAGGACTCACCATTCTGTACAGCAGACACGGAAGCAGACCCCAGACCCGACCCGATGTGACTTCCCTTGCTCTGATACTGCAGCTCCGAACCATAGTAGTTGATGGAGGTGATGTCGCAGCTGCTGCGACTCACCGTAAACTTCAGGGGGTTCGGCGATCCAGCATCAATAGTGTAGGACGAGTCGGTGGTTGTGATGCCAAAGGCCGCCGATGCAACCTTTGCCCACAGCGGAAGTGACGAGAAAAACAGTGCCTTGGACAACATGTTGTTGCGCAGTGCTGTGAAGTATCATCTGGGACGTTAGAATCCGCCATGGCGATCCTTTATAGGTATCACAATACGCTAGGGCAGATGGATTCTTCAGCTTGATGTGAAACAAGCCTCTCGGCAACGACTCTAATCTCATCATCCACAACCCCCGTTCAATCTTGACCTCCTGGACGAGCCCCGTTCCACCAATCTCAGGGCTCGACGAAGCAACCAAATATAAATTATGGGCACATGGCAAACGCTCCGGAACAACGGACAGGCGGAGACCAGCGCTAGTCACGACTCGGCTGTGACTGCTGTTGCAGCCGTTCCCAATCTGTCTTCGCGCCAGGTGGTGCGGAGAAGACTGCCTAGTTAGACCGTTTCTTTCGGGGTGGGAGTGCCGAGCCAAGAGTCCACTGTTTGAGCCCAGTGCTCCTGCAATCCACCAGGTCCATTTGGTTGTTTCATCCGCGCTGCCAGACCCGCCAACCCTGAGGCGGATATCTTGGTCGATTCCATCATAAACGGGTTCACAGGCGGTAGGATGAACACGATGCAGTGTCGCGAATGAACTCGAGTCGGGTGCCTTTGTCGCGAGATCCGAGCCTTCTGTCGATCACACGCCCCAGAGCAATATAAGTTGCAGGGAATCCAACGGCACAGGCTCTTCAGAGGCCAAGGGTGGACGGACAATCTTGGTCGTCTGCCGGAGTTTCTCCAGTTTGGATCAGGGGCTCTCAGCTCCGTAGTTGCTCTCGGGGCATTCGGTTCTAACACTTCACGCACAACCTCCATGGACCATCCATTCTATTCAAGACTCATCAGAACATTGATTTACCGCCACTGGCATTTCTCGAGTAAGACGGGAAGAAAAAGCCGTAGCTTATCGTCAGGGTTGACAATGCCGAGAATGCGGGGTTTTAGGGCACTTTTGATGTAGGATTCGCAGGCTACGAGGCCTTGCACAACTCTTGCTCGCCATGGATGGTCCTCTGCCAGTTAGGCCCACGACACGAACATATACAGGTTGCCTGATCAAATTAGTTTCGGATTAACATACTAACTAGATAGGCTTGGTACCCAATCTAGCAATCCAGGCCCTCATCCATATACTGCATTTTAGTATAGGAAAACGGTAACCGATCTTGACGTCCGGGGCTTATGCGACAGTGTATCTCCAGGCGCTGATATCAAAAGTACTTGAGAAAGCTCAAGGGCGTCACTTCCCCGGCGTCGTCAGAGCGACTGTATTGCTGCCCTACGGCATTTGAAAACCCGGAATACAGTTATGTACAACAGAAGGAAGCTCAACCGCCGTAACCATCACGGTAAGTCTCCTGGCAAAAGCCTCAGATTTCTCACTTATCACTATTAAGAAGCATAACAAACATCCTCCTATCGAATCATATTATGCCACGGATTTCTCCCTACATCCTTGGCTTTACGGCTTCCATTGGATGAATTACAGCCTTGTGCTATTATTATATATGCAAGACCTATCGGCCTAATCATCCATCTTCGATCATCCTTTGCCGTAAGCCCATCATAAAACTATACCCCGCGCCGGTTATACACTAGCAACTTAACTATCTACTCCAGTCTCCTGTCAGCTATCCACCAGAGAACGCTACGGTACTACTTCTCCGGGACCAAAGCGACACAACTTTATAGCTAACCTCGCCAAGACATCCAAGGCTTAATTCAGATGCCAACTCCTCCGCTTCTGAAGGGCTTGGGGCCCGTTCTAGAGGAGTTCACGCTCGAATCGATCCAAGCCGACCCGAGCACGTCCACTCTTAAGAAGGATTTCACGGCTCTCACGTCGTACAATCTACTACCCAAAAAGGATAAGACGATAATCGTTCCTGGGGCGCCTCCAGTGTTAAGACCGCCTACAGCACCTCTTAAGATCAAACCGGACTCCGGAAGATATCTCTTGGACCCTAGTGGGCATGTCTTTCCCAAATGCCCGCTTGAGCCACTTTTCAGAGCTCTTCTTATAAGTTGTCCTCGGCTTAATATGCGCGATGTGGACCTCGTGACCGACAGACGAAATCTTCGTCTTCTCCTGGGTTTTGCGGGCAGAAAGAAGGCGCCGTTTCGGATTGACATCGAAACGGTGGAATCGACAGTCCTCCTTTCCACGTGGACCCCGAATAAAGTCAGCTTCGTCAACGGGTTCCAGGGGTTTGGACATGAATTTGAAAAGGCTGCAACAGTGAAGCCTGATTTCACCCGCGGAAGTATCGCATACCATGGGGTTGTCCGATATACGCTGGGCCCGATGAGGATTATCATGCGGTTCGAAGCAGACGCGTGCACACAACCACCGTCTGGTTTGTTATCGAATACTCGGGCTCGTCCGCCAACGCGTACGCCAACCGAATTTACGGTGTTGAATAAAGGGAAGCCATTGTCTCCATCACGGATTGTGGAGATAAAGACGGGGCCCGCTGGTAAACAACTCGACAGCGGGACGACTCTGTCCCAAATGTGGTTCTCAGACACGGGGATCCTGTGCACAGGGAATTACAAGGGCCAGGGAATATTTCCCCTGCCTAGTGTGACTAATGTTAAACGGAGAGGGAAGTTGCGTCGTTGGGAGGAGGCAAATACAGACCAGATTAGGCTCCTTATTGGGCTCCTCGAGACGCTGGTGAGGCATCTTAGAGATTCACCTCACAAGAAGGTTGCCGTCATTCACGATGGTTCTGGCTTCCTAAAACTACATGCTCTCAAAAACCCCGATAATAAAGGTATACCGAGTGACCTCCTCAGTATGTGGAGGGGGCCTTGACTCCGGGGATCTCGAACTACATTCAGTCCTGGAGGCGCCCGGAGCTACAGATTGGAATCAAGATGATACAGAGACAGTATTTAATTGCTTGCCTTCACATGCGAAGTATGGTTTATTATGAGGAGAGGGCGAATCTTGCGTTCTATTAATCTACGGAGTATGATCCTGATCAAACAGCCAAAGGCGATGTCATTAAAATTTGATTACCCGAACGGGAATAGCGCTGCGATATCACGATGAACAACGACATTCTACTAGCCAGGAACGGTATATTGCCTTATGTGCTATGTAGATTATAGTCCGTTCTTCTAAACCATGATCTAGGGCTGCCTCCAAAATCTGGAATAAAGAGGATCTACGTAGTTATGTATCTTATTGCCCCCAACCCCGTTCATAGCTCGAAGTACACTGCGAGGACGTCGAAGATCCATCGGCTGAGGATCTTCATCAATGTCAAGAATGGTCTGAGCATTTTGAACTGAGATTCAGATTTAGCAATCATGAGCGGCTAGTGTGATATCCAACAGCATTGAAGCAATTCAGCCGCTATGGCCCAGTTGGGAGATTAGATGTCAAAGCTTCAGTCTTGTCGGAAGCCCCGTGATCCGTAACAGACTAGATCCAAACAGGGTCGGTTTGTTACCTTAGATGAAGGAGCGTCAAGAACTCTTCCCTAGCCTTCGGGTTCGACTGCATGCTTCCAACCATGTAACTGGTCGTCGTAGTGCTTCTGACCTTCTGAACACCACGCATGATCATGCATAAGTGGGAGGACTCCATGACTACCCCAACACCCTGGGGTTTAAGCACGTTGAAGACAGCTATGGCAACCTGTTCGGTAAGGCGTTCTTGAACCTGGAGCCTCCGAGAGAACACCTCAGCCAGATGTGCCATTTTCGAGAGACCCAGGATGCGGCCATCAGGGATGTACCCAATATGCATCTGCCTTGTGATGTTAGTGTCCTTTCTCAAGCTTGAACTTGAAATCTGTACCTTTCCAGTAAAAGGAACCAGATGATGCTCACAAAGAGAGTAGATATCAATATCTCTCACAACAATGAGACCCTTGTAGTCTTCATGGAAAATGGCTCCGTTGGCCCGGTCGAAAATATTCTCAGAATATCCTTTGGTAAAGTATAGCATAGCTTTGGCATATCTCTCTGGAGTCGCACGTAGGCCTTCTCTCCCCGGATCTTCCCCCACGCATTCAAGAATGGTGCGTACAGCTTTTGCGATCTTCTCAACTTTTTCATCCTCTTCTTCCGATGGCCGCTCCGAATGTTTTTGTGGTTCGCGGCATAGCCGGTAAGAGTCAGAGTCGTGTGGCAAAGAACGGGTGGAATCTCGGCCACTAAACAAGGATATCAGAAGCTCTCTTAGTGACTGATGTTTCTTTGGCATACCGTAGAGTCTCCGTTTCATGAGATCCTTTGGTCCTCTCGACGGAGATGTCAGACATGGCGCCGGCGACAGACCTAGATCGACTCGGTCCGATAAGGAAATAAGAGGAAACACACACTTGGGACCCTGGCTCGTGCTGCAATATAAAATGGATACCTGGGTATCAGACAACCGCAGTCCAACATGTAGCGGACGTATGCCGATTACCCGAAGGACTTCTCGCGTTATAGTCAAGAAGAGAAAACGTGCAGCCTTGCCCAGAGTAAGTGTTGCACTATATATTCCAAAAAAAGAAACGTCAAAGAAAAAGAAATGTGCTAGTGCCAACTCACATGCAACAACACTGGATGTCTCTGCTTAGCATGACCTCGAGTGCCACGTATACCCCGGTTCGAGTTGATCTGTTCAGCTGACGCTGGATTAAATCCCAGGTAAATAAACCAGAAGTACACTACTTCTAGGAGCTCATCAACTCCGTCACTGAATGTCGCTATATCGCAACAGAAATGGCCAATATCGAAACCCTCAAACGGACTCTGAGACAGAAGGCAACGGCCATCGGAACACCACTGTCAGACGAACAGTATTGCGCTGGGTTCGAGCTTTTCGTACAAGGCTCAGGATGGGTTATCTATCAAGACTTTATCATTCCTCAACTCTCCAAGCTGCTGATGCCTCTCTTCAGTTCGCAGGCTCATGTTTCAGTGTTGGAAATTGGCCCTGGGCCCAAGAGTGTTCTTGGGCACCTTCCCGGCTCCCTGAGACGGAAGATCAAAAGATATACTGCATTTGAGCCCAACATTGTCTTTGCTACCGCGATGGATGAGTGGCTTTGCTCCAACCCGGAAGGGGAGCCGCCTTTCCCTTGCCTGGACCGCTGTCCCAAACTTCACCGAGTGCCATTTTCCCTGAAGGGCCACATGGAGGGGAATGCGGCAGATGGTCCGCACGAGATCGACGAGAAGTACGACGTGATTCTATTCTGCCACAGCATGTACGGTCTGAACCCCAAAGCGAAGTTCATCGAACGAGCACTGGAAATGCTAGTCGAACAAGCCGAGGAGGCGATGGTGGCAGTTTTCCATCGCGATGGCTTAGCCTTCGGTAGATTGGTATGCCATCGAACTGCTTCTTTTCCCACCGCGGAGATCGGCGTGCCCAACAACGACGATGCCCTGGATAAGTTCGCTTCGTTTGTTGCAGGGTTTGGCTTGCAGGACACAGAGCAGGACGAAGCCACTAAGATCGACTGGCGCGAAACGTGTCGAGACTTGGGTCGACGCTCCGAAGCTCAGCCAAGTCATCTCTTCTTCAGTGCGCCGGACCGAATGGTTGCCTTCACAAGACATTCGACTGCACTACCGGAGCTGACGGCCGAGGTCCCTGCCGTAGAGACAGTACAAGTCAAGAACTGGGAAGCTCGCCTTTGTCATCCCGCATCCGTCGTTAGGCCGACAGAGATTCGACAGGTCCAGAGTTGCGTCCAATGGGCTCTCAAGCACAAAACTGGCCTCACTGTCATTGGCGGTAGTCACAGTGGTCATTGTTTAGGGCCCAGTATTGTCGCAGTTGATATGACGGCTTTTGATAAGGTACATATCTGCCAGAGCAAGAACGAGGAAGCAGGACTCGCCCTGGTTCGCACGTCGCTAGTCGTCGCCGAAGCTGGCTGCAAAGCGGGAGATATTGTCCGTAAAAGTATAGAAGCTGGCGTGACAGTGCCTTTGGGAGCTCGCCCAAGTACTGGGGCGGGACTGTGGCTGCAAGGTGGCATTGGGCACTTGGCCAGGCTGTACGGCCTCACGTGCGATGCCATTGTTGGCGTCGTCGCTGTCAGTGTTAAAACGAGCCAGGTTCTCTGCATCGGCGATGTACCAAACGAACACTGCCCGATTGGTGCTGTCCGCCCAGAAAATCAGATGGACCTTCTATGGGCGGCGAGAGGAGCTGGAACGAACATTGGCATTATAATCAGCGTAACGTTCAGAGCTTTTGCCGCTCCGACCTACTTGGTTCGCGACTGGGTTGTTCCGCTCAGGGACGATCAGGACGCGCAACTCCAGCTCGCCAGCTTTGACGAAAGTCTGGCGTGCAAGTTGCCAGCAAATTGCTCCGCAGATGCTTATCTCTACTGGGAAGATGGCGGTACACATCTCGGCGTGACACTGTTCGAATGTTTCACACCGGGAGACGGCTTGAAGCCCCTTTCAAGCTTGTCTCTCCCCATGGCCGCGGTTGGCGGGTCGGATCAGAGTTTGAAGACGATGGACGGGGTGGAAGTCTTCGACGCCGACATGTACGTGTCCCGGATGCATGGCGGACATGGCGGCAGCAAGACCTCGTCGTTCAAGCGGTGTTTGTTTTTGAAAGACATCAGAGAGCCGAACGTTACCGAGATCTTAGTGCGGGCGATACGGACTCGTCCGTCCGCTCTCTGTTACCTGCATTTGCTTCATGGTGGCGGAGCAGTTGATAGCGTGGCAATTGACGCCACTGCTTTCGGTTGTCGGGGTTGGCAATATGCCTGTATCGTGACAGGGGTGTGGTCCCGAAGTGACGATAGGACAGAGACAGCTCGAGATGTCGTGCAGTGGGTATACCGGGTCGCTGCAGACCTGTTGCCCCTGAGTTGTGGGGTTTACAGCGCGGACCTGGGACCCGACCCGCGAGACATGATATTGGCGGCTAAGGCGTTTGGGCCAAACCTGCGGCGTCTAGCCTGCCTCAAGCAGGCCGCAGACCCGGCCAATGTACTGGCCTATACCTGCCCACTACCAAAAGCCTCGGCCGCGCAGAAGCTCATCATTCTAGTCACCGGCAAATGCGGAGCCGGGAAAGACTACTGCGCAAACGTGTGGGTTTCCGCTTTCACCAATGCGACTCAGAGACACCTCGTGGCACGCGCAGTCAGCATTAGCGAAGCGACCAAGCGAGGATATGCAGTAGCTACTGGTGCCGATTTAGAGCGACTGCTTTCGGATCGTGTTTACAAAGAACAACATCGGTCAAAGTTGACAGAGTTCTTCCAGGACCAGGTCCGTCAACGGCCGCGTCTTCCAGAGGAGCACTTTCTTGACGTCGTGCACAATGCTGTAGGCGTTGATGTGCTTTTGATCACAGGGATGAGGGACGAGGCCCCGGTGGCAACCTTGTCGCATTTAGTGCCTGCCAGTAGAGTGCTTGAAGTATACATCAGGACCAGCGACGAAATCCGCAAGGTCCGCCGGCAGGGCGGCGGTGATAATAACGATTCCCATTCGACAGTCTTGGATCACTCTCCAAGCCTCGTTTTCGAGAATGACCAAACCGGCGACGAGAAAGCAAAAAGATTTGCCGAGAATTATCTGCTTCCATTCTTTGGCGACGAACTTCAGCGGCTCGCCGAGATGGTTGGTCGAGTGTCTGACTTTCCCTGCCCAGGCATCGAATTCCATCACATCCTCAACATTGCGCAGCAACCGAATGGGTTGGCCCTATGCGCATCTTTGCTGCAATCTCATTTCCGTGGTGACTGGAATAATGTTGATATGATAGCGTGCTGCGAGGCTGGCGGCTTTGTCTTTGCTCCAGTACTTGCCTCCCGAGTTGACGTACCATTGGCCTTGATCCGGGAAGAAGGAAAGCTACCACCGCCAACCGTGTCCGTCTCCAGGTCTGCCTCGCACATATCTGCATCGGCGACTGCATCTAAATTGTCCAAGAGGACACGCATTGAAATTAGCAGCGAGACGATCCCTAGAGGGGCGTCGGTGGTGATCGTAGACGACGTACTTGCCACAGGGAACACACTTTTGGCTATCCTACGACTGCTGGAAAAAGTTGGAGTCTGTACCGATCGTATCAGAATCATCGTGGTCGCCGAATTCCCTGATCACCATGGCCGAGGACTGTTGCGGAAACACGGATTCGGCAGAGTGGATATACAAAGCCTTCTCGTTTTTGATGGAGCTTAGGGAACTAGAGACGAGAGAGGAGATGATACCTGAATCAAATTCGTTATTCCTGTTTCTATCTCCGGGCCTGAAGGGCCGAACGAGGCTGCAGACTTCCAGGTCTTTACTGCAAAGTAAACAATCCTTACCCCCCCCCCCCCCCCCCCCCCCCAAATTAAGTCCGGGAGCCCAGTGGCTCCGCCAATTCCCTTCTAAATAATGTGGAGGTTGGAAAGGCTTGGAGGAATTTTGTTTTCGACAAGGAGGCGGCTGAGTGTGAAAGAAGCTTACGGATCTGCTCCCCACCACCCAGAAAATGGAGGTCTGGAAGCTAACAAAACTCCCCTCTGGTTCTCCTCCGGTTCCGGAGGTGTGGCCATAAACCGATCAATCGGACCCCTGGTTGCCAAGGGAGGATGACCGGATGAACATGAGCTGAAACTAGTGGAAGGAGAAGCACTCCAGAATATTAGACTATTATCGATCAGCCATTTCTCAGGCAATGGAGCGTACTTAGCGCACGACACGCTGCCTCTAAGAGACAGGGCCTGTGTATTTGCAGATTAATCTTGTGTTGTGTTTGGCAGTCAAGATGTCGGTGGGTACACTGTCAGGTACAGCCCAAATATTCGGCAGCCATCGGTATTCTCGATCAAGCTGCTCAGATAGTCGCCATCCTCGTGGGAGCTTTGACGACTGAGAAGCTCCCTGTGCGCACATCCCTTGCTCTGCATCAGCCACGCACCACGGAGGGATGCTAGTTTGCACAATTCCCTGCGTAATGTCCTTGCTTGCTCTCCGCCTGCAAGGAACGGTTTGAAATGATATACTCTCAACTACGTACTACGAGAACTCGTGGCGTGATTCTCATATTTCCTGACGACATGCGACATGCATATCCAAGACATTCCCAAACATCAAGGCGAATGGGTGCTCGCTGTGAAATGCTCCCCTTCGTCGAATAAAAAATTCCTGGATCGTCAGGGGCTGACTCGTGAGCAAACCAAATCCCATGAGAACGGAACCTTTGGTTGTGGCGTCGATCATACTGATATGCTCTGCAACCCGGTATTAGACAATCCAAGTTAGTACCACCTCAGCACGTTCTAGAAAAAATCCACGTCGTTTCTTCCAATGAGAAAGACGACTGATCCATACCATTGGTGTTTTCGGATATGAATTCTCGAAAGGGGCTGGGATGCAATCTCGATTTCCTAATGCGGTACTTCGTCAACATTCCATCCACAGAGATCGGCACTGCATCGAACCCATGCATCCCCTGCAGTCATGAAGATCAGGTGTGCATCGTCAGTCCGAGATAAGGCCTGCACGGTTTCGACGCTCGCCGTGGCGATACCGATACGTGGTCGTACTGGTTACGCTTCCGCATTGACTCGACACGTCTGCACCTTTCTACCGGACTCGATGCATCTTAAACGCGGCGTGCTGACACGTCAGCCCGCAAGGTGGTTCCATAACAACCCCGTAATAATATTGAAATGATGGCTGCATCGGTCTCGTGCGTACTGCTATCCGCGAACATCCATACCTCTGGCGCCTGGCAGTTGTGCGTCTGCTGTTCATAAATAGAAAGCATGCCAACGGAAACGACCTGACTCGTTATTTCGTCTCTTCGGTCACACACGCAAAATGCGTCAGAATATACCATTGACAGCTGCCACGCTTGCCATCCTCACCTGCTCAGCAGCAGGGGTGAGTATGCAGGGCTCTCGCTATTTGCGAGACCTGCGATGGGCAGCTGAATGTGGTGTAGACCCTCAATTGATTCTCAGCGATACGGAGAGCTTTCAAAATTTGCTCTCCCATCCATCAAACGACAAGACGGGCCTTAGCCCTGAGCTTGTTAGCGTACGGACAGCCGTTCCCACCGCGTGATCGTATCTAACCCTCTCGCAGATCCCAATTGATCATAATGACCCCTCAGTTGGCACTTACCAGAACCGATTCTGGGTGACCGAGCAATTCTATGTCCCTGGAAGCCCGATCTTCGTGTTTGACGGCGGAGAGTCGAATGCTGAGGTATATAAGTCGCATCTCACGTCGAATCAATCTTTCTTCTGGCACATACTCAAGGATTTCAAAGGGATGGGGATATTATGGGAACACCGGTGCGTCTCTCATCACGACAGAGTGAGGAGTATGTTCTGACATGACGCAGGTACTACGGCGAGTCCCGTCCTTTCCCGGTCAGCCTGAGTACACCACCAGAGCATATGGAATATTTGACCACAAGGCAAGCGTTGGAGGACATTCCGTATTTTGCAAAGAACTTTTCCCGACCCAACCATCCTGACGTGGACCTGAGGCCCCAAAGCACGCCATGGATTATGGTTGGTGGCTCATACGCCGGGATTCGCGCGGCCCTGGCTCGCAGTGAATACCCCGAGACGATCTACGCCGCGTACGCCTCTTCTGCTCCGGTAGAGGCACAAGTTGATATGAGCATCTACTTCAACAATGTCTACCGAGGTATGGAGGCCAACGGACTTGGGGACTGCATCCAGAGCATTCAGGCCGCATATCAATATATCGACGACCAACTGGGCAAGGAAGACACGGCTGCCGCGGTGAAGAGGCTATTCTTTGGCCCTGGCGCTGAGAATAACACGAATGAAGGCTTCACGGCGGCACTGTCGCACTTGTATGATTCGTTCCAAGGTTACGGACTTACTGGACCCGCGAACAGTAGTTTGCAGGATTTCTGCAACTACATGGGGTTCGGCAAGACGAACAGGACTGCGCATCTCACGCGCTCCCTCTTCCGCCGAGATAGTGGCAAAGCCGCCGCAGAGCGCTGGGCATCGTGGGCTCCGTTGCTATCCATCGTGAATTACAATTTCAACACCAACTGCAAGCAACAGAATGAGACGATTCCACTATCCTGCGATTTTGAAGAATCAACGACTGACCCTGATATGATCGCCTGGGGCTGGCAGTACTGCACCGAGTGGGGATTTTTTCAAAGTAACAACTTTGGTCCCCGTGCGCTGCTCTCAAAGTACCAGACGCTTGAATATCAGCAGTTGGTCTGCAACAAGCAGTTCCCAGAGGCTGTGAAGAAGGGCGTGCTGCCCTCGCAGCCTCGGGCGGATGCGACCAATGCGGAGTTTGGAGGTTGGGGCGTCCGCCCGTCGAATACGTTCTTTACCGTGGGGGAGTTTGATCCATGGACGACGTTGTCTGTCATGTCGCAAGATGCGCTGAATGCCGAACATTCAACCTGGTCTAAGGACATCCCGGAGTGTGGAGAGGCCAAGGCGGACCATATCTTTGGTCAGATGCTCACGAACTCGGAGCATTGTTTCGACTTCCAGCCGCCGAGGAGCCAGGGAGCCCTCTCGCTCTTTGAGAGCGCCTTGCGTAATTGGTTAGCATGCTTCAAGGGAGGCCAGGAATCCAACACGAGGACAGGGGCGGAGTGAGTCAGATTGACAGTGATGATGTAAATAGCAGTCAGTTGAGATAACTAGAAAGAAACTATTGGAAGTAGAATGGAGCGGAGCTTTCCCAGTGTCGATAGGCTTGCGAGACCCTGCTGACCTCATCCTCCCCGGTGGATCTCTTCTCCGACTACCGGGGCTACGCTAGCCCGTTTGGGACATGCTTGCGATTTACCGGCGGGCGCTCTGCCAATAACAGCCGTGAAAAGTCGCGGGACATCATCAGGGCCGTCTTCGACGATCTTTGACCTCACATGCATTGTCCTACCGAGGTGCGGACCCTAGCGTCGATCGATCTGTCGCACAACTCATATATAAACGGCCCTCATGGAGGACGGGCCATCATCTCCCCAGACGTTCACCGATACATCTATATCCATCGCGCGGGGTACCCCGGATCTGGATCTCTTCTACGCCGCTGACTTTGAGACTCAATTGCTGTCGACATTGCTCGCCTTCCATGTTGGCTCCCATCGGGTTGGTATTTGGAGCACTGTACCTCACGTACTTTGTGCTCCAGTACATCCAGCGGCTCTACCAACAGCGCAAGTTTGCCAAAGCGCGTCAATGTCTGCCTCCCCGTGAAGGTGCAGCCGGGCTCTTCGGCATCACCCCATTCATTCGACTGGCCAAAGCCGTCAGGGAGAAGCGTTGGGTTGAGTATATCGCCGACCAGTATAGCATCAACGGGACCACCTTCTCCCAGGCTATGCTGGGCCAGCGCATGATCTCCACCATCGACCCAGAGAATCTCAAGGCTATCTTGGCCACGCAATTCAACGACTTTAGCTTGGGTACTCGGCATCGGGAGTTCTACCCGTTATTGGGAGATGGAATCTTCACCCTGGATGGCGCAGGATGGTCTCATGCGCGAGGGCTGTTGCGGCCCCAGTTCACTCGCGATCAGGTAGGAATTGTCTATAAGCCGCCTCAAGAGCATGGCCATTCATACTGACTCGAATTCCACCCCAGGTCGCGGACTTGGATCTAATGAACGGCCATGTCTCCCGTTTGATTGAGCTCGTCCCGAAAGACCGGTCGACCTTTGATATTCAGCACCTCTTCTTCCTTTTGACCATCGACTCCGCCACGCACTTCCTCTTCGGAGAATCCGTCAACTCCATGGGCAGCGGCGTACTGGAGAAATCTGCCGTCGGTGGAGCCCAGGGATTCGCCGAGGCATTCAACACCGCTCAAGACTATCTGGCCTCTCGTTCGAGGGCGATGAAATTCTACTGGATGGTCAACCCGAAGGAGTTCAAGGACGCCACCGCCCGCGTCCACGAAGTGGTCGATCACTACGTGCGGCTCGCAATTGAAAGCAAGAACCACCCCGAGCGTAAGGAGGCGGGCCGATACATCTTCGCCGAGGCCCTGGCTGCGGATAACGACGACCCGAAGGTGCTCCGAGACAATATGCTCAACATCCTCCTTGCCGGTCGTGACACTACTGCTAGTCTCCTCAGCTCGACGTTCTTCTTCCTCGCGCGCAGTCCCAAGGTGTGGAACCGTCTGCGTGAGACAATCATCAATGAATTCGGAGACAGCCAGAACCCAAAGAGCGAAATCACCCATACCAAGCTGAAGGACATCCCGTACTTGCGCTACGTGCTGAACGAGGTCCTCCGTCTTATGCCACCGGTCCCCCTGAACTTCCGCACCGCAACCAAGGACACCTCTCTCCCCGTGGGTGGTGGCCCCGATGGAAGGTCTCCTGTGTTCGTGCCCAAGGGGACTACCGTCACCTACAGCGTCTACGCTATGCACCGACGGCCCGACTTCTACGGACCGGACCCGAACGAGTTCCGTCCGGAACGCTGGGAGGAGAACGGACGCCGCGGGTGGGATTACCTTCCATTCAACGGAGGGCCACGCATTTGCCTTGGCCGTAAGTTCTTCCATACTTTTGAGGGAATTTAATTAACTTATCTGGTTTTAGAACAATATGCCCTCACAGAGGCCAGCTACACGCTGGTGAAGCTGCTCCAGCACTTTGATACCCTTGAGAATGCCGACCCCACATTGCTGCGGCCGGTGATCCAGTCGAACCTGACCATGTCGCACGAGACGGGTGTCAATGTCCGGCTGTATCGGGCGGGAACTGCGTAATGTGACATGAGATACCTCAGTAGATTTAGATGTCTTATGAATTGCTCGATATATATTGCGATGTTTATGATCTTTCAACAGCAGCATCAAGTAAATTTTAATACCGTATCATTTTTGCTTCATTCCACACATCCCCATCTTACCAATAAGATTGGATTATACTATTACCTACAGTGACTTGTCATTATATCATTGTAGCGACTTCAGCCACTGCCTTATACCCCAATACCAGCCACAGTGGCTGAAGCACTGATAACGATGACTAATCCCTTCATGCATCACCAACCGCATCTCTTTGCACGCATCTCAACATCCATTGTCGCAAGTAGAACAACACCAGTGAACAAACCCTTCAACCTCTTTCACATCACACTATTCCACTCTATTAGCAGCCCCACCCCTCCGCATCCCCTGAGTGTACAATCCCATTGAACGCCCATATCATCACTCTGCATCCGGGTTATACGCACGCGCCTAACCTCAAGAGCGCTGCGGCCACCAAACCCGCTCTTATATAAACCACCACCTACTCCAGCCATGGTCGATACAACCAAGTATCCGCAAGTAGCAGTCGTGGTGCCGAAAATGGAGTTCCCCTCGAACACCAATTCTCCCTCCGCGGTCCCAGCCGCGAACACCACCGCCAACATGGACACCGCCACCACCAACACAAACCCACCACAAGCCGGCGCCTCCAACGCACCCAACACGACAACCGACAAAGCAGACCCCTCGCCGCAGCCCAAGCCCGACCCCGAGTTGCCAGTGGAAGTTCCGCGCGAGATCTCCGACGCGGAGATGCAGCTCGTCTCGTCGCTGGCCAAGCTCCAAAAGCTAGAGTCTATGGTGAGTCCCCATCCAACCAGGGTACTCCCCTGTTTGCAACGAAGGCCACAATTCTAACGAAAACAGATCCACCAACTCCGCACCCTCCTCCCAGACCGCGCGCTGGACCCGCTCGTGCCCATCGTCAACCCCAGCGCCGCGGGCGGCCGCGCGCCTCCCAAGTCGCCGGCGGTGCTGTACCAGCAGCTGGCGGCGGCGATGAGCGGGGCGGTGGCGGAGGTGCGCGCGTTCCAGGGGCTGTGGCGGAGCGCGGACATGCGCGCGATGTGGGAGCGGGTCGGGGCGCAGATCGACGCGAACGGCGGGCAGCTGCTGCAGCCGACGGGCGTGTGGGACCGCGACTACGAGGCGCTGCGGGCGGAGCTGGCGGCGCTGGAGACGGCGAAGATGGAGCGGGAGCGGCGGGCGGAGGAGGAGGCGGAGCGCGCGCGCATCCAGGCGGCGGAGGGGGGTTGGCGCGGTGTGGTCGAGGGATTTGTGGCGCAGAATGGCGGCTTGGTGAGGGTGCTTCCGAGCAAGGCGGAGGATGAGATGACGGTTGTGCTGGGGAAGGCTGGGATGCGGTTTAGGGTGTATGCGGACGGCGCGAACGGCGACGGTGGAGGGGGGTGTGCCGGAGTGGAGGGTGTCG